GATCACTATGCACAAAGCCAAGCACTTGCTGAAGTGGGGTAAAGTATGCCACCACTGGACTTTGGAGCAGTCGAAAGTGAACTGAATTGGATTGAATGGAATAGAACTTATCTAAACTAAACAGAATTAATCAACAGAACTGAACTTAACTGAATCAAATTGAATCAAACTGAATTTAACTGGACCGAATTATACAACTGAACTGAGTTAAATCAATCAACTGAGTAAAATTTACTTTTGTGAAATATGCTTGCTTGTTACAAAGACGAACAAGTGGAGGTAAAAAAAAAGCTTTAAATGTGAAAAATATATCACAGACACCACAGAATTCTGTGTAGAATGGAAGGTTAAGAGAGGTCTTCTGGGGTTGTAATCAGTCCCATAAATCTAGAGTTGTATCACTAAATCTCTCACTAGCACAGCTCCTGCTTATGTCAAGACCTGAAGTTTGGTTTCTGATGGCCAACTTATTTTATAGCCGTGGCTATGCACATACTTTTATGTTGCCAGCAGGCATCGCATCTGACCTAGATATGTCAGCTGTCACTGATTTTTTAGTGTTTGTACAACAAATTAATGACCTGAGCTATTTATGATTTAAGGAAAAAGAGCAACTCTCTGCTAATGCATTCATTAATCATTCAACTGACACCAGTCGGTGCAAAATGGCTTTGGACTGCGGATTTATAGGCTTGTGGTGTTTCAATTTGCCAATGCATCACAGGCCAGTGGAACATGTAAAGCTAGCTTTAGTCCATGGATTACACATACAGTTTTGCTTGGCACAAAAACATCTATCATCCGGTAGAATACTTACGCAGGAGTATTCTACAAGAGGGTTTTTGACTCAGCTACCTCTTAACATATCCAAAGAGGTCTGATTCATTAATGCATTAATCAATGTGCATCTTTTAATATAGGCAAGTAGGTCTCCTTAACCCTTCAAATTTCAGATGTTTCTATTATTTCTGATGTAAACATGATTAGACTCCCACTTCTTTGGAGTGATGCCATAGTGCATTCGAAGATGCCATAGTGCACTAAGATGCCATAGTGCATTCGAAGTGATAACACACTCAGCAAGGCATCAAAAGAGCTGGACTGAAAAGTAGGAAAAATCTACAAAATAAAATAAAACACAATGAATACTTAGGTGATAAGTTATAATCATTATCAATACAGTGTTACTTTACTACCCCCATTTTCTTTCACAATCTAACAGACTATTCTTTAATCTATTAGATCTACATCTATGGCCTTGCTGCAGAGTTGCCAGGTTTGCTGTTTTCCCACCAAATTAGGCTAGTATTAAAATGCAATGGGCATCTGTTTGGGCTACTTTCAAGATTCACCTCCCAAAAGGTTTTCTTAACGACATTAGGAATAAAATAATCATTGCAACACAAGGACAGGGGGCTCCTTGATAAAAAAAAAAAATTGAGGTAAAACTGAATCAGACCACTGGGTAAGCTCAGCTTGCCAAGGCTTGCTGAGGCCACAGTGTCCAAAAGTTTGGTTACTAAACCTGCTGTAATAAATTTGTCCTATAATATATAATAAATACAGACTATATAACTAAAAGAGGATGAAATCAGCATTAGTTAATAAATGCAAGAAGCATCCAAGTTCATAGAATGCAACAATTCAACAATATGACTGAAAAATGAGATGGCATGGTGAACCTAACTAAGAATCCAAGTTGACCTGCCACGATAAATGATATAGAACAGTTTCATAACTGTTTGTAAGCATTTCTTTTTTCAAGAGTGAAAAGACACAGCAAAACTTTACATTTTACTTTATGTTTACTCACCCTTCTTTTATGGAAGCATATCAGTATCAAAATAAGATGAAAATGTAATATATAAAATAACAATGTATTCATACGTTAGCATATACATTTCCCACATTATATGCAATGCTGAGCATAAAATGAAAATAAAAGTGCTGTGCTAATGCTGTGCTAATGCTGTGATTTTAATTTGCCATTTGGTATATTAGTGTTGACATTTTCATTTACTCAAAGGTTTAGATGCTTTATGAGTGGCTTTATTTAAATTAAAATGTATTTCCAGAACTGCATATTAATGTTTAATGTGATTATGCAATAATTGCATCAAAATGGTAATCAAAATATAATTGATCTTATGTGCATTTTCACTGTCTAATAAAGCATTTAAATTGCATTAACAAACAGAACACCAAGCTAGAAAGAGGGCAAAAACATTTCTTGCAATAACATATTCTCACCTACTGGACTCATTCTGTGTCAAAATGCCTTTGAAAATGCACTAGACCCGATGTGGTTGATTAAAAACGAGACTGAATTTGGCTTCCTTTTCACCAGCTTCTTTTTCGAACTTTCCAGCCCACCTGAAACAGTGCAGCAGTTACATTCTGGTGTCTCAATGTGCTCAAATTTTACAGCAGCACATTTAAAGTGAAACGGAAAATCTGAAAAAGAAGCTAACTTCAACTTTCATAAACTGAGGCCGGTGGCTGAATGTGAGGCTGGACATACAGATTGCAGTTGATGCCATGCAAGGATGTCCTCAACAAAGTGAGCATCAAAGGTGGATATATTTCTGTGCTATCGCCTCACATGCTGATACACTACGTGCATTGTGGAGGGCTGCAGAATTAGATAGATAGATTGCAGTTGATACCATGAAGGGATGTCCTCAACAAAGTGAGCATCAGAGGTGGATATATTGCTGTGCTATCAGCTAGCTAGCTAGCTAGATAGATAGACAGATAGATAGATAGATACATACAAAAACATATCTACAGGCATATATACAACTAGAAATATACAAAAATATCTAAATCTATCCTGAGATAAAAAAGGCAGTGCAATAATGAATGTACAAGGAGGTGCAGGTAACAGCATACAATGACAACACTGAACAAATATGTGCATATATTGGTACAGAAATAAAGTGAGTAGGTGTGCAGTAGTGTCCAGATGTGCAAGATGTGCAATAAGGTGTGCAGAAGCAATATGTACAGTAAGGTGTCCATATGTGCAGATAGATAAAATAAACCTGTAACTTAGCTTGAGGGATTCAGTCCTCATCTATTCTCTTTCCTCTTCTCTCTTCTCTTCTGGCCCCACTGGGAAGAGTTGAAGAGGCTAATAGCTCTAGGGACAAAAGATCTCCTGAGTCTGTCGGTTGAGCAGCTAAGTGACAGCAACCTGCCATGATGCTGGTGTGCAGCGGGTGGCCATCATCCTCCATAGTGGAGAGCAGTTTGTGCAATGTCCTTTCTGCCACCTTAACCACAGAGTCCAGTTCTACACCGACCACTGACCCTGCTCACCTGGCCAGCTTGTCCAGTCGCATCTCGTCTCATTTTTCATGCTTCCTCCCCAGCACACCACAGCATAAAAAAGACAGCTAGCAACAACGGTCTGATAGAACATCTGCAGTAGCTTCCTACAGATATTAAAGGACCCCAACCTCATCAGGAAATAGAGCCAGCTTTGCCCCTTCCTGTTCCACCCCCTCAACAGAGATTGGCTGTGTGAGTGGCCTAGTCCTGCGAAAATCCACCACCATCTCCTTGGTCTTGGAAGTGTTCAGTAGCAGGTTGTTCTTACGGCACCATGCCACAAAGTCCTTTACCAGGTTCCTGTACTCCTCATCCTGACCACCCCTTACACATGCCACAATGGCAGTGTCATCTGAAAACGTATGCATGTGGCACGTCTCAGAGTTGTACTTAAAGTCTGAGGTGTACAGTGTAAAGAGAAATGGGGAAAGTACAGTCCCTTGTGGTATACACAAAAGACAGAGCTACTGGAAAGGCTGCCACCCACAGTGGTGCCGGAAGTCTTAATTAAGCTAGCTACAAGCCATTGTTAATGCTACCTAACACTAGCCCCATCTGCTGATTTTACCAGCTGGCTAACATGACCCAGCTCACTGTGTCACACATATATATCAGCGATTTTTGTAATATTATTATTTTTTAAATAAAAGCAGAACATTAGAGACTCCTCAGCTGATTTCATTTTAAATATGACAAAGTACTGACACAGTTCAGTGGCTGTTGCCAACTCAGCCACTCTGACAAGGTGGTTGTGTGATTTTGCTCGCTTTTCTTGATTCTGAGCGCTCATTGTGTGTGACTTGCTCAACTTGTCTTTGTGCTCTCACATAAAAGACAGTAATCTCTAATAAATTACCTTTTAATTATCATTTTGACACAATCATTGCATACAATCACATTAAACGTAAATATGCTGTTCTGGAAATACATTTTAATTTAAATAATGCTTATAAAGCATCAAAATCTTTGTGTAAATTTTTAATTTTAATACTCATTTGGTAAGAATATATCCATATTCTTTAACCATGAGGTTACATATTAAGGTTACATATTATACATATTAATTAACCATGACGAGATCTGAATCTGTAACATTGTTGCTAAGTTAATGAATAGGTCTGGTAGTTTACTCCTTCCATAACAAACCTTTTATATTTATGTCTTTAATTCTTTGGTTTTTTTTTGTTTTTTGTTTTTTTAGTTTTTTTGATAATGGACCTATATGATGTTTTGGAAGCATTACTTACATTGCCATGTGTTATGTTACTATGTGATTTTCAACAACACAGCAGTCATTAACTGGGGTGAAAACATAAAGTCAGATATTTTAAATGGCTTCTTGACACATATCCCTTCTCTACCATTATTATATCTTGCTTGATCATCAAACACCCGATTTGTTGCTGCATTTGATTAAAGTTTACAAAAATCTGTTGCATAACAACTTGGGATGAGCTCTGGAAAATGTTCCCTTCTTAACAAATAATGTTCTTCTAAACTTTCCCTTACCCAGTGTCATTCAAGGTAACATCATGACCTATAACAGGGCTGAAGATGAAAGCCACAAAAGCAGGTCTGAAAAGAGGGGGGTGGAATTACAACATCATGTAGACTTTGCTTTTGCCGTGAGTTATGGTAGAATGGGTGAATATGGAATCTGTGCTGACCTTTGCTGGAGGAGTTTCAGTTTGCTGTTAGAAATACTTGCTTGTCTGGTCATGGGCAGTGGGAAGTGGAGCAGACGGCAGGGCTGGGAAAGAAGTGAGAAAGGAAAAGGTCAGCTCTCTTGCTTGGAAGTTCACACACAGCTGTGAAGCAATAAAGCTTCTGCCAGCTGAATGGAGGCAGAAGATTAGTGTCCAGGAGGGCAAAGGACAAGCAGTTGAGAAACTCCAGTTCCCTATGTTCTTTGAAGTGATATCATAGAAGAACTACTTTTGGTCCTAAGGAACTTTTCAATCTTCACTGGTTTCAGTGGTGATGTGCAAGTGTTTAAAGAACCTCTAAAGAACTCTGCTATATATTGTAAACATTTAGAGATGGCCACTTCGTGTTTTCTGATACGATACTGATATGGAAACCTTGAGCAGTTGACTGTTGTAACAGTTCAAGGGAAATGACTTAAAGGGTGAATTCCATCGATTTTCACATTTTATGCATGATTAAATTATTAAGATGTAAAGATGTAAGATGTAAACAAAGTGAATCAGAGTGGTTTGACGTGAATTTCACCATTCTAGAGACATTGGTCAAAGCAGTTGTGACAGGATCCAGACGTCTTAAGAGTTTAATACATTTTATGGGCAATGTGCATAGCTGTTGGTCTAAAAAAAAACACTCAAAATCCTGGTATTAATATTCTGCTTTTAACAAATGGTTAAAACAGAGACATGATTTACACATCACAGTACTCAGCAAACCCTGACCTCTCTAACCAGCATGATTTCATCCAGCTGTGACCAAGCATTAGCCAATAACCCAGCTCCAAAAACCACCCAAAACCCATTTGTCAAGTCAAGTCAAGTCAAAGTTTATTTATATAGCGCTTTATACAACAGGTGTTGTCACAAAGCAGCTTTACAGAAAAATCCTGGTCCAAGTCCCCATGAGCAAGCCTATGGCAACAGTGGCAAGGAAAAGAGCAAGAGGAAGAAACCTTGAGAGAACCAAGACTCAAAAGGGGAACGCATCCTCTTCTGGTTGACACCGGATAGCAAACAGCATTAGTATAAAATATTAGAATACAAAACGGGGAAAAACAGGTGGAGCAATGGTTAATTAAATAGTTTGAGTTTATGCAGCAGCAGCAGCATCATGAGGAGGGTCAGTTCATGCAGGTGAGGTTTGCACAGCGTTATACAGTGTGAAGCTCCATGGTGGTCAAAATGGTCCAGAAGGCTGAAAAGATCCAAAAGGCTACAACAGTCCAGAAGGCTGAAGCAGTCCAGAAGGCTGGCACCTGATACTGTTATAATAACTCTCTGCTTTCATTATAACAAAGGGTCAAAAAACATGATTCACATATCATAGTAAGCATGATGGTAAACATGCAACCCAATTTAAAATTAGAAATAATGTTTCAGAGTTTTAGCACTAAGCATGAATCTAAGAGGACAGAAAATCAATAAAAAACATGGCTGCCTTATGCTTATTATTTATTTTTAATCAATAATAAGCAACAGAATGAAACACCATCAAAATTCTTGCATTTTCTTATCATAGACTCTAGACAATTTCTCAAAAGGTATCTGAATTGACACTTGTTTTCAACATCTGTATGAGCACAAAACTGACAAAATTTTACAGGCAGCAAGTAAATTTTTGATCAAAAGAAAGTCGTTCAGAAAATCTGTGTCCAATGGGTGTGTTGAAAGCACATCTGCGGCTTCATCCACTGCAAAATCCGAATCTCCTTGCTAGTTCCTTACCCTAGTAAGGGTCCAATATGGCAGTTTTGCAGTTTACCTTCTTTGATAGCCTACATTCAGACAAAAAATATCAGAATTGCAAAATTAAAAAACGAATACGTACCAAACTAACGATATCAAAATAGTCGAATATTTGGGTAAAAACCTAGCTAGCTACTCATACTTATGTTTATGCTATGCTACATGTGGTTAGTGTTATCACATGACCTACATTACTTTAGTTTATGTTATATTGTGTTACAAGCACTTTTATTTTTCTGTTAGATTTGTTGTAGAATCAGATCAGACTGATTACTCTTTCAATTCTATGGCCAAGCATTTTCCATTGATATCGATTCGTAACAGTACTGGATATTGGATCTGAGGTGTCTCTATTCTAGTGGTTTTCTGTATTTTTTAAAAATAAAACTCAAATCTAAATCTTTCAAGTTCACTTTAAAAGACGTCAAGAATTTTTTTTTAACAAAATAGAAAAACTTTAAAAAAATGTCAGATTTTTTTTCACAAGTTGGCATTTAGGGGTAGGTTTTGGGACAGCCATTTCCCAATAGAAAGCACCCTATAAGTGATGATTTTGCATATATTTAGGCTATTAGTATCTCAATTAATGCCTTGGAATTGCATAGATCTCAACATAATCCTTGTAAATGTCTAAAGTCTGAATACTTAATACGTTCCTTTTTTTTACTGTGGGATTGTAGTTTGAACAGATTCAGTCAATTTCATATGGAATTCACCCATTGTGGATAAATGTCTACAAACAGATTTTTTCCACTTTTCCATGATTACTGTCAAATGAACTTAGATGGACTTGATTGACTGTTGTATTATATTTACTTGCATTTAAAATGATAGGGCTGGTTAAATCTTCTTGTAGGCCATGAAAGCTGGTCAGTTGTTTGAGCCATATGTTGCAAAAGGTTGGGAACCTGTACTCTATGCACTACCAATTAGTTTTTTCCATAGAACCTTGCAACCCAGCTTTGCTCCTACATCGGGAAGCCATTAGTCTTGCTTCAAGTCTCAGACATCCATTCTTTTTTTGCAGTTCCCAAAAAAAGAGTTTTGTTGTCGAGAGCTTGTATAAAACTTTGTCGAGGGCTCTGTTGTCATGCTCTGCTTTTTGTCTGCCTCAGATACAAGCCATCTCAGGTTCAAGATCAGTGCAGACTGTAAAATATAAATATGAATAAATCATCTAGCTTCTCTAAGTGGAGAAAGTTAAGAAGCTACACGAAGGCACATAAATTCAGCCGTCTGAAGAGTGGCGTGCCAAAAATGTTGTTTTTTCTATGACGGAAAAAACAACACTTTTGGAATGCTACTCGTTGTGGACTCAGCAGCTGTCCAGATGCACTGTGTATGTGTGTGCTTTCTCAGCACAGAAGCTAGATCTCCTATAGTTTCAAAGCTTCAGACTTTATAAAGCCTATGGGTATACCTATGGGCATATGGATATAGCATGGGTATATCTCTCTGAGACTTACTAGCTGCCTAAGACTGACTAGTGATTTAGTGAACTCAAACGACACTGCCACAGTACTAAGAGATACATTTATTTGATTGTGTTAGATTAGAAGTGGCTGATTGTTGTTCCAGCTTCAAGTAATTACTGATTGCTTAGTCTTTCAACAAGCTCTAAAATGACATAGTAACTGCTGAAGGACTGTGGAGCAGTGGAACTGCGTTCCCTGGAGTGATGCAGCACCATCTGGATGAGTTAGAGTGGTGTTCCAGTGATCCAGAGCTAATCATCCAACATCTGTATCTGACTTCACTAATGCTCTTGTGGCTGAATGCAATCAAATCCTCACAGCAATGTTCCAGCATTTGGTATAGAAGTTTCCCAGAAGAGTATAGGATGTTACTGCAGCAAAGCTCTGACAAACTCCCTATTATAATATACTATTATAATATAATATATATTCATAATAATACCTGATTTCAGAAGAAATGCTTGATGATAAATTGAAATTGTGACTTCATCAAGTGATATTTTGGTCTTCTATTTCCTTATTATATTTTATTTATTTAATTATGTATTGCTTTCTTGAAAAATTAAAACCAAAAACAAGCACAAAGTTAACCCTTAGAAACCTACAATTTTGGGGATTTCTTTTTTTTGGTATTTTTGGGTCAATTACAATTACAATTGCAATCATAATGTATTTACATGTGACATTTGCACATGCCATACGTTGTATTTTCAGGAGACCCTGGGCTACTCAGATATGCCATTGTTTGACACGTAATTGCTAACAGAAATTTGATATCTTTATGAATTTGGGTAATTTCTGATCAAAAGTTTACCTAGCGCCTGCTAAATTTTGTATTTTTTTTCATTGTAGAGATCTTAAAAACAAGTGCAGTCTGATGTGTGAATCACTGTTTTAACCCTTTGTTGGAATATGAAGGCCAAACCACAGAACAACATCAGGATTTTAGGTGATTTTCCGAGCCGAATTATTCACTGATGCTAACATCACAGCTTGCTAGTTAGGGGTGGGTCTGCTGAATGTCCTGATATGTGGATCGTGTTTGTATCTTAAACCGTTCTTAAGTTATGAAGGCTAGAAGTGACCTACCGTTTCTCCAGGTTACAAAATAAACATCAGTATAAACCAAGGATTACTGAGACAAGCAAAGCTCCATTTATGACAAGGTACTTTTGTGTAATTAACAACAAGTTAATATTAGTCCATTGTTGTTGATAATGTCTTTGTGCAATATGGATTATTTGCAAAAGTAAAAAAAAAAATCCGGAAATCCTAAATGGATGAATGGATGCTATTGTTATTAATATGTAAACAGACATTCAAAGTGGTTTGATGCCCCATTCTAGAGAAACTTGCTGAGTCAGAACTGTTCTGCTACATAGCATAAATCTAGTGCATGAAATAGTTTTTCTGATGCCTGAGACATTGTTTATGATAAGTTTTGAGATAAGCTTTGGCCTTAAAATGTATTTTTAAAAATACATGCAGGGTGGATATATACTAGTATAAACTAGTAATCAGAGAAAACACTTTTTTTTGGGAGTGGGGGGTGGGGGTTACCACTATTTTACCATTATCAACATTACATATAAACACTCAGAAGTTATGTGTAGGTTTAATGGTCATTTTTGATAGTAAATAAAATGGCTATATTTATATTGTATATTGTATTGCACTGACTTCATTTGCATTACAATGATTGTATTATGCAGAAATTTAGCAAAATAAGTGAAATTTCCCTTTCAGCCCAGAAGTATGTTTTATCTAAGTTTAACACCAACTACAAGAATATCATCTGTACAATAGTACCCTCTAGTGACAAGAGTCAACTTGTACATTATAGCTTGAGTCACTTCCAAACTGATTTCACTCTCTGAAATGTAGAATGTGATCAAATGGGACTTTTTAGAGAAAGAAATAGAAATAGTTACAAAGTGTTCTTTGGGTGATGGGAGCCACTTTTGGTTCCCTGAAGAATCATGTTTAAAAGAACGTGTAAAGAACCCTATTTTTTTAATATACACATAATATAAGGGTTCTTCCTAGAACCTTTACATTTTTTAAGCTCTGAAAGTCATTTACAAAAATGATTCTCTAAAGAACTAGCCATTTGAGGGTTCTTTAAGAAAACAAAAATGTTTATCCTTTGGCATCACACAAAAAAGTCTTTTTGGCATCATTATGTAAAAGGCTAATTTTTAAAATATCAGCATAATTAAATTGTTAAGATGTAAACAATTTACATAAAATGGGATTTACATACACTGTTGTTGCATGACAGACACTAAAGCAATATCTGTTGTTTTTTTGGAATATGTATATTATTGTTTTATGAATTTGCAAATTTGTTCAAAGTGTGTAATTATTGTTTTAGCGCCCCCTATTAACGCATGTGCACTAAACTTTGCACGTTGCATGTGCGCTAAACTTTGCAAGGTCCTTCACACCATTTACAAAAACGGTTCTCTAAAGAACCATTCATTGAACCAAAAATGTTTTTTCTTTGGCATCATAATGTAAAAGTCTGAATGTATAAATACTGTGATGGAGTTCAAGAGGAAATTTTTCAAAATGTCTGCATAATTGAATGGTAAACAAAGTAAATAAACTCATTCAGAGTGGTCTGACGTGAAATGCTTTGTTTAGAGAAACTTATTAAGTCAGAATCATTCACAACAGTATTGACAGGAACCAGACAGACATCTGAAGTGTTTAATGCCTCTGAAATCTCCTCCAAAAAGACATTACATGAAACAAATTTCATTTACGTAAAGGGTGGTGGCACTGCTAGGTGCATTGATATGAGAAGAGCGCTTGATGATGAAATATGACACAGTGTGACTCTGATGTAACCTTAAACATAAAGCCTTGGGAAACTGATTACAGGCCCACCAATGAACAGAGTCCCAAATGCACACACTCACAGAGAGAGAGAACTGACTATGAAGTGCCCTGTGCATAGTGACACTGACATTCAAAAGTTTGGAATCACTGTTTTCAATAATGCAAAATCAATTTTGTTGCAAATACATGTGTAATATGATTTTAATATAATGCTTATATTCTATAGGTTTCAAACAATTGGAATGAAGTAAAAAATACATTTTTGATAATAAACAGAACTGTAGATGATTCTTTAATAATTAAGAAAGCTGTACAACATTAAAAATGGACTTATAACAACATTTATGCCCACACACACATTTTCTAAGCCACTTATGCTTCTGGGCCGCAGCATTTATACACAGAATGTCTCATATTAAAAAACAAAATCCTGCTGATTGCTATTCAAAGTAACTTTATGACAATAAATTACTATAAATAGATTATTAGAGTTTAATATATTAAAGAACATTTGTTATTTTATACCTTGTTATAACTTTGTTATTGCCAAAAAACTTTAATTGTGAATAAACCACTGGTTTAAGTTAAGTTTATACTATTTCAGTCGACATTTTATAAGTACAAGCTGACAAGTGAACTTTTCAACGGCAGTGTACGTTTTTGCTGAATAATCTCAAAGATATGACAGGCTACAGCCCCAGTAGAGTCTGGCTGCAGACATGCACTATTAGCCAGATGCACGCTCAGTCCCAGTGACGTCATGTGCACGTGCACTCTCTGCCACAATAGAAGAAACAGCCCAACGGCACGGTAACTTTCGGCTGCTGCTGCTTAGCGACATCATCACTTAATCCATTTTTCGGCCATAACACAGCCAGAGAGGTACATTTAATGTACCTCCCTGTTGAAAAAAATCATAGAACCCATTAAAAGTGTCTGTTGGTCCTGGTGGTGTCCAGTAGTCGCTAGTGGTATTCTGTGATTTCCTGATGAGTTGATACCACAGTAAAGGATTCTGGTCGTTTAATCAGGTATTTTGGGACTGATTCCAGATAAATTTGATCGTTTCCTAATGGCCTCTAACGACAACCATCAAGCCAATTCCCTTTAGGAAGCAAAACCGTCAGTTTTATTCCTTACGGCCCTGCAAACACAGCTACCTTGTGACAACGTACTGTTTCGGTGCCCACAGCGTCGTCTGCGTTGTGCCTTTCTACATTCCCAAAACGCTGAAATGTAATTCCTCAGAAAGTTAAGACAACGTTGTCTGACAACTTTCTGGGAGGTTGTGACGTTGACGAGACAGCAAAAGTAATCAGTACCACGTTGACTGTATGTTGTCACAACTTCCTAGAATCCTTAATGAGTTCTATTTTAATCAATATTACGGGTTTTGATAAGCGGTTCTGATCGTCTTCAGCATGGCTTTCATTAGTTTCAGTAGCCTTTTTGTTTTTTTTCTGCGAATAAACCCGACATTCATGTCTTATCGTCGTGGTAGGTTTTATTTTTAAAGTTTCCATATTTAATTACCTTATCATCAGTATGGCAACGTCAATATACATTCAGCGTAACTCTTGTTGCCCAGCAGTTCGTGGTTCGCTGTTTTCCCTCATAAAACCGACAAAAACACTGTCGTGGCAGAGCGTGCACTGACGTCATCAATAGGCTGGCGGCGCATGTAAGCTGAGAGTGCACGTCTGTAGCCAGGCAAACAGAACATAGAATTATATTTCTTTGCTTAAGACTTAAATCATTTTAAGGACCTCAGATGTAAAAGATCTTCTTGGGTACGTCCGTTATATTGGAGTGTCACGGACGGTAAACAAGTGAAAAAAAACTTGTCAAACATAACTTGTAAAGTAGGTCAGTCAACAGGAAGTGACGAAAATGCACTGTGATTCGATCTCAGAATTAAGTGATTCTCCGATTCTAGGGAATCGAGAGTCGACTCAAAAGCTTTCGATTCTATTCTACTACGTGACGTTTGCCCGCCTGTGTGAAAAATGCATCCTTTCACAGTGAACACGTGAGTAGATCGGCTTTATTTTAATAATCAGTTTGTAACAAAAAAGTGGCTTTCAATCTGCTTCGCCAGTGCAGAAACATCCACCTACCAGAAAAGGAGAATCAGGTACAATTAATTTGGCTAGCATCAGCTCTCCAAACTATCTTGCAAAATTAAATACACAGACATCTTGAAGAACTAAAGAACAACTCAGGTGGTTGCACATGAAGTTAATATGGCAAGATCTCTTGTTATTCATACCATCAATTATAAAAGTGCATTATGTAGTATTTTTGTGTTGCCAAATCTCCTTTATGTTTTAATTTTTAGAATCGAGAAAGGATTTGCGCAGAATCGACTCTTGAAACCGACTCCACATCTTCCCTTCACTTAGAGTCGGAGTCGACTCTTAAATCACTGGAATCGAACACGAGTCTTTGCCAAGTGGGTGGAGTTTTGTTGTGTTTTTGTTAGGCTAGCATTTGGTTGGTCGCCGCTGAAGTGAACGATAATGAGCCGCAGGAGCATCTGAAGGAAGTCGGCAAGATGACAAATTAATGACAGTTAACGGTGCTACATAAGCTGTGGTAGTTTTTCTGATAGGTCAGACATAGAACCAACGATGCCAGAACTCTCAGTCGACCCAAAGAGTCGCCGGCTTTTTTGTTTAACTTTATATAGGAGGTTCACGTATCGCGTATAGTTAGAGTTTTTGCATGTCTCTCGTCGTATCCGAAGCTGAACTGGAACAGAAATATCTTACATGACTATTAGCTCGATTAAACGGCTGTAATATGGAAAGAGAAGTCTCTGAAGACTCTGAAACATTAGGCTTCGTTTCCCAGAAAGACATAATTTACAACAAACTTTTGCCTTATGAGGACAAATTAGATGCAGAGTCAAATGAAATACTGGCACAGATCAAAGGAAACATTGGCCAGGCTGTCCAACTTAGGGAAATATGGCCAGGGGTGTTGTTTTGGACAAGGAAACTTTCCACGTATGTATCTACATTTACACCTTTCAGTTATTTCTCTGTCTAAACAAATTCCACAATCTGTGATCAGAGTCGAAACAATGATTAGTATAAGTGAAAGGTTCTTGTCATTATAAGCCTTGTAAGTGGTAGGACTGTTTCAGTGAGTGCTGTGTTTATAAGGATAAACGAGGCTCAGGTAAAAATACCTTCCCTCATGTTTTAAATAGCCTGGTAATTCAGTGGCTGGTTGGAGAAGGAAAGACGTCCTACCAGTCAATGGGTCTAAAGACTTTCATATGTAACTTCTCCCACATAGTGTTTTGACGCTTTATAGAATGTATATGTGAGGATGCTTTGTGGTTTGTGCTTATACTGGCAGGTTAAGCAGTGAGGTCAAGGTCTGCGCGTACCTTTGGTCATTCGATTTTCATTTCAAAAAACAGGAAAATGGTCATTCTCATTTTTGGTTCTGTTATTGTCAAAAATCAAAAAATCAATGGAAAAAACAAGGAATAGCTTAGTTTTATAGTTTAACAAACTAATCATAAAGTCAAATAGCAAACAAACAACAATTGAATAAAGGGTTGCATTCTATTCATTCAAAATTAACGTTTCCTATCACTTTAATCAGAAAATAAGTGCAGAATACACACATGGTTGCAGAAGCCCAGAAAACAGGCGTTTGCAGTTAAATGATGAAGACAGGAAAAGTCAGACATGAGTGTTGAGAAGATAGTTTTGGCATACTGGTAGGCTATATCACATTTTATATATATATACTATATTGCCAAAAGTATTTGCTTGTCTGCCTTCACACGCATATGAACTTGAGTGACATCCCATTCTTAATCCATAGGGTTTAATATGATTTCGGCCCGCCCTTTGCAGCTATAACAGCTTCAACTCTTCTGGGAAGGCTTTCCACAAGGTTTAGGAGTGTGTTTATGGAAATTTTTGACCATTCTTCCAGAAGCGCATTTGTGAGGTCAGACACTGATGTTGGACGAGAAGGCCTGGTCTCCGCTCTAATTCATCCCAAAGGTGTTATATCGGGTTGAGGTCAGGACTCTGTGCAGGCCAGTCAAGTTCTTCCACACCAAACTCGCTCATCCATGTCTTTATGGACCTTGCTTTGATCACTGGTGCGCAGTCATGTTGGAACAGGAAGGGGCCATCCCCAAACTGTTCCCACAAAGTTGGGAGCATGAAATTGTCCAAAATCTCTTGGTCTGCTGAAGCATTAAGAGTTCCTTTCACTGGGACTAAGGGGCCAAGCCCAACTCCTGAAAAACAACCCCACACCATAATCCCCCCTCCACCAAAGCTTACACTTGGCACAGTGCAGTCAGACAAGTACCGTTCTCCTGGCAACCGCCAAACCTAGACTCGTCCATCGGATTGCCAGATGGAGAAGCGTGATTCGTCACTCCAGAGAACACATTTGCACTGCTCTAGAGTCCAGTGGCGGCGCTTTACACCACTGCATTTGACGCTTTGCATTGCGCTTGATGATGTAAGGCTTGGACGCAGCTGCTCGGCCATGGAAACCCATTCCATGAAGCTCTCTACGCACTGTTCTTGAGCTAATCTGAAGGCCACATGAAGTTTGGAGGTCTGTAGTGATTGACTCAGCAGAAAGTTGGCAACCTCTGCACACTACGCGCCTCAGCATCCGCTGACCCTGCTCTGTCATTTTACGTGGCCTACCACTTCGTGGCTGAGTTGCTGTTGTTCCCAATCACTTCCACTTTCTTATAATACCACTGACAGTTGACTGTGAAATATTTAGAAGCGAGGAAATTTCACGACTGGACTTGTTGCACAGGTGGCATCCTATCACAGTACCACGCTGGAATTCACTGAGCTCCTAAGAGCGACCCGTTCTTTCACAAATGTTTGTAGAAGCAGTCTGCATGCCTAGGTGCTTGGTTTTATACACCTGTGGCCATGGAAGTGATTGGAACAACTGAATTCAATGATCTGGATGGGTGAGTGAATACTTTTGGCAATATAGTGTACATTTGTTATCTTATTTGATGTGCATAGCTTTGCTCTATCTGTGAAAAAAAGAAACAAATATGGGGATATGTATCGGATTTCTGCCATTTAATGGTGAAATGAAAGAGAGAAAGTCATGTTGCCCAACAATGACGAGAGGAAAGTAAAAAAGTAATACAGTAATGTATTAGAGGTAGGTGAACTCGGTTATAGCAGATGTGTTGGTCCAGACTTGAGGATTAAAACTGAGAGTTGTAGGCTACTCTTTGTTCATATTGTTCTTATCATACTTATTGTTATGACTGAAGTCATTCAGTCCCCCAAGTGCTGCTCCAACAACCAAAGTCTTTAGTTCATTACATGAAACTTTCACTGTAAGACTCTGTGTTTGGATTTAGGTTCTGTTGTGCTGTTTGCTGTGAGCGAAAATTAAAGATAAACCGATATTTACACAGTGAAACAACTAATATCGTGAGTATAATCTGTAGTGTCCATATGACTGCAGTACATGCCTGCATGTGAAAAGGAGTCAGATTCTGCCAGGGAGTCGGAATTCTGCACAACACCGGCAAAGATTTTCCTGTTTTTCAGTACTGGCTTTTGAAATGAAAATCAATCAGCCACTAGCCAGAATAATCCCACAAGTATGCATGCTTTCAGTACAATTAAAACCATTCTGAATACTAGGACACTGAGTTTTGGTAATGTCACTGCTCCAATACACACACACACACACACACACACACACATCTTCTAAGCTGATTATCCTTCTGGGTCGCGGGGGGAGCTGGAGCCTATCCCAGCAGTCATTGGGTGGAAGGCAGGATACACCCTGGACAGGTCACTGCTCCAATAGGCAGAGAAAATGGTATTACCCAATTATGTCATGTTTCACCTCCCCCTCCTAATATCCCCACCAATCAACAAGGGAAAACACTCATTTAGTGTCCCTCCTTGATACCAAAGTTCACTCTGCAACATCACGGTACAGAAGGAAAATGATCTCTGATTCATATTTGAGGCTGTGTTCCCATTGCGCACTTGTGCTCGGTATGATTCTAAAAGTAGCACATACTAGAACAAAAAAACTCTGAAATGTAGTTGTGCACAGATGCAGTGTTAACATGTCTATAGATAATATGTTAAAGTAAACCTAGTGGTATATGTGTGCAGTTAAAACCATTTTGGATATTGGGACACTAGCTTGTCAAAAACCAAGAATCTTTCTAGTAAGAACACAAGCTAGTAAAAACCTACCAGTTGGCAAGTTCAACAGAGTTACCAATTAGCATATTCCAGTAAGAACACTGGTATGTAGCAGTCCACAATACAGTGCAGTAACATGTAAACACTGGCTAGTAGTCATGGAACTTTTACTATAGCTTGTAAATTCTTGTAAAACCATGTATTAGTGTAAATTAGTAGTACATTTGCACCCAATACAGTTCAGACTGTTCTGAATAGTGGTAAGTTACACTGGCTACTCCATTCTACTAAGAACACTAGCCTGTGTAAACCTACCAGTATACAAATATTCAGTACAGTGAAACAGTTTTTTGTGGTACATAAGCTAGCACATTTTAACAAGAACACTGGCAAATGTAGTTTGAAAACAAAAGGTAACATCATACTTTATCCTGGTACTATAGCTAGGAAGTTCTAGTAAAAACATATTAGTGTAAACCTAGCAGCATGCATGTACTCGCTACAGAAAAAAACTGTTCTGAATATTTGAATACTGGTACTCTAGCTAGCACATTTCTAGTAAGAACACTGACTAAGGTAAACCTAGTGGTCCAGAGTACTAAGTGCAATTAAAACTGCTGCACACACTTTAGAATACAGCTGAACCATTTGGGGAATTTTTTAAAAAATTGTAGCTCTTGCGATTTGAACTGCACTCTCTTAATTTGCAATTCTGATACAAAAACGATGAATCTTTGTGTTCTTTTCACTTAACTACACACCCCAGAAAAGGCTTGCAAGTTGGCTAGGTTTTTGGCCATGAGTAAATTAAAGAAACAGTTAAACAACTGTAAACATTATGCAAGAAAAACAAGTTAGTACATTTTACTCATGTGATGTTCTGAAAAATCAAACAAACATAAATGTTATTGTAATTTAGGTTTCTAAGAATACATGAGTGACGTTTAAAAAATCTGTGAATAAAATGTGCTGGCATTTATTGCTGCACATTACAGTGTTATTTAAGTCTATTTATAAGTCTAACTGTGGAGTACTTGATGCTAGAGGTTGGGCCAACCAACCTCAAGGGTACATCTGAGTACATTTAGTCAGAAAACATAATTGTACCATAGTCCATTGAAATTATATTTTCTAAGTTGTATTGACTCCACACACCCTGTCTTATCTCCAGGCATTTTATTTTATTGTTCTGTTCTGAAACATTAGGCTATGAAAAGGTACAAATACATACTTTTCCACTGGGATTTTTTTAAAGAGCACAATTGGACCACAAAACCACTGTTGTACCTTTGAGAGTACATTTAGATTGTTTGTACGTTGCATGAAAAATGTCCCTGCACCGTACCTTTATTTCTTAGTGTAAGAATGTTTACAACTAGGCTTATCACCAGGCACCTATGCTCCTATTAGGTCCTTAGGAAACAACTAAGGAAGGCTGACACATACAGTGGACCCACATACGGTTGTCTTACTGGTTCCATTACTGGCTGTAATGGTGTTGGTTTTAGGTCCATGTTTTATTAATGTTTTATTAGGGAGGCATGTGTTGTAACACATTTTGAAATTTCAGCCCCCATTAGCATCATCATTTTACAGTGATTGCAAAATATCATGTTATGAGGCCAACAGGCCAAAAATGCTCTATCATGTTTCAATGGGCTGCTTCTATTTAAAGCATTCAGCGAGTGTATACATCCTGCTTGTGACCCCTTCTGTGAAATTTGATGTAGAGAGTAAACAGCAAACACTGAGTATTACACAATTCAGAGATGCTTGCTGCCATCTGACCCCCAACAGCTGTGTTGCTCAAGTCTGAAAATCCCCCCACTTTACCTTTCGAAATACCTGTTGCGAATGTTGTGTTCTTAAGCGGAGATAGGGGAGGGCAGTACGACGATATTTTGTTGTTATTATGATATGTTAAAGCACAGTATGCTTTTCAAAGCATAATATAGATACTGTCAGTGCTTAAAACACTAGTAATGTAGTATTATATATGTGGGGCAAGGCATAATCATGTATATGAAGGAATACAGGTCTTACCTAGTGGAACAAACTGCCTATTGTGCCCCCTTCTGGACAATTAAAAAACATTCCTCAAATTAAATGATAAATCCACCTATTCAAATAGGAGCTGTTGTTTATTTGTAAATGAAATAAAATTTTAAATAACACACACAATTGGTCAAACAGTTGTTTATTTGTCAATTAACAGTCAATGCTTTAAAACATTTACATCCCAATTGTATTGTGAGGATGTCTTTAAATATAATGATATACTTTTACCATATTGCCCACCCATAGGTGGGAATATATGCTGAATTTGTCAGTAGGGCTGTCTTTATCAATTATAGTATTAACTGAGTAAACAATTATTTTGACAATTATCGAAGAGTCAGATTTTTTTTAAAATCATGCAACTTGCGTACTAATGACTGATGATTTATTGAGAGTAAATTTCAATTGATCTATTATGAAAACCCCCATAATTATGGGCCTAATTTTACAGCTTTTTTTTTGTGAACTAAGAGTAGTTCAGTACGTAATCAGTGTTTTGGTTTAACGACTGATCATTTGGATCTGTTCACCAGCTTACAGCCTAATAACCATCCACACTGCTGTAAGTGGGCCAGAGCCCCTTATACAGTCACTTTGTCCTAATGCCCTTTTGGCACAGCTCTGTTTCTGCCGGCTCAGGGATAAAAACTGTGGTGGCCAGAGCTGCACAACAAGCCAAAACTTCAATGTGTAAGTGGTTTGTTTTTCAGCATAGGCTGAAAGAAAGTAACTAAAGAAATGAAGAGACTGCAAGCACTAGCAGACGAACACAAAATGCATCTTCAGGAATGCTATCATTCATGCTGCGATAGGTAGAACTGTGTTTGGTACTAAAACAACAGAAACATTAAAACAGTAAAAACTCTACAAGATTGCTCGCGGACTGTTCTGTAGATGATACCAGTTTACTAGTGACAGACTGATATGTTAGTTCCATTCACTTTTGAGGGCTTAACGGTTTTATGCTTGTATGCTAGTCTTTATAGAGGCTGCTGTGAGCAACAGCGAACACAGGTGGGCATTATATTCATTGTTTTGATACTTTTTTCTTTTTTTACTACCACTATTTGTTAGAAATATTCGTAAGTATTCATGAACTTAGTATGAGCTGTCCAAGGATCATTAGATTGGGTAGATATGCTTAAGGTCAGTCACATGATGTAGCTGGCTTGGTAGGATGTACTAAATTTAAAGAGCAGTCATAAGTGTAAAACTGAAACACTGAAATTCCCTAATTGATTTTTACAGCCTAATTTCCATCATAGTCCATTTGTTTTTGAAAAGGAATTAAATATTTTGTCTTTCTTGATTTGTTAAGTGTTATGGGTGCAAATCCAGACATAAACCTTGTAGTTATTCTCTTGGCATTGCAGTATCTTTGAAATTTAAATCTCTGACCAAACTCTTTTATTGTAATTCATTTGACAGTACAGTGTTGCAGTAGTCAGTAGGCAAATAAGCCTCTAATCAGTCACTAAGGATAAGGTTCCTAGACCCAGATTATGTGCAAGCCTGGACTTAATGGTCAAATGAAGTCAAGTCAAAGTTTATTTGAATAGCACTTTTTTACAACAGGCATTGTTGCAAAGCAGCTTTACAGAAAAATCCAGGGGGTTTGCACAGCGTTGTACAGCTAGAAGCTCCATGGTAGTTAAACCGGCCCAGGAGACGGGCAAGCAGTGGGCACCTGATCAAGGCAAATGAAGCTACAGCATCAGACCGCACAGGATGGGCAGTTCAGCTCGGCAAAAAAACACACAGTTTTGTTAAGAAAGACTAATTACAGTACACATTGTTAGCAAAGTGCAGAAGAGATTAACTAAGCTAAGCTAAAGGAGAGCCAGAAGGCAACAAAGTCATGATAGTTCCCTGAGATGTCAGTGGCCCGTGCTGAACTGTCAGCAAACCCTGAGTGAACGTGTGAGAGCAGCAGGACGACAGCACCAACACTCGTAGTTTACTGAGAGCACCAATACTCCATGTCCATGAACCCCCAGATCTGCACCTTTTATCTAATGAGAAAAACGTAATTACCGAAGGCTCGACCAAACAAGTAGGTTTTTAGCCTAGACATAAAGACTGAGGCTGTGTCTGAGTCCCGAACACTGACTGGAAGATTATTCCAAAGCTGGAGGGCTTTGTATGAAATGGCTGTACCCCCTGACTTAACTTTATTAATTCTAGGTGCTAAGAGTAAGCCAGCACCTTGTGATCTTTTGAAACAGATAAAAAAGAAATACATTTGCAAATCAAATATGTAAATTGCTGGTGTTCCAAGAACAATAGATCGGCCGCTTCAGAGGCCAAACCTCAACATCACTAAATGTATTTGGGAATACTTGAATTGTGAGAAGCAGAAAATGCAACCAACCAGTGAACTTTGGAAGAGTGGGAAAAATACAACTGCAGATTTCTTTTAAAAACTGAAAGCTATTGCATGAAAAAAATGGAAGTGGCAACAGGTCGATACAGTAAATACTGAAAATGTTGATATTACATTTATTTGTTGAGGCTAATGTATATATTTTTTTAATAAATAAAATAATAAAACATACATTTTCTGCCTTTTATAACCCCAAAAAAATGTGTAACTTACTGACTGTTTTGAAATTAAGTGAATAAAGTGTAGTCTCTAACGTTTGCACAGTCCTGTATAATGGAAGTTATTTCACTTCAGTATATCTGTTAACCTTTATATGCTTGATGTTGCTACAGGTACATTCGGCTGTATGGCAGGAAGTTCAGCAAAGAGGACCATGTGCTGTTTATCAAGCTCCTGTACGAGCTGGTGACCCTTCCCAAGCTGGAGATCAGCATGATGCAGGGTTTTGCCCATCTCCTCATCAGCTTGCTCAAGTAAGGCCAGACCCTCCACGCTTACACATGAAATCTCCTAACATGGTTAAGTTTTTATTGTCCCACTGTTCATAGTATAATTAGTGGTAGGTGATAAGATAATGATAAAATCATTATTGTGATCAATTATATCAAAGTAAGCTTCTGAGTTTGTAGTGGATATTGTGAGTAGAACACTGACAAACTGCATGTTTCGTTAAAACATTACAACAAGAGCAGCATCAGACACACCCGCAAAAGATTAACCTGAGGTGACCTTAGTGACTTGTTGCCTCCTAATGTGAACGTACAGTTAGGAGTATCATAGATTGTGTTAAATAGAGCTATTAAAACCATTCTCGATATCTTAACATGTGCATTGTGACATCCCTATTCATAAACATGGGATGGAGCCATAGTGCCATAATGGCATTATATAGGTGAAATATAGTCCTTTTGTGCTTTGTGCTTGTACTGCATATAAAGCTATGTGTCAGTAGGAAAGAAGTCTATTCTATGTTTATATTTGGCTCAGGGCTACAGGGCAGTAGTTGCAAACATAAGTATCCAGCTCTAATTATCTATCATGTGTAATGGACTACTTTCAGTAACTAATTTAAAGTAAACAGTGCTTAGTCATTTTTATTGGATGGTAGTGTAAAATCTTAGTCCACTTGTGTAATTATCTGTCCTTTCAGAAAAAGAGAGTTGCTCTCTAGAGATGACTTGGAATTACCATGGAGACCCTTATACGAGTTACAGGAGAGGATCCTGTATTCAAAAACAGAACACCTTGGCCTCAACTGGTTCCCCAGGTACAAACATACTTCTCTTTTTCTGAAGAAGACTGAGGTACAACAAACAGATCAATCAATTTTAATTTTCTTAGTATTTACAGTCAGGCTTCTTTATAGTTCATATTCTTATTAGTTTTTAAAACTACCAAATATCACTGTTCATTTCTTAAAATTATTACTTTGCCTAAAGGGGTATTGCATTTAAAAAAAAAAAATGATATTTCAGAATTTCTGTATGATCAAATGATTACAATGTAAACAGTCACTCAGAATAATTTGTTGTAAAATGTTCCATTGTAGAGAAACTCACCTAAAATTGTTAACGGTGTTGGTAATAAGAACCAGACATCCAAGGCATTTAATACCTCTAGAGGCTGCATCACTCACCGAGTGCTTTATTAGGAAAACTAAACTAATTCTGGATAGGGCTCTCAAAACAGCTTCAGTTCTTCATGGCATTGATTCCACAAGGTACTGGAAACATTCCTTTGAGATTCAAGTCCATGTTGACCAGATTGCATCACGCAATTCCTGCAGATTTTTCAGGTGCACTTTAATGGTGCAAATCTCCTGTTCTGCCACATCCCAAAGGTGTTCTATTGAATTCAGATCCAGTGGAAGGCCTCTGAAGAACATTGAACTCATTGTCATGTTCATGAAACCAGTTTGAGATGATTTTTCCCTTGTGACATGGTGCATTATCATGGTAGAAGTAACCATTAGAAGATGAGTAAATTGTGGCTGTGAACAGATGCGTATGGCCAGCAAAATACTCAAATAGGCTATGGCATTCAAGCAATGATTGACTGGTATTAACAGGCCCAAAGTGTGCCAAGAAAATATTCCACACACCATTCTACCATCTCCACCAGCCTGGACTGCTGACACAAGGCAGGTTTGGTCTATGGATTTGTGCTGTTGGCATCAAATTCTGACCCTACCATCTGTGTGCTTCAGCAAAAATCAAGATTTGTTAGACAAGCCTAAGTTTTTCCAGTGTTCAGCTGTTCAGTTTTGGTGAACGTCTGCCCACTGCAGCATCAGCTTTTTGTTCTTGGCTGACAGAAGTGAATATGGTTTTCTGCTGTTACGGCCCATTCGCCTCAATATTCGATGTGTAGTGCATTTTAAGATGCTTTTCCACAATTGTACAGAGTAGTAGGTCTGAGTTACCGTAGCCTTTCTTTGAGCTCAAACCAGAAAAGCATCTCCACAAATATTGGCAACCCAGGTACACATGAGCAAAAAAAGGCTGTAAAAATCATTCTTTATTGTTTATTGTTTTGATATTTCATTCAAAATATTAACAAAAAAACAAACCTTTTTGGAGTATAATAATTGAAAAAACACAATCTTATCAGGAAATACATGTATTTTCTCAAATCTGTGCGTACAATTATTAGCACCCTTTCATTTAATACTTTGTGCAAAACCCTTTGTAAAGGTAACAGCTTTGAGTCTTGTCCTGTAATGCTTTATGAGAATGGAGAACACATGGCAAACGATCTGAGACCTTTCCTCCATGCAGAATCTCTCCAGATCCTTCAGATTCCAGGGTCTACACTGTGGACTCTAATCTTCAGCTCACACAGCTCCTACAGGTTTTCTGTGGGGTTTAGGTCAAGAGACTGGGTGGCCATGGCAAAACCTTTAATATATGGTCAGGTTTTGATTTTATTTCTGCTGATATTTGTTGGAATCTGTAAATTGTCCAGAGCCTTTGGAAGAAAAAGACCCCACAACATCACAGAACCTCCACCATACTTCACAGTGGGGATGGGGTACTTTTCTGCATTGCTATCTCGGTGTCCATGCCAAACTCACCTGTATTTTAGTCTCATCTGACCATAGAATACGGTCCCACTGAAAGTTCTAATAACATTTGGCAAACTATAGATGCTTGAGTTTGTTGGTCCTTGACAACAGAGGCTTTCCTCTGACAACCCCCACAAAAAAAACATTTTATAGGTTGTGTTTGATTGTAGTTTAGGAGACGTTGTGACCCCAAGACCCAACTCATGTCTGCAGTTCACCATCTGTGATCTTTCAAGATTCTTCATCCACTCAAACCATCCTTTTCACAGTGTGTGGGGTCATTGTAGACATATTTTCTCTTCCCAACAGATTCTTAATATCTCCAGTTGTTTTAAGCTTATTAATTATTGCCCAGAAATTAAAGTCATTTGTAACTGTTTAACTATTTTCTTGTAGCCATTTCCTGATTTGTGCAGCTCAACAACCTATTGTTGTACATCACTGCTGTATTCTCTGGTGTTTCTCATAGTGATAGACGACTGAGGGAATTTGGCCTGTGTTTCATCTCAAATGTATTTCAGGGAAAACAGGGAAAAAGAAGTCATGGCTGACCGTTTAAGTGTTCCTGATTGCTCAGCTTAACTGAAAAACATATACTTCAGTTAGATTTCACTCTTAATTTCTAGGGGTGCCAATAATTGTGGTACACATAAATTTAAGAAAAGTATTTTTTTTTCAGTACAAGATTTAGTTTTTTTCAGTCATTATACTCTAAATAAAGGTTAGATTTTTGCTAATCTTTAAATGAAAGATCAAAAAGAAAATGTAATCAGGAGTATCTTTTAAAGCTCATTTTGCTCATGATTACCAGGGGTGCCAATGTTTATGGAAGGCATTGTATATGCCACATTGCCATTGGCATATAGCAAGTCCAGTGCCTTATTTTCCCTGGTGGGACAACTGACGTAGTGTTTGAATGTGGGCAGAATGTAGGAGAGATTGGCATGATGAAGGTACCCAGAGATGATGAACTTGGCTTTGGGAGACATTGCACGTGGAGACATCGACAGCACATGGTGATATGTACACCACTGTCACAATAACATGCGAAAATTCCCTGGGCGGGTAGTACGGTGTCATGCTAACTGCTAATAGTTCAGTGTCCGAAGTACACAGGTGTTCCTTTACGGTAATATGACCCGGATTGCACCTCTTACTGTTTACAAATAACCGCTTCATGTCCTCCTTCCACTCCAGTTGTTCCAGTCTGCTCTTATCAGCTGGAAGTCTTCTGTGTTAGCCTTAGCAGCAGGAATCAGTTTCATAAATCAGCACACAAAACTAATCTCATATTGCCCTTTATCACAGATTGCACTGTAGGTTTGTAGCTTCTCAGGTTTTTCCGTTGCTCTGCACCCTCAGAAGGCCTTGTGGATCTCCCATGGGATGATGGGTCTGTAGAGGCAGTGGTGTTTTTTGTTTGTTTGTTTGTTTGCTTATTTTTTATTACAAGTAACCACTTAAACTAGAACAAAAAGGCAGTAGAATACATAAAAGCTCAACATTCACACATCAAAAGAAAATGGAAACAAAAATGAAAACCATTCAAATAAAACTGAATAGCTCTAACACAGTTATTTCATTTACAAAATGTCTTGTTTTGCTGCAGGCATAAATTCACTAATGTGAAAATGTAATTACATAGATTTGTGCATACACAGTATTTTTCTGGCAGATTTTATCTTATGTATATAACGTCAAGTTTATTATAAAACGCTCTTCAGTGTCAAAACAGGTTCATCAAAAAGTAATAAAATATAGTGAACTTTAAGGTTAATTTCTTTACCAGTCTTTCTTTTTAAGTCTAAAAAAAGATCAACAAAAAAAAAAAACAAATAATGCCAAAATAAAATTTATTTATCTAGATACCATTATGTTTGTTGTTGTTTTTTTTTACCATTATCAACATTACAAATAAAAATTTGGTTCCGTGGTGGTTTTGGACAATGAATAAAAAGTTTCTCTACAACAACCTCTGTTCTCTATCACCACCACTGTAAAGATATCTGAGCTGCTAAGTTTCTCTACAGTTACCCAATTCCGAACACTCTGAGTTACTTTGTTTACATCTCAACAATTAAATTGCTCAAAAATATAAAAATTTGAAAAGTTTATAAAATTCCACTTTATGCCTGAGCAGTCGAGAGTTATACGTTTCATTTTGCTTTACTATTTAAAAGTAATTGTGTAACTACAAATGCCATGTATTTATGCAATAAATTACATTTACGTTTAATTTATATTGTATATCAACAGGATCAAGTTTTCATGTCTGAAGTTTTCCATTTGTTTTGATGTTAAGCATGTCAAAACATACTAAAAATCTAAAGGATTTTTTTTTTTCACGAACAAGGATGCATGCACATCAGTAACTTTTTTAAAATAAAATATCTCCTCTTTTTCAGCCCCACCGATAATCTTGACTTCTAGGGATTAAATTCCCTCTCGTTTGTAATCTCACAGGCCCTGTGTTTCTTATCAACAACCTTAAAATCACAGAATTGATTGATATTCTGCATTTTATAAGAATATTTAGTAAATTCAGGTGTAGTTTTGGCTGGCTAAAACTAAATTAAACACCAAATCAGTAATTGATTACTTTAGTCCATGCTGTGCTGAGTTTGCCTTTATATCTCCACATTTAGTTCTCTGCGGCCACGCTCTACTTCTAAGCACATAATCATAAAAATTGCTCAGAGGTGGTAAGGATATTTGCATTTTTGTGTTGCCTTTTGATTTCCATTTCACCTGCCTTTCAGGCACTGTATCAAGTGCTGGAACAAAATTAATTGCATGGCATATTGCAAAGAAGAAAAAACACCTGACACTTCAACCTAGTTTTAACAATTGAATTGTCTGTTTTGGTCTTTCTATTCAACTGTTAAAGTACAGGCCTAAAGCAGGCAAACTGGTTAGTGGACTAGTGAAGTTGTGCATCATTCTGTTGTTATGCCCATATTTGGATCTCTGGGTCTAAGCTTGAATTCTCTAGGGCCAAAATGAATGGGTCTTTCAAAACATTGCCTCTGTTGAGCCCTGTGGTATGTTTAGAACCCAGTAAACTTTATTCTGTGTACATTTTTCTCCTGAATATCCCTGGACCCTCATGGAATCATAGTACTAATATTGCTCATGTAAGCTAATGCTGCTGCGCATCAGTTTCTCATCACCTAAGCAGCACAAAAGTGAGGCCTGTTGATATGTCCTACAGTAGCTCATATGTATAGATAGCTTTGTACATAAAACCTCTAGGTAGGATGTTTCTGGGATAGGATAGTCTGTAATTGTAGAACTAAAAAGTGCACCTATATAGTAAGTGGACCTGATAAAATGGACAATGAGCATAGAGACAAGGACATAATGTTATGCCTGATCGGTGTATAAAGCCTCATGTGCCAGAATGTAACTGCTGCACCATTTAAAGTGGAATGGGAAAATTTAAACACAATTTTTTAAGGAGTAATATTAAGCTGTCTGTAATATTATGTTTGTACTGAAGTATTATTAAAAAATGCAATAAAATATTTAAAACACTGAGTTACTATGTTGTACTAAGGATATGCGCATGCTCGATGGGTTAACTTTTTAGAACACGGGCTATGGTGGTCTTATTACTTTGTGGTTTGTCAGGCTTTTTCAAAGATGACCAGAAGAGTATTGAAAGAAGTGAAAACCACCTTCAGTCTGCTCATGTTGAGCAGTGTAGCCCACGGCTGCCAACTCTCATGGATTGGCCGTGAGACTCATGCAGTTCAGTCTAATGTCACACTCTTGTATGAGTGCAAATAACTGCCCAGTGTTGTTGCCAAGATGGCCGTTGTGTGGGCAAACTTTCCTATAATGACTTTGACCCCATACAAACTGCCAACCCACCCCTCTCTCCCAATCCAACACTGCCTTCCAGCCCCAAGCCCAGCCTGCTGAAATCTCACTCTTAACAAAAATGTAAAAGTTGGCAGCCCTGGTAGTCTGAGTGCAGGTCAGCTTGTAGGGCTAACACATTGGCAAACTGTGCTGGTTTGCGTGTTTTTTAAGGAGGCTATCAGTCTAATTCAATGCAGAGTAGCCTTAGCTTACATGTAGCAATATTTATGTTTTGGTTCTCTAACAACCTCATAATTCAGAAATATTCATAGGACAAACCATCAGTTTTGGAACATTTTTGATCACCACAGGATGCGACCGAGGCAGTTTTTGAAAACTCCATTCATTCTTCTCATAGAGAAATTCCTTTTTGACCAAACAATTCATCTTTAAGCCCAACCACTGTCCTCTAAAGGTGTTATTAACAATTATCAAATAAACTAACATTACTCACTGCTGAGTTGTAAAGGTTTTAGAAATGTCAGAAGTAAGAACTTTTGTTGTTTTTATAAAAATAATTTTCTCCTTTTTTTCATTTACATGTGTTTGCCTTAACCCAACTGATGAAAAAGCAATTTACGTTCTGTTTAATGCAATATGATTGTGTAAGATAACAGCTGTAGAAAATAATTGTGGTAGTCTCAAATAATTGCGATTAGGTGATTATGTAATAATTTTGACAGGCCTACTCAGTCTCAGCTCTATAACCTAAGCATTCATTACAGAATGTGTGACACAGCAGCACCTCTATGCCGTGAACAGCTTGTGCTGGGCATTTTTCATGAGAGCACTTATCCCCCTACTAACAGCATGTGATTCACCAAATTCCTTTCTGTAGACACCTGATAGCCTGCTGGCCTGTTGATTCTCACTATTGCAGTGGTCATGCAGTGGGTCACATTTTCCCCTCTGAATGAGAACAGCATGAATAAGCCATGTTTCAAAATAAAGGTTACTGGGGTCAGGAGCCCTGACCCTGATATGGTGTTAGGTATCAGCACATGTTGCACTTTGATGCTCATAAGCTTGGTTTGTGACGCATGTATTTGATGGGTTTGTTGATGACTTCTCTGGTGTTTTATTGATGTATTTTATTTCTGTATAAGAGTTGATCCATCTAGTGCTGAGTGATACTGATAAAATTCATGTATTCATGCAGATAAAGTTTGAGTATCATGATATTTTCTGAAGACACAATAAATCCAAAGTTATCCAGTTAACCCTAATTAGTAAACTACTTTATGGTGCACTCACTGCTGAGGAGTTCAGTTGCACACTCACAACTTATATAATCTCTATAGACAAGCATTAAAAATAGAATGGGAGACTCAGGAGCAACCACACATAAGCCTCATGCTCAGTGCCAAGCATCAGCTAGAGATGTATAAAGCTCCCCAGCAGTGAAACTGTGTTTTCTGGAGTGATGGAGCTCCATCCAATAACTTTGGGATGAGTTGAAGTGATCTGGAACTAATTATTCAACATGAGTACCTAACCTCACTAATGCTTTTGTGGCTAAATGCAGTCAAATCCTCACAGCAGTCTTCCAACATCTAGTACTAAAAAATCTTACCAGAAGAGTAGAGGCTGTTAACTGCAGCAAAGGAGGGGCAAACTCCTTATTAATACCCTTGATCCAGTATCTGCAAACTGTTAGACATATAGTGTATATCCCAGTATCATGCTATCACATGATATTCAAATTATTATTTTGAAATTGAGTGAACCCATGCTTCCTGAGTATTCCATGCTAATATGTATGAAGTCTTCAAAAATTCACATACCTTGATTTGATTGAACTATTTTGTTTTGCTTTGCTTACAATTATTACAATTAACCGAAGTGAAGCTTCGCACAGTATCATAAATGATAGCCAGACATAAATTCCATTGTAAATGACATGTGGACCAAAAAAAAAGAAAAAACAATCCACAAATAAAGAAAGTGGCTAGGTTTCAAATCAGGTTTTTAAAAATGTATTTTATAACAATACACTATTTTGTTACTAAAATACTTCAAAAAAATGTTTTTGAATATATTTGTCCTCTTTTTGACTGAGAGGTTGGGGCCCATATTAAACATTCTCTCAGGCCAACTTTGGGCACCCTGGCATAGAAACTTTACATGCTGTGAAGTTTATTTAAGCCTTTACAAGGTTTTTTTACACTCACAGATAACTTTTTCAAATGTGGTTCTTTAGGGAACCAAAAGTGGTTTTTCTATGGCATTGCAAAAAGAACCCTTTGTGGCACCCTTTTTTTTAAGAGTGCGGTATACTGGTATACACAATGGATTCCCTAGTATAAAGTCAAGTTAGAACAATCTGTTAACCTGACCTATGCTAGTTCAAGGTGTCCTTTCAGCAGAGGAGTCCAACTGATATATTGGGTCACCAATATTATTAGCCTATATTCACCCTTGTTTATAGATATTGCACTCTTTATTTGGAGAGGCTTTTTTTTAACCTTCTCTGATTTTAGTTACTCCTTCAAAATGTTTTTACATTTGTACATTCTTTGCTCTAGCTTCAACAACAGCAAACAGTGGTGACGTACAGTAAGCCAGCTTTATGCCATATATTTCTTATGAGGTTAGGTATGAGGTAATCCACTTGCATAAGGAAGAGTCAGAAAAGTCAAAGGAAAATTTCAAATTGAAAAAAAGGATTTTCCAAAAATGTACAAAAAATGATGAACACAATATAAGGAAAATGGACTCCTAAACCGTGCAAGATTTGATAGACCACCAAAACTGTTACCATCAAATAAAAGTACTTAAAGCTCCCTTCTTTGAGAGACAGACCCTTCTTTGCACAGTATTGTAGGACTAAATAAGTGTTGTAAATGAGAAAAGTAAATTCTATCAATATTTCGGTTATACTTTTTTTACATGCTGTGTCTAACTGCACCCCTGTGTTCAGCTTGATTGTTCTGTGACTAATATAAGTAAATGTAGCTAATCCTGGGTGTAGTGATTCACTAAATATTCCTTTCATTTTCAGCTCAGTGGAAAGGGTATTGAAGGCTTTGGTCAAGAACTGCAGACCGTAAGTATACATTTATGCTTTCATGCTCAAACAAGGGTCATTTTAGGTTCCACTATATGAATAAAGGTTTGAATTTAACCCATGAAACTAAAGGAAAGTTAAAAACAATACTTGAAAAATATTACCTCCAAAAACTTTTAAATGTTGAAATGACTCAGATTGCACAAAGTAAAAAGAGTAAGAAAAGTAAGAAAATTGTGGTGCTATAATGAACAATTCTTTGAAGAACCATGTACACCTCATTTTCCATCATAGGGAAGAACCATTTGTAGTTTACACCTTATGTAGTTTCTGACACTGTATGAAATAAAAGATGCTCATTTTTACAAGTAACAGTATGTCACACATACTTGGATTTCTTTTCCCAAACTGTTCATTTCTTTATTGCTAGATTGGCCTTAGCAGGACTAAAATCACAGAAGGCTTACAATATGAGCCCTGATTGGTCTTATGCAATCACAAATGCCTTCTGCATGCTTATGTTTGAGTCAAGGCCTTGAGCTGATTAAATGTAAATTATCTTGATCAAAGTAAGCCAAAACAACGTCGTATTAAGATTTCATCGGTATGTTTCAGTATAAAATGCTTAATATGTGCTTACAAAATCAATAGAGATGATTTATTTTATTTCTTATTATTTTTTGGTTTATTTTGTTGTTTTGCACTGTATACAAGTGAAAAAGTGGAAAATATACCGGTCTTGTTATTCTAAACATATACAGCTCATAGGTGTCAGTTAGCCATGTTCCAGCAAGGAGGACGCATACCCAGTTTTGAATAGCTCCGCAGTTTCTCCTAAGGCTTTTAATCCTATTAAGCCCTCTTTTAATTCAGGCGTAGGAGAGGGAGAGAGAGGGAGCAGAGGGACTGACCATTGGGATCATTCTTGTGGAAGCCTCCACCTGATGACAGAACCTGTCATTTCCAGCCACAGGCCTTGATAGTACTGGTGTATGGTTATTACTTTTGACCGTTACATTCATGATGCTAGTCAGCTGCGATTCAGATTCAGATTCTGATTATAGCATAGAGGAGATCATCCAGGGTACCCAGTCAAGGGCAGAATTGGTTGAATTGAAGGTTAACATAGGTGTCAACTTTTAGAAATTATAACTCTACACAGCTTCCAAACATTTCTAGCATTAAAATCATTAGCAACAGCAGTAGAAACTGTTTTCTGAGACAATACTGTGCAAAGGATTTAGGCACCTGAGAAAATTTTAATTAAAAATCAGTTTAGCTGGGCAGTAAGTAATTTGCTCAGAAAAACACTAATATTATAATTGGTTGGTTGGTTGAACCGTTGCTGAACTTCTCCGTGGGGCAGGCCAGTATTATTTGTAGTTATTATCAAACACCTGGTTTGGTTAATCAGTGCTGCATTATGTTAACTCAACTGTGCCAGTGATGGGATGGAATTCAACAAATCTATGTGACTATGTGCTGGGAGCATCCAGGAAACATCTGAAACCAAACTTTGTTCTTCAGTCTAGCTCAAAAAATAGCAACTGCTTTTTCAAAATAAGAACTTCTTCTCACTTGTTACTGTACATATATTTTTTGCATTTATTGTAATGATATATGGTGTTTTTACAAGCAAAAACACACGTACTCATGATAGAAATGGTTTTAAATAACATGCTTAGGTGTCTATGACTTTTGCATAATACTGTATAAATCTGGTGATCATAAGAGTTGAGATGCTACAGAGTCAGACCCCCTCCTTATTAGACATGAAACCTGTCTACATTATATGATGAGCTGAGTTTTTGCTCTGTGAAGAGCTGACAGAAAAAAAGATATAGTGTCATCTGCAATTTGAGAAATTTACCTTTTAGGTTGATGTCTAGGTTAAGTATTGAACCCAACTAGTTAACTGTTTTGTATAGGTTTTATAATGATTCATGTTGGCATCAGCAGATTGTTCAGAAAATCATGGTAAACGTTAAAGTAAACATTTAAAACATTCAAACATCAAAACATTAGTATATTTAATGTTGTTTGTTTTGCTACTTAGATATTTCCCTGAGTCAGCTACTCAGGAAATGCTGGATGAGTGGAGGCCACTGCTGTGTCCGTTTGACGTGACGATGCAAAGAGCCATTGGTTACTTTGAGCTTTTTCTGCCCACCACTCTGCCTCCTCACCTACACCACAAAGGCTTCAAGTAAGTCTTTGAAAAACTTCTTCCCTACTACAAGGCTATGACATCACCCTTATATCTTAGTACAGAGCCAACATATCAAAGGAGCTGTTAAAATGTTTTGGATTATACTAAGGACTGCTTAGACTACTTCACTAATGTATCCATTTGTGGGTGCTATGGGCAGCTATCAGTTAGGCCTGTTTCACATATATCATTTCAGCGCTCGTGTTAACAGCTTAGAGCTTTCACACAGGCCATGCACGTAGAGCGGCAGAGCATCCCAGATGTAGCACTGAAGCGCTGCAGCAGTAGATGACAATCAGTGACAGTGAAACAGAAAATGGAACAAAACTGTAAGGACGCAAAATTCCATGCTGCTAACAGATTTTCTGGTAGGTCTACCAGGCTTGAAATGATTGCTCAGCCACATGTCGGAATACTGTCAAGCGTAAACAAATGTACCGTGCTCTTTTACCAGTATACTTCCTTGCTGTATTGCTTGGCATCACAGATGCTATATGCATAAATGGTCAATGTATGTGAGCTGCAGCAGTCACGCTGCCTTTGCGTTCACGCCATGCAGAGGTAGCGTGTGCGAACCAGGCCTTAGTCATGCATGATTTAGGACTGAAATTTGCAAAAATAGTTGTGAACATGCAGGGCATCTAGTCAGTTAAAAAGGGTAATATATCCACTATTGGGCACTGTGGGCAGATGTTGATAAGTCGTGCTTTTTATTAGTGTGAAAATACAGTAAAAGATTAAACTACATTACACTTCAAAAACAGTCTCACAAATGAGGCTTTTGATCCTTGGTTAGCTTTTGATCCTCAACATAGCTAAGTACTACCCAGAAAGGCCATTTGACCGACTTCCAATCACAGGCAGTTGTATTAGTGCACTACGTAGGCAAGTCAGAACCGTTTTCTATTACAGAAACAGACCTGCCGGCAAAAGGATCTCATTTACTTTCTACTGTCTGCTTCAAACAACGAGCAGGATTAGAAAGGATGTATGTGCATGTAATACCCTCGTGGGTGAATGAGGACAGAGTACGACAGAGGCAGATGTACAGGCGCAGAAATATTTTGTTACCTGCAATGAAACAAAAATGATAGGCTTGGAGCATACAGCTCTTATGAACAAGCAAAATCAAGGGTCCACCGCTAATCTCATTGTTCCGGATAAGCTTGTCGTTCAGATGTTACATTTTTCTGCTGCCTCTGTTCCTTTCTCTCTCAGCTCTCTCTACTGAAGGTATAAAAAAGACATATTAGTAGGGAGAGTGGCAGTTATCCACAGATACATGCGCTTACCAGTCCCTCACTCAAACTAGCCCTCCTCCTCACTGACAGCGCCTGACCATGCCCCCGCTGCCACAGTGCGAATGAGCTCTATTAACCCTTTGATGCGCAAGCTATGCAAAGCCCTTCAAATGCACAACATGGGTCAAAAATGATGAATGAATGTTTTCATTCTTCTTTTCTTACTTCATGAACAAAAATCATTTTTATATTACTACATCAAGTTTACACACTTGGGTTAAAATTACCCATGTATGCAGCTGTGATTAAAAAAGACATATATCATAATAATCATTTTGTTAAAATAATTATTTTAGCAGTGATTTAGTCAAACAATAATACATTTAATATTTGAAATATGTTTGTCACTTTGTCACACATAACATAAATGTATCACAGATAACCAATAACACTGATATTGAACTGTAGTGTAACAGTGGTGAACTGTGGTGAATGTGACCAGATAAAAGAAAATAAAACTGATGAAATAAAATCAAATGTGTGCAGCACAAATTGCCGTCTCAGTGCTTGTATGCCTTACAAATGACATCTATGTCTTTGTGCTCCTTGCACACAGGCCTGGAGCACTGGAAACACCAGCTGCTGACATTTCTGTCTTAGACAGCTGGGCAGATCTTGCACCTTTTACTATTCTTTTGGTCTTCCTGTCTGATGTTCTCCTGTGGCTTTAATGTGTTCATTAATGTGTTTGTGGATGTTTTGATAAATCAGGATATTCATGAATATCTAAATGCATTTTACATAATAATGCAGGCTTATCTTTAACTGTGCCACATTCTCCAATATATTATCAACTGCAATATATAGCGGCATAGTCAAAGTAGTATATATTTTGCCCACACTGTGTAGCCCTACTGCTTATGACTGTTTTATCTCCCCATGTGTGTTCTCCAGATTGTGGTTTAAGAACCTCATAGACCTTTGGGTAACTGTACAGAATCTTCCCACATGGGAAATGGTATGTTTTGAATTTCTCCTTCACTACTACTGAGGGGTTTACATTCAGAATGGAGATACTGTGCTGGAAAGCATAATCTACTTTTACTTTTCTGTGTTGCAGCATCTTGTAAGTCTCTTTGCTCGATTGGCTAATGACAACATTGGCTACATAGACTGGGATCCCTATATACCCAAGGTTGGAAACAATTCTACCCACTCTAATGGACAAGGAATTAAATATTTTGCCATAACCCACCTGTTGCATGTTCTTTGAACTGCTTTATTGTGAAGTTACACTTATGTAGGGAAACAATATGTGAAGGATATAGGATTAGTTCCTTTTGAGGGTCAAAAAAGGCATTCTAAATGGACTTTGGAGATTGCTAAACGCCATCCATTGTTCCCCTGTTTTCAGATTTTTACAAGGATTTTGAGAAGTCTCAATCTTCCAGTAGGATCCAGTCAGACTCTTGTGTCCCGATACCAGACGAATGCCTATGACATCAGTCATGTAGCCACATGGGTTACAGCTTTATTGGTAAGTGTTGGAAAGGTGGGGTAAGATACAATATAAAACAATGAAAAGTACGAAGTCTGCAAATATTCATGTGATTCTGTAATACTCTGTAAACAATTATTTTAATAGTATATGTCAGCAGACCATATGTACAGGTAGTCTTATTGCAGTTATACAGATATCTGCACTCTCTTTAGCTCCTCCATGGGTCTTTATTATTCTTTATTCTATTCATTGTATTTTATTTTATTTATCACTGAGCTAAATACTTGTTAACAGTCTGTTTGCTTATCTGATATGTTTAGTATGTTACATGTCATACCTGTGTGCACTTATCAAGACAATTTCTTTGTATGTGTAATGTGCTTGGCAAAATAAAGTGATTCTGAGTTTGAAAATGTGTTTCAGGGAGGGCCTGGGAAACAGGCCCAGACTCAACTGAGTGGCCTTTTCAATAGTATCAATTCTTTCTTCCATCCTTCTAATCATGGGCGATGGCTGGTGAGTCCTCATTATAACTTTTAAATATTATGCTGTTTTTTTAAAGTTTGGAATCACTTGTCATATTTCTAAATTTTATAAAAACTTATGGAGTGTTGATTGAAATTTTACTAGAACTAGAGACCAGAAGGTATTTTTTTTTCTTTATCCAGTTTTCTTTATAATCCAGTCATAGTCATATCCAATTCCCGCACAATAGCTTGGTGTCCCTCTATCGTACAACGCCACGAAGCTGGGAGAGTGAAGGCTAGCATGAGCTTCCTCCAAGACATGTGAAGGCCACATTTTTTTTAAACTGGCACTAGTGCAATGTCATTGCACAGCTCAACAAGCTTATAGGAGCCTATTTTCAGATGCCTGTGTTGGCTAGCATAGTGCTGAGTAATGGGAGAGGGAGGGCCTTTCCTCCCACCCAGAGAGCGAGGCCAGTTATGTTATCTTGGACTCCTGGCCATGGATGGCTATGGCATTGACAAGGATCAAATCTTGAAATCTCCCACCAATAGGGCCTGGGTATTGACATTTAATACTTGCATAAGACAGAATGAATACCTTCAATACTGCAGAGTATTGAATAATTTCTTGTCGTTTTACACCAAATTTCAGTACCTAAGTGGTCTGTCTTATTAACAACAGTAAGCCCATAAGCATGTTTGTTCTAAAATCTAGACTGCTGATTGGCTGCATGTATTACATTTTGTATGCATGTTATTAGCATCAGCTCTTCAGGTGCAGGTATCAAAGTCAAGTTGTTGATGTTGGGTTCAATATTGAAAATGTTTGAATGATACCCAGCCCCAGTAATCTACTTATAGTAATTTCTTGTCAAGCTGTCTCGAGATTTGATCACTGGTTTTCAAACATTAGGCAACAAATTATAACTGATAAATTAAAACGCATTGTATTGGAATCATTTCATAAATGTGTTTGCAATAGAATTGTTTTTATTAATAAAGAAAGTAATTCCAAATGTTTGAACAATGATCCCACACAATTGAGCATTTCTGTTTTTTAAAAAAAGAGAAAAAAGAATCATGGAGCAAAAATTAACATTAAAATACAATCACAATTAGCATCAATTTTAGTATAGCCATATCAAAGATAAAGTCAGAACAGACTTCTCAGAATTATGTTCCTTTCAGGTGTCATCGTCAAGGCTTTTGCACAATTTGTCTGTCAAAAAAAAGAAACATCCAGACAAGCCCTTAGCAGCACTAAAATACTGCGATGACACAGACTAGTAGCCACTGTTGTGACTGAATGAAAGGTCAGGTACTAATCCTCAGTGCTTGTCATTTTTTTTTTCTAGAGTCATCTCCTCATAGACCACCATAGGCCACTATGGCTACAGCTTACCTTCCTGTGCAGTGTCTAAAGGGGGACATTCAGCTGTGCACATTTATCTCTTCTGTAAACCTGTGAAGGCTTTGTCCTGGGCTAGGCAGTCTAATCTAACTAGAGGGCCGAATGTTTGGTTTGTTTGGGGAAAAATACAGAACTTGGTGACTTTGCTGTTAGGTGGCTTTGTTGCATGTGGTGCCACTTAGGTGGCTTTGTTGCATGTGGTGCCACTCTTTACAGAAAGCTGTATTAGAAAAGAAAAGAAGTATTTGTCAAGTAATAATTTTTACACAGAGATGAATGTTGTTTGAGTCTCTAGGCTCTGCTTAGTCTCTTGTTTACTGCAAAGAGTGCCATTGTGTCTTTGTATCTTACTGAGTATCAAGTAGTAACAAATTACTGATCTGTGACTGCTACATTTGGGGAAAAATACAGAACTTGGTGACTTTACTGTATATTAGGTGGCTTTGTTGCATGTTACATTTATTTCTTTTATTTCATTATATCATTTATGTTTTTTATCCTTATCTGCTCTGTTACTTGATAAGTTACTATATTGTAATTTTAATTGTTTATTGATTTAACAGTTTATTGGTACCTTCTTATTATTAAATTTTATTATTATGAGTTTTATTATTTAATCATAACATTTGATTTATTATTTTTTACTGTACAACTTCTCAATCCCTGATTCCTGTAGTATTCGGCTACATTGTAAATGAGGGTCTCCCTCAATGTATTCTGAGTTTAAATAAAGGTTGATTGATTGATTGATTGACATTATTCACTTCAGTGGCAGAAAAAAGGACAGTGGGGAAAATGCCTCCAAAATTATAAATGTAATAAATATTACATATTTTAAAATTCACTGGCTTACATCATTTGTATTCTGATTAAGTTTGCATGTTTCACAAAGCATCCCCATTTATATACAAAAGGCCTCTGAATTTCAATGAGAGCCCACTGAAGGTGAATTGCACCACTTTTTCAAAAAGTCTGGTATGATTGAAAAAAATGTCAACAAGTTAATTCCTTCAAATTTGATGTGAAATGCTTCACTCTATAAAAAAATTGCCAAGTGCGCACGGTGGTGGTGGTAGAACAGATGTGTGAAGCATTTCTAAAAGCTGCCTGATGCCTGAGACATTATTCCACTGTAAAGAAATCTTGATATTTTTTGCTACGGTGAATGATTTCAGATCAAACCATTCTTAATGACTTTGTTTACATCTCAACAACTGAATTAGGTATAATTTCCCATTTAAAAATAGTCACAGAATTATACAGCTGAAGGTGTAAAACTTGCCACCAGTCAAATGTCAAAAACACACTAACTCAGAGAATATGGAACTGTTTTCCACATTTTAGGATAACAGTGAAGACACCATTGGAAACCTAAACTTATGTTTTGTAAGTCAATTAATCTTGGTCTTGTGGGTACACAGTATACGTCTACAAAGTATGTCCTGTGTAGAGCTTTCCCAAGTCCAATAAATGGCCGATGAATTTTGCCAAAATTCTACTCTTTTGGTGTAAACTGCCAGCCCTAATATTGGGTTCTGCTTATGTAAACATTATCTTCTCCAATCATAAGCCTGATGTGGCTTGTCCCATTCACATAGCTTTAACAAAACCTCCGGCCTCTCAATGTTTAAGACATACAGTTTCACTATACCATCGTTAAAGTGATTTCAGATGTAGCAATTACTCAAGTTGTGTTAGAGTATTTGGGCCACTTTTTGTACTGTGTATGTAAACACTGTAAAAGTTTCAAAATGTACCATACATGCTCTAGTCCATACAGTAAATATGGAAACTGCAAAGCTGCAAAACAGCCTAAAATTCATCAAGGTTGTGATGTCACAACTGTGGACACATTTACATATGTGCCTGTTCTGTCTAGGGCACTTTAGCCCACTCCTTCACACTCGATATGATACAGAGCGGGAAATGATTTAGCAGATTTAGATTTACCAGTTATCATTATAACTGGACTCTGGGGTGAAAATACAAAAAAAATTGATGATGATGACGGGAATGATTGTTCGTGACTTCCGTTTACCTTGTGGTTTCATTCTAAATGTACAGTCAATACTTTCATTGTAACTTGTCCATCTGTGTTTTCCAGATGAAGCTTATGAAACTCCTACAGAGATTGCCGGCAAGTGTGGTACGGCGGCTACACCGTGAGCGCTACCGCAAGCCCACCTGGTTGGCCCCGGTGCCTGAGAGCCACCAGCTCAGTGAGCAGGACATCACTGACTTTGTGTCCAGCATGAAGCAGCCTGTCCTACTGGCTATGTTCAGTAAAACTGGTAGCCTGGATGCAGCTCAGGCCCTGCAGAACCTGGCTTTACTCCGACCTGAGCTTGTCATCCCCCCAGTGCTGGAGAAGTAAGTGCATGTGTATGTGCAAGAGTGTGTGTGTGTGTATGTGTATGTGTATGCACAGAACTAGTACATGGTTAGAGAACTAACAGAGTGATTTTTTTTTTTTTCTTTTAGCTTGGTGAGATTAGGCTTAGTGGTAGGCATACACTCCCATGAAACTCACATTAATTTCCCTTTTTTTACTTATAGGAAAACATTTTGCATTTCCCTATTAAGAAAAATACTAAATCTTTAAACAAAATACATTTTATATTTGAAAAACAAAACAAGTTGATTTGGGTGGTTAAGGTTATGGTTAGGCTTAGTAGTAGGCTGTATGTATCTACAGTAATTACAAGTAATTAAAATGTGTGTGTGTGTGTGTCTGTTCTTATAGTGATGTAGACTATTAAATTAAACCCATTGATTTGGTAGTAAGACGAAAATACCATACTAGCATAGTTTTTGAGATTTTGTAGATTGTCTAATCTACATAGAATTCCATAACTGAATTTAACCAGATCTCAGTTGTCATTATCATATAACTGCATCATTCCTATCACTCTGTTTGTTTGTTCCCTAAAGGACATACCCTGCCATGGAGACACTGACAGAGCCGCACCAGTTAACAGCCACTTTAAGCTGCATGATTGCAGTGGCTCGGAGTCTGGTGACAGGTGGCCAGCGTTTCCCCGAGGGTCCCACACACATGCTGCCTCTGCTCATGAGGGCACTGCCCGGCATTGACCCGAACGACTTCAGCAAGTGCATGGTGAGAAATACTTACCATGATGATGAATTAATTAATAGAGATAGTAGTGTTAATCTGGGTTCTAACCCTGGTCCTAGTGTGACTTGCACATAAGAGCATTTAACCTATTCCAACACACCCACTTTAACCTACAAAGAATTTCTGCTAGTGTCTCTAGTAGTTTGTTAGCGCTAAGCTAACGGCAGTTCGCAAGGACATTTTCTGATGGGGCTAAGGTTAGCTTCTTAGTCGAATTTTCTATTCCACTTTAAATGCTGCAGCAGTTACGTTCTGGCATATTATAACCCTGAGTATTCCCCTCTGGGCTTAGGGAAGTTCATGTGGTCATGGTGCATGAACAAGATAAAAACACAAATTAATCGAAAGAAATTAATGACATAGATGTAGATAACATGTTAAAAGATCAACTGGTGTTTTGTTAGTTTCCATTAACTAATCTCATTTAGTTATTTCATTCTTAATTTTAATTGCAAAAATCAACGCTTTTTCAAACTATGTAATTTAAAACACTTAAAACTACTAAAAAGAAAGGAGGGTTAAGGAACATGAGTGTTAGCTTGGTTTTAGAAAATACTGGATCAGGTGTGTTAGAGCATGGACAATACCAAAAATGGTAGGCAGAGGTAAGTTTGGGCAATATTATGTGTTAAATCACATAATGTTACACATTATGTAATGTTGGTAACTAACATTAATGGCGTTAGTAACAGGCTGTTTTTTGTTACTTTGCCTGTGACATACGTGTATATGACCTCTGTTATTGAATGTCCTGTATTGTGCTTACCTCAAAAAGCTGTCTGGCTGAAGCAGTATATAAAATATATATATGGTATATATGTAAATGCATTGCTTTTTGTGCCATCACAAAAACGGTTATATTAAAACTATTTTTGCAGCTTTGTTTCCATATGTGAACAGTATATTTCTAACAATGTTTACAAAATTCAGTTTCCTTGATATGGGCCCTTTAACATATGTTCCCCAAGGAAATTGCGAATCATGTCATCTTTAAATACATTTAAAGTTGTTTTTTATGTTTGTCCCAGATAACGTTCCAGTTTATAGCTACATTTACAACTCTTGTGCCTTTGGTGGACTGCTCATCTGCTGTTCAAAAAAGAAATGACCTGACCAAGGTGATAATTTTTGTACCCTACCCTATCTTGATTAAATAAAAAGGTCCTCCCAGACTTTCCCTCTACTCTGGCTGCAGGAAACATGTTCATTTTTTTTATTTTCCAAGCCCCACAATGTCTTTGCCAATGAGCACTCATGTTAAGGGGCACCTATTATGCTGTCTGAAGCGCTCTGTTAAAGCTCCTGTGTCTTTAGGCCTCACCTCCTGTTAAGCCTAGTGTCCTCTGATTAGTCAGCTTGCCCACTTTGTTCTGTTGGTTCAACCACCAGAGCGGTTCCACTCTTACATATTTTTAAAGTGTGCAGACAGACCCTTCTCAGGCTTGCCAGTAGGAAAAGGGCTGGAGTTCCAATGAAGTGTTTCAGGCAGCTGAGAAAAGTGGTTTCTGTGGAAGAGGGTTACTTCCTCTGGTGTGTGCTTTGAGCTTTGTGACTTTGCAGAACTTAAAATGCACATTAAGTTATATAACACGCTAAAGGAAAGGGATAAAGCAGAAAAGCATAATAGCTCCTTATTAAGTATGTATGATGCAGAGAGAAAGTTAAAGAGGATGGAGGGGAATTATATTATTGGGGGATGATTATGTTTTTCGTGTTAAACCCATTCTCCTTATGTTTCAGGTGGAGAAAGTGCTGTGCTCAGCCTCAGCAGAGTTTGAAGATTTTGTTCTTCAGTTCATGGATAGGTAACCATACCTGAGTCTTAATGGCTGTCCTTAAGACTCTTAAGGCCACAGTGTCTATTCTAATAGACCAGATTCAGCTTGATAATTAACTGATGAGTTGTATCAGGTGGAGCAGGGAAAACATACAGGGGTATAGCTGCAGGGGTGGCTTGAGGGGCCTGTGCCTTTTCATTAGGAAGGTAGGACGTTCACTAGATTTGTGACTGCTCTAAGAAAAAAGTCCTCCAGTGTAATTCGTCTTGTGCCCTTGTAATACAATATGAACACAATGGCGCTGAGTTACTGCATCCTTGTGCCTTTTTTTCACCTTAAGTAAAAGTGACTGCCAGAGCTCTCCTTTGTTCATCACCACTTTTCCAGTTGCCTACTCTTGATACTGTTGAATGAAATGCATGGAATGACACTTTTTTCAGTGCTAGAATGTAAACATCATTTTACCCTGTTTTGAGTGTTTCTGAAGATTATGTAAACTAAGCTGAATTATGCTAATTCTGTGCAAAGGCTACTATTTATCTAGCTAACAAGCTAAGTATGTAGTTAACTGTGGTAAAATTGTATACTGCAAAAAGCAATGGGGTGGTCTTCAACCAACTGTCCCAGACATATACTCCTAGCAGTGTAAAAGGTAAAACAGTAGTTAATTAGTCCATACCTGCTGCGGTGTTCTGTCAGCTGTTACAGTAACTAAGCAGTTAAATGTGAGGTCTGTAATCATGTGTTGTGTTTTACATACCAGTTTTTTATCTCTCAGCTTACAATATCTACAATGAAATAGGCAGGTTGGTTGTTGCGAACCTCATTATAGCGATGGGATATAGTGCTTCTTAGCTGGCCCAACATAGCCACGTTCCTTTAAAATGAAATCTAGCTATGTTACTGCTGAGAAGTGCTGTGGCTCTTCAGAATTTTAGTTTGAAAACAGTGGCATGTTGGTCAGTGGTATGTGAAGGGGTATGAAAATGCATCAGCCTGAGGGTGATGATTCAGATGCATGGACATTGGAATGTTACAATAAATTATAATCAATTAGGTTCAGTGAAGCTTGCACTTATTTTTTGATCGAAGTGAAAGTCTAGGGCTGTTTTTTAAAATCCTAGGTGTATAGATTTGTTGATTCTCTATGTTTCTTATCTACATGTGGGTTTATTTATTATCTATGTGTGGGTTTGTTTATTATCTATGTTACTCTGTTATGCAAATAGTCTTTCCAGTTACATTTTGATTCACTGTATATTTAAAAATAATTTTTAACTGTACCAATATATCTAATCACGGCAAAATTTGAGATTTCATGACGCAATGAGTCATTTCCTTCATGATCAGTCATGATCGGATCAAATAATGAGGTCAGAGATTGACAACCTTATTTGTGTGTACTGTCTATATGTGTGTGCATGTAGGTGTTTTGCACTGATTGACAGCAGCACTCTAGAACAGACTCGAGAAGAGATGGAGACAGAAAAGACTCATCTGGAGAGCCTGGTGGAGCTGGGCCTGTCCTCCACCTTCAGCACCATCCTCACCCAGTGCTCCACGGAGATATTCCAGGTTATTTTATAACACACACAAGCAGACAATGTATTATACATACATTATACACACACACACACACACACACACATACACACACACACACATGCTGTATAGCCAAAAGTATGTGGATGCCTGACCATCACACCTCGCAATTAATGTTCCAGTTCATTCCAAAGGTTTTCAGTGGGCTTGAGGTCATGGCACTGTGCAGGCCAAATTGTGCAGTGGGGTACAGTTATGATGAAATAGGAAACGGCCAAAGTTGAAATATAATTGTATAAAGGCATGTACTTGTCAAAAAAGTCTTTGTATTCTGTAGTATTAACATTACCCTTCACTGGAACTAAGGGTCCTACCCCAAACCCTGAAAAACAGCCTCAGACCTTTATCTCTCATCCAAGACACTTGCTGATACTGATTCCGATACAATAATGAGTAACCTTCTTAGAATTAAGTACTTGTTAGTATGCAACGTAACATGTGCAGTGTACCTTAACGGTTAAATCTAGCTGATTTTAAAGGACATACATTAGCTAGCTATGTTATGTTAATTACCTTGGATCAAGTAGTGTTGCAGTGGAGAAGAGTGGGTTTTGTTGCACATCAGAGAAGCACTTCTGTACAGCTGTTAGCAAAGTAAGTTTTCTCATCTGTCTCTTTCAACAAATGTCTCTGTAGCACACCTATCAAGTTTATGTCTTGTTGGGGTCTTTTTGGCTTGTTGAACTGTCGTTGGTCATACGCTGTGATTTTAGAAATCCTATTCTTTGGGGACTCACTGTACATTTGAATAGACTATTATGTATGGCCAAAGCCTACAATTTATATGCTCTCACTGTACAAAAACACTTGGTCTGATTGATATGCTATGTGAAACGCAGCCTCTACAGACAGCTCTGTCTGTGGACAATTACAATAAAGCTATTTAATTCAAAACAACACGCTGCGTACACAAGCACCGAACAAAGCCTATTTTACAAGGACAGTTTTTAAAAAATCAACCTATTAATGTTTATACCTTGCAATTCTGCTCAGTCAAACATAGTAAAGTCAGCATATATCAGCTTCTATTATCTAATAAAGATAGATAATAAACCTAAATGTTGACTGTCAACTACTTTTTCCAAAATAAGAAATTCTTATTACTTTTTACTGTATTTATGGTTATTTGTATTTATTCTAATGCAGGGGTGCACAACTCTAGTCCTGGAGGGCTGGTATCCAGCATAGTTTGGTGATCTTGCTGCTCAGACACACCTGACTCAATTCTTCTGTTAATTGGCAGGTTTACAAGATGTGTTTGAGTAGGGCATCTACCAAACTCTGCAGGGCACCGGCCATCCAGGACTAGAGTTGTGCACCCCTGTTCAAATGTATTTATTCGAATGTTTTGTGTTTATTCTACGATGATATCCAAGCAAGCACAAACAAAAAAGTTTAAATAATTTTAAATGACTTGAAGTAACTTTTGCACAGTATTGCACATGCAGTATTGTATATGTATCTATATGTAATAAGAACTTAAACTAAACTTAACCATAATCTGAAGCCAAAAAAACATGGTTTTACCTGGTCAATTTGAAAAAAATGAAGCATGTGTCTTTGTTAAAAAGCACTTTATAAAGTCAGGACCAAAGATGGGGGCTTAAATTATGTCACATGCTGACTGATTTGTAAGTTGACTTGAACTCCTGACTAAAGGATCATGACATTTCAGCCTAAAAAAACATGTGCAAAACAAAAATAAATTCTGTCCTAAGAGGTGCACCTTTGCCTATCTATTCTGTGACTGTCTTGCATAGTCATGAACTGTGATGCCATTGTTTCTCAGCTCGCAGCAGTGTCGGGTTCAGTATGGCTCAATAACGAGCTGTTTAATGCATTTTGGGTAGAAGAACCTTTAATCTGATGGATATGACTGAAGTGCTACATTTAATGAATGTGTTGTTAAAAGGAACTGGCAAAACCTTTTTATAAACTTTATACAAAATTATGTAATATACCTACAGAAAAACAGTCACAAAATTGTTTACACCATATTTTGAAAAGTATAATAGCTAGCCTGATGGCTGAGCTAGCAAATGAAGTTGTGATATATTTGTCTTTGGTAAGTTACAGCTACATTCAAAACATTAATGAGGTGAAATAATTTCTTTGCTGTTTATGTAGAGGTTTATTGAAATTGAAACTAAAAGGAATGGAGCAAGACTGACTCTTTTTTGCTCATGTCTGTAACTGAGGCCATAATACAAAGCTATGGTTTACATTTACATTCATATTTATGGCCTTTGGTTGGTGCTCTTATCCTGAGAGACTTACAAAAGTGCTTTGTTGTCCACTCACAAAATGTATCCTAGCTAGTACAAATAGAGTTCAAGCTACCCTTGACAGTGTGTGTTGCAATGCACTCCATACAAATACTATAGCTTACTTCCTATTAACAGTTTTAGACTGAACAAACATTCACGACTAAATACTCAACACTTGGCTCAGAGTCACACCCAGAGACTCAAGACTTAGTAAGGGGATATCCCTTTTCAGGACCATTTCCTTGGTCATCATTTGTGTAGGTTCCCCTTTTTTTCTTTTTTCCTACGAAATCAGGACATTTAAGAAGAAACGTAAGCATGCACCAATTCACACATGTCCTTCTGTTTATTTTTGTTTCTTCTATCAGGTGGCTTTGGAGAAGGTCTTCATCTTCGCCACCACCAATATCTTTGAGACTCATGTAGCAGGGAGAATGGTGGCAGACATGTGTCGAGCAGCTGCTAAGGTATTTCTTCGCCCACTTTACAGAATACACACTGTACTGTACAAACAAATTAAATTAATTGCTTATAAATGTTACTAATGTAATTGTACAGAACCTTTTAAATGACATTAGACCATATTTGTGAAGATGTTGAGAGAAAGATTCTCTGATGGGATGCGTGAGAAGTGACTTTTTATGTATGTTTGAATGTACCCTCATTGTAAAGGAACATAATTTGTAAATCACTGCATTCTCCTTGTAAAAGTACTCAGTGAATGCTGCTGTATGTTACGTGCAAGTGTAACTCTTCATCATTACTGTTTAGCTCTCTCTTTGCCGTATTAGATGTTTTAAAATCCTGGGTGAATTTTAAAGGTTGTCCTAATTTTAGTCAATTGTGTTTTGTCCCCAGTGTCAGCCAGAAAAGTCTCTCAAGCTTTTTGTGCCACACTGCTGCAATGCCGTAATTCATATCACAACCGGTAAGTTAAAGTGTGCATGAGTATGTTGTGTTGTGCAAGCACATACAAAGAAGGGCTTGAGCCTCTGTCCTTTTGCCCTCACTAAAAAACTTTTTAGCACACACACACACACACATTTTCTAAGCCGCTTATCCTTCTGGGTTGCGGAGGGAGCTGGAGCCTATCCCAGCAGTCATTGGGCAGAATGCAGAACAGGTCAGCTTCTTATTTCATTTTCATCTGAAACTGATGTAGATGTTGATTTCCATGTAACTGCTATGAAAGCTAAAAATTACATTATAAATTTTTAGAATGGCCTCTATTTCTAATAGATGTGGGGCGTCAAAGATGTGTGCCAAATTTTGTACACATTGGTCTTTTGATCTTGGTATAGTAAGCAGTACATTTTTTTAACATAAAAGTCAGAATATGTAGAAAACTGTTTTGAGAAATGAGTGAAATAATTCAACAGCAATTATCACTGTAAAGTGCACCAGAATTTCATGTTAAAATCACAAATATTTACTCCTAGGAATTATGCTACTGGACATCAGTGCTTAAAGACAGTTATTACTCATCATTTTCTTAAAGCAGTCAGATAATGTGATAGGTGAAGCTATCTTGCCTTGCTTTCAAGTGCACACTATTTGAGTGTAATTAAAAATGTAAGTGTAAATGTAATTTATGTAATAAGATAATATAATACTGTACTTTTCTCCCTGAGCCCCTGCCCTCCAAAATGTCACAGGTTGTGTATGCGTGAGTGTGGCTAGTGGGTTAATGCCTCTTTAAATACTTTGTTCTTCCAGATGAGGAGGTGTTGAATGACGAGGAGTTGGATAAAGATTTGCTGTGGAACCTGCAACTGTTGTCTGAGGTCAGTTTCCCAAACTCTTTACATTAAATCCACAAATCCACATACACATAGAGAGAGTTATTATATAAATGAGTAAGTATAAGTAATATTGAGTTATTATGTAAATATAAATATAAAATAGACTGCAGTTACCTGTTTAGAATTTTTGTCAGGTTATTACCCTTAAGATTTGATCACCATTTTCTAAATTTGAGACATTGTGTGTTAGATTTATTATAGCTTCAGTCTTCTACAGGTTTCCATCATTCTGGACACATGTTTATTAAAAAATGTATAGCTTCCTAGTGTCCTGGTTAATTCATTTACACAATTAGCAGGACTGGCATATTAAAATTTTATACATTTATATGAAATCAAATTGGTTTTATATTGTTGAATACATTGTTTTCAATCTTTTGAACAGTAGTGTATACATGTAAGGTTGCTGTTGTAACAACACATTTATAAGACGAAGGAGAAACATTTCATATGTTTATTGTGTTAATTATGATTATAATTGAAAAAAACATGGAAAATGGAATTACAAGGTTTTGATATGACATCCGCCATATTTATTCATTTAATGTTATTTTAGTCTTTTTTTTTTAAACTTGAAACTGACCTGTACAAGAGAAATCCCTTGTACAGACTGAGAAAAAAAAACTGATTCTGACTCTTTCTAACCAAACCCCTCCCTACCTCTTTCTGTAGGTCACTCGGGTGGATGGAGATAAGCTGTTGCCCTACAGTGCTCAGCTTGTGCAGATTCTTCAGCTTACACTGCACCTGAAGAATAAGCAGGGCTACAGTCTGGCCTGCAGCCTGCTGTATCACACACTGCGCTCCACAGCCCTTATCTATCCCATTGAGTACTGCAGCGTGCCTGGCGGATTCCAGCAGCCCCACCACCAGCACCTGCCCATCAAGGTTAGCGCATTAGAGTGGTACAGACGGTAACAGGGTGGAAGGGGGTGTCAGCATCAATGCCAGCACATATAAATGATATACCACTTTTTCTTTTCTAATACTAACCTGTAGTGTTGGATTGGCTAATAACAATCTTATATTTCTTCTGCAGACTCACCAAGACTTATTTTTGGCACAGCTCAAGAAATTGCTATGGAAAATATTATTAATAGTAGCAGTTATATGCTTTTTTGACAACCATCTTGTAACCCCACAAAAATTATCACAAAATTCCAGAAAATGGTTATGGCATCCAGTCATATACTTGTTACTGTGCAGTTTCATTTGAAGGCCTCTCTATTATTTCTCTAATTCTCTCTCTTTTAATGGCCAAATGGTTTGTCTGTGTTTTAGGACCACAGTATACTGAGAAAGGCATTTTGTGATTTGATTAATGTTACTTTGGTATAAGCTATAAGCATTGTTGGGTGAAGAAGTGTAAGTCTTTCAAGCCAGACTGCTGTCCATCAGTATAAAATTTGATGCATTTTGTTGTTTAACATGACCAGTGACCACCTACTTTGAGAGGAAATAGTCATCTTGCTGATATGCAAACTGACCAACCACAAACTGTTGTAAAAGGGTTGAAAGTTTAATTCCATTAAATCAATAAGCAGTATGAAATGAATGAGCTGATTTGCCTATCCATCCCTACTCCAACTGCAACTGGTTGCAGAAATGTGTTCTCCATCAAACTGATAAAAACCAATGCACAGAAACACAGTCAACGTGGAACTAATGTAAACCCCGATAGTTGTGTCCAGCTTAGCATACAATAGATATTATATGCTCATGGAACATCTGAGGCTGAGACATGGTGAAGGACCAAACGAATAGTGCAAAAGAGATGTTTGTCATTAAATTAAATTAATAGGGGCACACCACTTAAAAGGACATTGATTTATTTTGGACAGTTAATATGGTCAGATATTGTATGTTTGAGCAGATTAACTACAAAAACAAAATCTTTTTTGTTGTAGATATGTTGCCAATGTCTTTACCTTTCACGTATTTATATTTATGTACCCATCAACATCATGTCTGAACCCCCTTTAAGACATGTAAAGCTTTGAGTCTGGACAGTTCATGTGCATTAAACCCATTGCATTAAACAAATTATAAACCCTAAGGCTTTGAACTAGAACATATCTGGCAAATAAGTGTGTATTGATCTTTCACTTGCTTTAGAGTGTGTCCATCATCGTGTGAATGTCTGTGCTGGGATGGTTTGAGAAAGGTTGTCACCGAGTACAAGGAGCAGTGAGATAATGAGCCAAGGAGCAGTGACATAATGAGCCAAGCAGAAGACAGTTACACAACTATGTTTGACCAGCCAGTGTGTGTATCTAAGTGACCAGACACTGCACTGATCCTATTAAGTAGGATAGGGTAGAGTGGCTAATGTCTCTCTTCTTAGAACAGCAATCACTTTCTCCTGCCTGCTTACTTGTTGAGCTAACAGTTGATAATATGTTATCATTATCTTGATAAATTATGTCAAACAATTATGTTATAAATTATGTCAGTTTTATGAGTATCGTGCATGCATCATAAAAAAGACAGATTTAGTACAGTTTTATAGAGCCAGAAAACATCACCAATCTGATTGCACCTCAGCCGATATTATCTATTTTATATTTTTTATGAATATATGTTATAGATATAAAACGTATATGTATTTATAATAATTTATTTCTACCAATTGTTTGATCTATCCTTCTGTTCCTTCTTAAACAGTTTACTTTTAGATCATTGTATTCATAGTACGAGTGTGTTTTCTGTGTGGAGTCATGTTTTCTCCGTGTCTGTGACTGTTCTTCCCACAGTCCAAAGACATGCAGTCAGGCAAACTAGACATGCTAAATTGTCCCTAGGTGTGTGCGTAAATGTGTATGTTTGTGTGTCTACCCTGTCATGGACTGGCAACCTGTCTAGGGTGTTTCCTGCCTTCCGCCGGCTTTGATAAGCTCCAGCACCCCCAGAAACCCAGAAGGATAATCAGCTTAGATATTGTGTGTGTATGTGTGTGTGTGTGTGTGTGTGTGTGTGTTTGTGCGTGTGTGTGTATTCATAGTCTTCAATAGTCTTTTGTAAATGAAGGACTACTTCCCAACATACGAAACCTCAGAAACAAAATAAATCAAAGTTTTTGGTATATTACCTACTTCTATTTTGAGGTTATCCTTTCTATGAGTCAGTTCCAAAGCCATGCCCACATGCTTCACATATTAAAAAAAGATGCTTTCTGCCATTATAGCAGATGCGTTTTGGTATGCAGCTGTAGGTCCATGTGGGAAACCATGACGTTTTGTATTTTCATGTAATATTTTCATAATTTCATAATTTTTCAGGATTTTTACACTTAAGCTGTAAAATGCTGAGAATGTTCCTCAGGTAGTTTTGCACACTGGGGAATACCCAGAAGAGACAAGTCAACCTTGTTTTCTGCCAGTTCTCTTTCTAAAAATAGAAATTATTGTCTTTGAAGCATAATTATTGACTTTTGTTAATTGTCAATAATCACAAATATCTGATTACATCGCCCTATCGCCCTGAAGGTCATGCTGGGTGATTTTTTTTTTCTTTAGACAAAATGCCAACAATATGTGTTGATACTTGATAATACTGGATACACAAAGGCTGACAGCTAGTCTTTAACTGGAAAAAAATTAGTTCCACAGGTCAGGCTAGGTCAGAGTACCCACTGCAAGTTGCTAGCTATTTTCTGTGTCATTAAAAGTTGTGCCCAACCAAGTGATTTGGTGCCTAATTCAGAATTCCTAAACATTCCTTTTTATACCTTTAAAAAGGCAAAAATACAGAAAAAATAAGTTAAATAAGATAGATAATATTGCAAACAGTACTTCTTCTGTACTTCTTTAGTTCCTCTTACCTCTCCTCTGTCTCATTACCCTGATGCAGGACTGGGGGCGGCCAGGGGATCTGTTGAACTTGGCCATCCAGTGGCACGTGCCCAGTGAGGAAGAGAAAACTTTTGTGTTTAACACTCTGGACCTGCTTCTGCAACCTGAACTAAAGCGACTGCAGAGACATGCGCAGGGAGAGCAAGAGATGAGCAGGTATCACTAATTAATAAAGCAATAAGCCATGCATTAAAGTGATTTTACCAAGAAGGTCGGTTTGTTAGAATAAAATTGACCATGATCATTACATAATCATTTTCCATTTTCTCTTTATCCCTTAGAATTAAACAGGCTGTTTTTCTTACTCTGTTGATATATTTAAATTAGCTCTGTCCTAATGGGCTGCCCTCATTCAAAAAGCAGTATGGGCTGAAATTCTCCTTATAACTTTAGTCAGAATGAGCGTGCTAAATTGCTGTAGGATGAATAGGTGGATGTGTGTAAATTAGTTGTTTTTCATTACATCACAGAAATAATGTATTCCAAAGAGGCTGTTCTTGCAGCTTAGTTTCCTTTTGTATACAGAATGGACTGGGGAGTGAACCTTATTATTTACATACTACATTAAACTCTTTTATTTACAAGACATAGAAAAATTCTGTTTTTCATGTTGTGGGCCCTGTAATATTTTGTTAATAACTTGGCATATGAACACAGAACTGATGTGTGTCGTGATATGTACACTCACCGAATACTTTATTAGGAACATCTTTGCACCTGCATAGTTCATTTAATTATCTAATCAGCCAATCATGTGGCAGCAGTGCATAAAATCATGCAGATACGAGCCAGCAACTTCAGGTAATGTTCACAACAACCATCAGAATGGGGGGAAAATGTGATCCCAGTGGTTTTGACCATGGCATGATTGTTGGTGCCAGATGGGCTGGTATTTCTGTAACTGCTGATCTCCTGGAATTTTCATACACAACAGTCTCTGAAGTGCAGAATGGTGCAATAAGGAAACAACAGAAGCCTACAGAAAGGCTGTGGTAACTCAGATAACCACTATGTACAATTGTGGAGAGCAGAAGAGCATCTCAGAAGGCACAATACGTCGAATATTGAGGCAAATTAGCTACAAAAGGAGAAGAACTGGACAGCTGAAGACCGGAAAACGTAGCCTGATCTGATGAATCTCGATTACTGCTGAGGCACACAGATAGTAGGTTCAGAATTTGATACCAATTGCATAAATCCATGGACCCAACCTGCCTTGTATAAACAGTCCAGGCTAGTAGAGGTGGTGTATTCATGTGGGGAATGTTTTCTTGGCACACTTTGGGCCCGTTAATACCAGTTTGAGTATTTGAGTATTGTTGCTGACCATGTGCATCCCTTCATGGACAACAGTTTGGTTCATTGTACTTCATTGGCTTTCTTATTCACTGGATCTGAATCCAGTAGAACACCTTTGGGATGCGGTAGAACAGGAGATTCACAACATAAAAGTACACCTGAAAAACGAATTGAATTGCATGATGCAGTCATGTCAGCATGGAGCAGATTCTAAATGGAATGTTATCAACATTTTATGGAATCCATGCCACAAAGAATGAGGCTGTTTTGAGAGCAAAGAGAGACCCTGCCTAGATTTTATGTAGTGCTCATAATAAAGTGCTCGATGCATGTATATATGTTATGTGTTTTACACTGGCTTAGAACATAGTTCAACCAATCGGATTTTAGAACCATCCGTTTTATAACATAAACATTTAGAACCGTAGCCCTGCCTAGTGTTAATTAACATATGTTTGCATGTTGGTTAACTTCAAAATGAAAAAGCAAAGTGGGAAATAAAAAATAAATCACCAGCAGATGGCACCTGTATTAGTTTACATTTGCATTTTTATTCTGATGCTTAAAGCGCGTCCATGCCGAAAACTGAAGCAAACGGTCACTTTGCTGTTCATTTATTCCATTTGGATTTTCATGTTGCCAGATATGCAGCCTATTGCTATTAAAAAGAAATAAGAACGTAAACATTGCATTTTGGTTTTAGTTTTGACACATTTTAGGCATTTCATGAAGAAAAAGCAAAGCCAGAGTGAAGCTTGGATTTTCTTTTCTCTATTAGCTTTTCCATTTTAAAATGAAATGACAAATAGCTGTCTTAAATTTATTTTTATTTTTGTCACAAGTGACTCGTGCTTATGTGAAAGATTAAATTGCAAATATAGGTATTTCATTTAATTTTAAATTTTGCCAGGATATTTGCACAGATGTTTGGAAAAAGAAATGGCAAAAGAGGTTTGCATTTACATTTTAGTGTTTTAATTATAATTTCTTTTTTGCCCAGATTTGCCTCCCATACCTTTTAAGGGATTGTCCCCCACTTTTAAAATTGTCTAGTGACATAGAGGGATGGTTCAGGTGATCTGTTTGTTCCAAAAGCCTCTGGCCCATTGCCCATGCCCAGTAGCTGTGCCTGTATGCCCACATGGGCTCATGTTTTAATATGGAAACTGACTACAGGAGATGTTTTAAAGATTTGGAAAAGTATTGTATTGAAGCTTACTTTGGCTGATGAAAACGACATTGATTTTGAGTCTTTTTGTCTTGTTTCAGGGATGATATTCTGCAGAGTCTGTCCATCGTGCATCACTGCCTTCTGGGTGCTGGCAGCCTTCTGCCTCTACTGCGTGGAGAACCGGTGCCGGAGCTGTGAGTGTCTCGTATAAACACATGGACACAAGCAAAGCTGATAATGACAGCTTTTTTGCTTATTGTAGCATTTTACTGCAAGCTGGATCTTCAGTGCAGTGCAGTGTTTGTCATTGATTTGATTCTAGTTGAGCTTGAAACTGTTTCTGTTCCCTCCATTAGTGTCCATACTATGATGCAACTCTGTGAGACAAATCTGTACACTGGTGTGGAATATGGTAAGAACGATTGTTGCTACAGTTTGCCACATTTGGAACTTAATTCTGACTCTCTCTCATTCTTTTCTCACGCTCTCTCTTTTTTCCAGACATGTCAAGACAGAACTACAGAGAGGTCGTCTGTACAGTGATGAGACAGCTACTGCGTAAGTGACAACTCTACACAATAGTGAATAGTCTTTCCTGGAGGTAGATGTCTAGTGGTTGTAAACAAAATAAGTCAGAGTGTTTTGGTGTTGAGTGGTTAATTGTTGAGAAACTTATTCAAATTTGTTTACAAAGTTGATGATGGGAAGCAGGGGTTACAATGTCTGTAATTCCATAACCCCCCCCCCCTTTGTTTTAAAACAAAGGATATACTGCATGTACCACTCCACCATAAATGGATTTTAAAAAATATATGGTTTTAGGCTAAAACGTTGTCTCGGAACTATCGTAAAACAATTTCTTAGGCACCACATATTCATAATCATTTCTCTGAAATGGCACATTTCACATCTGACCACTTTGAATGACTTTCTTAACGTCTTAATGATTGCATTCCGCAAAAATTTTCAATATCAGTTGCAAAATATAAATTCCTTTATCAAAAAAAATCCAATTTACACAAATTTCACCTTACCCCTAATGTAGTTGATCAGCCAAGACAATGTTTGATGTCCCAAGTTTGCTTGCCTCAACTTAAGTTGTTAAAGGAGCAATTCAGCAAAAAAATGAATTTGCACCATTTTTCACTTATTTCAGTAGTCATTTAGTCATGTCTGAAATCCAAATTTTGCTTATTTAATTAAGTCTTTGAGTTACAAGGCTAACATTGCTAACAAACACTAGAAATCAGTTGTCATCCAAATCTTTTCTGTAAATATATTCCGAAATTATCTCTTAATCTGTTCAAACCACATCTAGATCTTCATTAATGTTGCACGAATTTGCAGTTTGCAATTTTAGAGCAGAGTTTTACTGTGAACAATAAAAATGAACAAAACTTCACCCTGTAGCTGAACGCTGAAGGCAGACATTTTAGACAGCAGATGTTGTGCTTATTTCTGACTCACTTTGGTGTGCATGCACATTACATGGGCATATGTGGACAGATTACAGGTGAACTGAAGATATACGTTTATAAACACGAACAATGGAAATTGCGAGCATAATTTATTTTTCATGTGCCTTTGTTACATGAAGTGGACTTGGAAATTGGCACAACACCTGTTGTCTAACAAACTAATTATGGACACCAAACATGTCTTAACTGATTGACTGCATGTGGGCTACCTGGAAAATCATGTAAATTAGATTTTCTGCCAAACTTGTTTTGTAAGTAATCTCAAGTAGAAGCCGTGTCTGACACTGTATGAGATACTGTTATCTATAAGAGTGGCCAAGAGTACTGACATAACATAAAATAAAACAACATAAACAACATAAACAAGCCTACTTGAGATTACTAAACAGCAATTACTCAATGCAATTTGAAGCAGGTCACTGATGATTTTGCTTGCAGTTTGCTAATCGGTGGGGTATAAACTTACATTATTTGTTAGCAACATTAGCATAGGGAGCTGCAAAACAAAAGAAGCGAACATCAGACACCAAACATGTCTTGGCTGATCAAACTACATTTGGAGTAAGGAGAAATTAAGTAAATTTGATTTTTGACTGAACCATCACTTTAACATGCATGCCTTTATAAAACATTTTGTGAAAGGAAAATAGTCAATGACAACTTCTCAGAGTAGAAGTGCTTGCTGAGCTAGGATCAGATTCCCATTTAATTCTAACTGAAATAGATCGACACTTCTTCTCAGAGAAGCTTGATAAATACAGGCCAAGACCTCTTTTGTTCTGGAATATGTTACACATCTCACACATGAAATATCCCTATTTATATTTTTTACAGACCACATCCTTGATCACTCTGAGGATGACACCAAATCACTGTTTTCCATCATAAAGGTGAGCCCCAATTTAGAAAGACAACACATTATTTAATTTAGAAAGTCATTACACAATTACCCATTAGGACTATCCGAAATACCATTTTTGGGCTCCAGAGCTTAGGCAGCAGTCAGCAGCATATTCTAGGCATGGAGGCAAGGGCAGGGAGGTTGAGAAAGCCATTCAGAAAATCCACGTTCCACGCCTGTGTTGAAAGCACATCTGCGGCCTCATTCGTTGTAAAATCCAAATCTCCAGGCTACCTGCTTTTCTCACAGAGCGCTGTGGCACTCACAGCGCGGCTTCAATCTATCTACCTGGCCTGCTAGCCTCTCTCAGTGACAGTCTAGGGGGTGATAGCACAGTGCATGAGAGGTTAACCAGCGCTTCGCAGAAGTGGTCTAACTCGAGGTACGAAGCGCATACACTCATGTTTATTAAAAATGTGAAAGATCTAACTCATAGGCTCTGCTTTTCCACTGAACCATAAAGAAAAATTTATAATCATTCAATAGTCAGTGGTGAGGAACATCACACGGTAACACGGTATCTGTTTGACCTCCAGGTCATAAATGACCTACTGCACTTCAGAGGCTCACATAAACATGAATTTGAGTCACGCTGGAAGAGCTTCAGTCTGGTCAAGAAATCCATGGAGAACCGGGTGAGACCCTTATTTAAAAGTAATTCAATTATCAGACCAACTAGTGAGCGAACAAGTGATTAAGTCTTTCATTTATTCTCCATCTCCAGCTCCATAGAAACAAACAGCACATTCGAGCATTGCTCATCGACAGAGTAATGCTACAACATGAGGTGAGGATTTCAGACATTGCTTGCAAGTTCTAAGGCTATTCCCTGTTCACTAGAGGTGTATTGATGGTGTTGTATGGCTGTTGATATTTGTGTTTGCCAGCTAAGGAATCTGACAGTGGAAGGTTGTGAGTACCTCACTGTTCACCAGAATCTCATAAAGGACTTGCTCCGACTGTCCACCAGCACTTACAGTCAGGTATTGGTTAAAACACAAGTACACAATAATTTTTTGTAAAAGTGTAATGCTGCTATCCTTGTACCTGAAACCAAAACCTAAAACAGAGGTGATTTCAACTGATTTTTTAAATTTCTTCATAATTCAAATGTTAAGATGTAAATACAGTTATGTTAAATGCTCTGTTCTAGACAAACTTGCTTACAGTGGTGGTGATAGGAACCACAAGTCAAAACTGTTTAATGCCACTTTAAGCTACCGAACAGAACGCCATTCCCTGAAATGGTTATGATTATGAACCCTGATGCCAGAGACATTTTTTTCCAAACGTTTTGAGAAAAGGTTTTGGTCTAAAATGTACTTTTTAAAATACATTCTGGACACAGAGATCATGAGGTGTTGTAGAGGCCAATTAGTACCCAAAGAAAACTTTTTGAATTCACCACTATTAACAACATTACATATAAAAACTCAGAAGACACTGGTTGTTTTGTATAATAAATACAATGGTTATATTTGCCATTGTATTTGGACATTGTATATTTGCCAGGTGGTTATATACCTTTACACATCGCAGCTCCTAGTTTCTATCACCTCCATTGTAAATCCAAGTTGGTAAGTTTCTCAACAATTAACTATTTCAATCAATCAATCAATCAATCAATCAGTCACTCAACCTTTATTTAAATTCTGAGTAAACTGAGATGATCTTTTATCGCAATTTCACATCAAACCACTTTGAATGACTGTTAACATCTCAACGATTGAACTTTTGGAAAATTGGTGCAATTCTTCTTTAACATCAACAACCCAAAAAAAATATTTTAGCTCTTTTAGTTTTATGTTTTCATATCATTGTGACGAGTCTCTTTGTTCTGAAAGGTGAGGAGTAAAGCTCAGAGTGTGCTGTTTACTGCCCTGGGAACCTACAACTTCTGCTGCCGAGACATCATCCCTCGAGTGCTGGAATACCTGGACCCCAGCTGCACCAACGTCACCCAGCAGCAATTCAAAGTATGACTCACAAGCCACCAACTGTTTATATAACTAACAGGCTGCATAACTCTAACCTTGAAAATGCTTTTAATAAACAAGTATGTTTTCTTTGTCAGTTTTAATTAACTCTACATATTAAAGATTAACCAGGTTTTTCTAGTATACAATATCACACATGTCTGTGGTAACACTTGTGACAGTGCTAGCTTGGTAATAATGCCAAAGCCCATATATTTTAACCCCTTGTTGTGTTGTCTGCATTCATTAGCACTCAACCTTCAGTGGTGTGTTTGGGGCTTTAATATGTGCTTTAACAGTAATTACAAAAGACAACAGTTAAATCATTATTTAAGCAAAACCTGCTGTTGGTACCAAGGAAGACTTTGATGAGTGCTATATATTCAGAGAGTTTGTAAATAGCTGTTTAATGTTAATCTTTGTAGGTATTTTTTCGTACTTAGCTAAAAGGTAACGGTGAGGAAATTAAAATTTCAAATGAAGTTTTTTTTTCCCCAGTGTTTTAAGTGTTTTTTTTATCTCTCCTTCCGTCAGGGTGCCTTGTACTGTCTTCTTGGGAACCACAATGGAGTGTGCTTGGCTAATCTTCAGTACTGGGACTGCATAGCACTAACGTGGCCCGCTATTGTGCACTGTGGTCTCAGTCCCACCATGTATCTGGAGAAGCCCTCAGTAGTGCGACTCTTTGACGATCTCGCTGACAAAATTCACCGGCAATACGAGACCATCGGCTTTGACTTCTCTGTAAGCCCAACTGCATGTTCACAGACTGGAAATGAATGGAATTAAAGTGGTGTGGCTTTTAGCGTTGCCTCTTAAAAGAATATTGATGGATGGAAGGATGGATGGATGGACAGATTAGATACACAGATGGAAATACAGATAGACTCAAGTTTTGATATACAGACAGATGAAGACTGATAGATGAATACCAATATAGACTAATGGATAAGGAGATAGACGGATATATAGATAATGTATAAATATCTTAACGGATGAATAGATGGTTAAATATATAAACAAATGGGTTGATAGAGAGATAGATGACCAAATGGATAGTTTTATAGACTAATGGATTGATAGATGGACAGATGGACAAAACAACTAATATATTGCTACAGAGGTGGATGGATAAATATACATTGTGGGTACTGCTAGATGCTGCAGCTATTTTACACTATGTTTACACTTTTAGAGCAAGTCACACATTTCTTAGTACGTTCACATGGATTTCGTCCATCATGTGAAATGGCTAAACCAGGGTTTTTCATAAAGAAAGATCCTGAGGCTGGACCACCTACAAGTGAAACAGCCACCATATCTCAGACTGAAAAAAACTATAAAAAACCATTTATAATCCAAACAAAGAAAAATACAGCAGACAGTAAACAAACAAATGGGTAAAGACTTCTTTTCCGTTGAAGGACAGCTGAAAACACTACAGGCAGGTTTGATTTCAACCTTCTGTCACTCCAACAGCAATTTTTTTTAATTATCTTATGATAGCAGAGCACCATTTAATCAAATTGAACCCATACTGGGTTTGAATCTCATTAGCTAAGCAAAGTTAGAGAGAGGAGCCAGGTAGCTTTAGCTTAGCTAGGAGGCTACAGATTCAAACACCACAGAACAGGTTTAATATCAACTTTCTGTACTTCTAACACCAGGTGCTCAACTTCGCTTCTTTAGATTTGATTATTGGTTATTATCATCCTAACTTCCCAGATAACTCAGCATTTTCCAGGTGGCCACTGGCCTGTGTAAGATTAGACTGAATGCCACTTTTTATCCTTTGTGAATTAGTGTAGTAAATAATTTTAACAGCAGTTTCAGAAATACATGTGGTTATACAGCTGTAATCTATCTAGCACAGTGTCGGCAACAACATTTTAAAAATTATTTTATATTAGGCCTAGCTTTTAATTTTCTTCGCTCAGTAGTTTGTAATAATAGTCTTAGTCTGTTTTCCGAAATAACAGTGTGCATTTAAAGTCTGTTAGAGGAGATACTAGTTAGACCTTGTATGCAGGACAATAATCTGAGTAGTCAGAGTGCGGACTGGCATACAGTCGGCAAGGTGCCAACCTTATCAAGCCAGCAGACCGATATATGCATGCTAACTAGGTCATAGTAAAGTTTTTGTTGGTCAGAATCAAGCCTGTTCTGTGGTGAGCAAAGCTGGCAGCATACTTTTTAAGCTAATACTAACCAGCTGCTCTCTCCTGGTTAGCAGCACTAACATTTAGATATTGTTGTTAGATTGAAGCTTTGACATCTGTTGAATGGTGGATTTAAAATCGTGCCATCGTTTTGTTTATTTGCCATCCGTGTGAGTGAAGTGAACTTATTTGATCGTTTTCAGGTTTGAAATAACACAGCAAGATGCGGTGGCATCATCAAAAACATAGAACCAATCAGCGGATAGCTAAGCTTGCCATCATCCGCCGAACAGTTCTGTGGCCCTGAACACGGTTAGTTAACTGTCCTGTCCTGAACTGAGAAAATCGAGCTGAGCCCGGTTTTTAAACACTCCTTGTCAAACCATGTCCATTTGGACATGCCACTGGAATGGTTATCTTCTGTGCTCAGAATCGTTCGGCTCTCCAGCAGAAAAGAGACCAAACAGGTCAGAATGTCTTCAGGTGACAGAGATGACGTTGAGGGGGCTTCTTTCCATTCTGGAAAACTAAATGGAGCAAAGACAGTTTTACCACCTCATGCAGAAGCTGGAATCTTCCCAAGGTTAAATTTGTTCTTGAGTCTGATGATAAGAAATGGTCTATGCCAGATTCCTTACATGTTCTTAAACGGCAGAACTGTTTGCACTTTTGTGGTCTTGGGTGTGCGCACAAATAAGTTGTGTTTGATATGTAAAGTTCTTTAGGTTTTCCATGTCTGAGAACAGAAAACTAGTAATTGCCGTTCTGTGTTGAACACTTTGCAGCCAAATAAATTATGCCGTCAGTTGGAGGCTAAATAATAATATGAACCTATTGAACTGAACCAGTCCACCTTTTACAAATTTCCTTTCTTCAGCATGTCATCCAGTAGCTAACATCAGCTAACTTCTTAGATGAGTTAGAAAATGTTAATTTTTAAGTTTTTAGGGTTCAGTGTATTGCACTATATCATAAAAACAAACACAGTTGACAGGCTATATTGCTAATTGTATAATAGATGTTTGTACTTTAAATGATCTGGTCTGTAAAATCTTGTGGCCGCAGAAGCTTTTGTGGTCGGCTTGATGGATGAATGGATAAATAGACCTAAGTAGGTAGGGGGATAGATGGACAGATGGATAGACAGACAAATGGGAAGGTGAGAATGTGGGAGACAAGAATAGATAGATAGACAAGTGGATGGATAGACAGGTGAATATATATGGACAAATGGGTCAATAGATAGACTGACGGATGAATGATTAGATAGAAAGATGATTTTTACTAGATAAATAGATAAATAAAGATAGAGAAATAGATAAATGGATGAATAAACTGGATATGTTTTATTGATCACTGAGAGGAATTTGGTATCTGTAGTAGCAACATACACCAACATTGTGTACACCTGGTAAATATATAGTGCAAATATATCAGGGCAAAACATGGCATGAAGTGCAGAGGATAGAAGATAAAACCAAAGCGTTCACATTTAGTGAAGTATAAAGCACAAGGTACATAATAAACAGTAGATGGTGGATAGATACAACATTCTATATTCAGATATTTCTTTTAAAGTATTGTTGTATTTGTGCTTTAACTGGGCAGATACCTCAGAGTTGTCTAGACGTGGCCATGAAGATGCTGAACTCCACTTACCCAAAGCCAAGCCTGAGTGTGGCCACTGAAGAGGAGGAACTGGAGGGCATTCAGAGGCAAGAACAGAAGAACAGAGCCTCAGTACAGTAAGTACAACTACCTGTACGCTGTTCAGTAAGCTAGATACATATTAGCAAGTGCATAAGATATTTGACCAAGGGTCAGTTCCCAAGCTGTTTGAAATTGTGAGGTTTCTCAGGCGAGTACAATAATGATTGTGAAAGAGAAATGGAGCAGACAGAGACTGTTTGCAGATATTGCTTGATGAGGATCAGATACCCATGCTAATACCTCAAACATGCTAACTCATTTGTGAAGACATCACACAAATATGTTGGTTACCAAAGTGAGGGGAAAACTTAAAGTTAGCCAGCTTCTTTCTGGGAGTGATTGAGCCATGTTAGAAAATCCCCTTGGACTCATTTCAACCAGAAGAATCATATCGATACAATACATGTCTGTGACAACTTTACATGTCGATAATAACTTTCATGATGGGTGGAGAAGGGACGCCGGGGGCAGGTTTGAAGACGGAGACCTTTTTATTATTATTTATACACAACGCGAAAACAACTCGGCTTTTCAGCCCACAGACAAATTAAGACAAGACGCTTGCTGGGACTTTTCAGTCCTTTCTTTGTTTCTTTCTTTTTTTCTAGTTCAGCTCAGTTCAGTTCAGCTCAGCTTAGCTCTGCATTTTTCCCCGAAACTCGATTGTAATGGGCAGGAGAGAATAATTGTGTACATCACAGTGGACACACTGCACCTTCACCCGATATGCCCTCTCCAGTGCCACGTCTTGAATCAAGCATTGGTGAATCGTGGTTTGATTACAGCCAGAATCCACCAAGGCTTGATATGTACCCCCTTGAATACTCACTGGAATGCGGTACACTCCAGCTCGATCAGGGGAGGTGGGTGGCGACGTGGGAACTCGGACCAATGTTCCGACCTCCATGTGGTTGCGCTGGTCCTGGAAATATCTGACTCCCCACATCGCCAACGCACCTGCCCAGGCTTCACCCTAGATCTTGTGGGCAGGGGGCGTTGCAGGGAGGGCGAGAGCAGGGAAAGGGTTTGGGGGCTAGAGAGCCCTTCTTTCTGGGAGCGGGAATAGGGAGAGAGAGAGAAGGAGAGAGAGGTATAGGCTGGGTGGGGGTTCCTGCCCTCGAATGCGCCGCCATGTGCGCCTCTGTCAGCTTTGTGGCCTTGTCCAGCATTCCGGTTGGTGACACTGGACCGAAGCTGCTCCAGCACCAATCAAGTCGAGCACCTCCTCGGAATCGCGTTCTTCAGACAAGAGCCACCTTCTGCAGGAATCGCGGAGCTGTTGAGCCAGCACAAAGGGCCAGTTAAACTCTCAGAGCACGCTGACGGTGTTGCTCCGGAGTTCGACCAACCCTCTGGAGGACGGCCTTTTTCAGCTCGTCGTACTCCAGCTGCGATTGAGCAGGGAACTGTTGGGCAGCAAGCTGGACCTACCCCATGAGCAGGGGCAGCAGTCGGATGGCCCAGTCCTTTTTCGGCGACCCCCAGTCTTCCACCGCTCTCTCGAAGAGCACGAACGCTTCTGGGTCATCTTGTGGACTCATCTTCGAGATGGAGATGGTAGCTGGAGCTGGAGTACTGGTGGCTGACAACAAACTCCAGAGAAGATTCCTGTCCGCCTCTTGGCCCTGAGCCAGGGCCTTGAAGTAGGCCTGGTTTTCTCGCTGGATGTCCAGGAGAACTTGATGCTGTGTCTGCTGCAGGAGGGAGAGTGCTTTGACTATCTCTCCAAGCAGTGAGGACTCCATGGCGACATTTGTCCAATCCTCCCAGGTTTCGGCACCAATGTAACAACTTTAATGATGGGTGGAGGAAGGACGCCGGGGGCAGGTGTGAAGACGGAGAGCTTTTTATTATTATTTATACACAACGCAAAAACCACTTGACTTTTCAGTCCACAGACAAATTAAGACAAGATGCTCGCTGGGACTTTTCAGTCCTTTCTTTCTTTCTTTCTTTCTAGTTCAGCTCAGCTCAGCTCAGCACGGGTCTCCTTCTCTCTCTTGGCTCTGCCACCTACTGAGGGAAGAGATGACTATAAGTAGGCTGGCAGAAACAAGGCACAGGTGAACATCATCAGCTATTTAGCCCGCTGGTTCAGCCCGACCGGCTTCTCCGTCCTGCATTCGACGCTCGGCCACGCCTCCTTTCTCCACAATGTCATATTCTGAAATTGCATATTGTTACCCACTTTGTTTTTGCAGTTTTCTTGCTGGAAGGATAATTTGTCTCTTTCTCACCTCCACAGGAAATACAACAAGCTAGTTGAGGATCTTTTGGACTGCCTCAGTGACAGAAATATGTATGTTATCTTTATAAATATAGACAGGACCTTTCAAAAGTTTAGCCACACCTATCCACAAAGAAAGCTGTAATTACTACTTACGGAATTATTGATTTTTTTTTAAGTATTATATTACATTATTTTTTTTTAAATAAAATTAAACATGCTCTAGTATTGGTATTAAACATTATGTAAAACATGCATGCAAGCAGGTGTGTCCAAACCTTTGACTGGAATTGTACAATCGTATGCAAAAGCTTGGGCATCCATCAACAAATTATATGTTTGTTGATTTTCTAAGTGAAAATAAGAACATATCCTCTACAGAGAACACACTTCTGCACACCGTAATGCAGATTTATTGTTTATGTACTGAAATGAATGAGGAAAAAATAGAACATAAAATGTGTCGTATGCAAAAGTTATGGCACATTTAATGAAACATTTTATGTTTTATTTTTTCCAAAATGTTAAACTTGGCAAATACAACCCCATTTCCCAAAAAGTTGGAACACTGTGCAGAATGTAAATAAAAATCAGACGCAGTGATGGGCAAATCATGTTTTTACAGGAAAATACTACAAAGACAACATATAAAATGTTGAAACTGAGAAATGTTATTGTTTTTTGAAAAATGTATGCCCATTTTGAATTTGATGCCCAACAACACTTTCCAAAAAAGTTGGGATGGGGGCATGTTTACCACTGTGTTTCATCACCTCTAATTTTAACAAACTCTGTAAGCATTTGGGAACTGAGGAGACCAGCTGCTGTAGTTTTGACAGTGAAATGTTTTCCCATTCTTGTTTGAGATAGGATTTCAGCTGCACAACAGTTCGGGGTCTCATTTGTCATATTTTTCATTTCGTAATGCCCTAAACGTTTTCAGTGGTGACAGGTCTGGACTGCAGGCAGGTCAGTTTAGCACCCAGACTCTTTTACTACAGAGCCATGTTGTTGTAATATGTGCAGAATGTGGTTTAGCATTGTCTTGCTGAAATAAGTAAGGCCTTCCCTGAAAAAAGACATTGTCTGGATGGCAGCATATGTTGCCAACACAGATGTGCCCTCACAGATGTGCACATCACCCATGCCATGTGCACTAACATACCCCTATACCATCAGGAATACTGGCTTGTGAACTGTGCACTGATAACAAGCTGAGTGGTCTTCAGGACATGGTGTCCATAATTTCCAAAAAAAAATTCGAATGTTGATTCGTCAGACCACAAGAGACTTTTACACTTCCCCTTAGTCCATTTTAAATGAGCTTGGGCCCAGAGAAGGTGGCAGCATTTCTGGACCCTGTATATGTATGGTTTCTTCTTTACGTTTCAGAGTTTCAACTTACATTTGTTGATGCAGTGATGAACTGTTTTCACAGACAGTGGTTTTCAGAAGTATTTCTGAGCCCATGCAGTGATTTCCACTACAGAATCATGTTTGTTTTTAATGCAGTCCTGCCCAAAGATCATGGCCAGCAAATACTGTTTTTTGGCCTTGTCCCTTGCATACAGAGATTTCTCCAGATTCTTTGAATCTTTTAATGTTATTATGTACCGTAGGTGATGAAAAGCAAAAGTTCATTTCTATTTTACATTAAGCAACATTATTCTTGAATTGTTCCACTGTTTGCCTGTGCAGTCTTTAACAGAGTACTGAACTTCTCCCCATCTTTACTTCTCAAAGACTCAGCGTCTCTGGGATGCTTTTTTATACCCAATCGTGTTACTGACTTGTTGCCAAATAACCACCAGGGTTTTTTTTGTAGAATTACACAACTTTACCAGCCTGCTGTTGTCCCTGTCCCAACTTTTTTGGAACGTGCTGTTGGCATCAAATTCAAAATGGGCAGATATTTTTCAAAAAGCAATAAAATTTTTCAGTTTCAACATTTGATATGTTGTCTGTATACTGTTTTCAACGAAATATAGGGTTTAAATGCACATCATTGCATCATTGCATTTTGTTTTTCTTTACATTTTACAATGTCCCAACTTTTTTTGGAAATGGGGTTGTAAATAGAAGCGCAGTAAAATTAGCAGAAAAATATCATATTTCAGTTCACTGTGTTTTACCATTGGATGCAACCATTTGCAGCTGCTACTAGCCAGAAATAAATCAGCGTTGGAGTACTTCCTTGCTCCAGTTAAATCAGTGTCTGCTACACACTCAAAAAAGATTCTTTAGAAAAGGACCTTTGAAGAACCATCTTTATAGGTGTGTAGAGCAAAAGTTGGGCTTCCAGATAAGTCAATTTTTTTTAGTTTATTTTCTGTCAATCACCATATCTGCGATAATCAATCTCTGTTAGTAGGTTTGAGTCAGGTTCAGGTTTCAAATTTAGATTCTGGTCTCTGTCGGGTCAGGTCTTGAAATCATGGGTAGAGCTAGGGTTTGGACTTCAGTTTCATGCTCTTCAATTTTACTAGAGACTTGTGCAGACTAGTAGTCCAGTGTGCATCTCATTTGTCACATGTGCTCTCTATTAGGCCCTGGAAGTTTGAGCATATTGCCATTGGCTTCCTGTCCCTGATGCTTAGAGACGACTGCCCTCTACCTTCTCGTGCTGTCCTCTTCTTCGTTCAAAGTCTCAACCATGACTCACTCTTAGTCCGCAAGGTAGGCATGTGTGAGTGTATCTGTGCAAACCTACAGCTCACTGGATGTTTTGACAGATATTTTTCAAGTTGATGCATAAATACATGTGCTTCAAGAATGACACACTAAGACATATATGCCAACACATTTGGCGTCTTGACTGCTCTGTTCTTCTTGTATCAGGTTGCAATATCAGCTTTAGCTGGCATCTTGAAGCAGCTGAAGAGACCTCGTAAGAAGGTGTCAGTTAGTCCATATGACATCTCTGAGCTCAAAACATCTCTAGAATCATGTAAGTATATATGTTAGTTTACATCAAGTTGTCAGTTTATTCCATACACGGTCATTGAGCGGTAGAGATAAGGGGAATCGCTACAATATCACAATAATATGTAGTGTAATCTTGCATCATTTTGGATTTACAAATAGTATTGATGCACCCAAGTGTCAATATTTTATTGTTTAAATTTGTATTAAGCTCCATGTTAGAAAAATAGATACTTAATAGATATACTTAATAGATATGTATATGCATTTCTTTCTTAATCCATAAGATTTTTTCTGGTGAGACATTTACTACTACCACAGACAAAGATTTCTGTCTGTGTAAATGAAGTAGTAAATAACACTCTCGCCCTGCTCATGGGAGAAAAGTTTAGGCGGGACCAAACAAACAACCAAACATTAGATTACCAAAATGCATTTCTTCCTCAGTCCTTTCTGGTGAGACCAAGGTTTCTGTCAGTGGAGTTGTTGACATTGTTTCCCTGCTCATGAGAGAATGATTAAGCTAGGAGTCTGAAGATCACTATAAAATGCCAAGAAAACTTCAATAATATGAGATTCCTAACATTAATTTCATCTAATGCTGTAAATTGCTTTGATAAATCAGTATATCTGTTGCAAATATTCCTACTCCCTGCAGCATTGTAGTCTCTAGAGCAATATTCATTAATAGATTTTCATGTTTATAAACTAGGAAAACACCCTTTTGTTGATGTGTCTTGAAGACGGAAGACAATCCAACTACTTTGGGATGGAGTTTTGGGTGAATGCAGAAGGAGGGCAGACAGACAGACATACACAGTCACACATACACTCACACCTAGGGGCAATTTTAGCACGTCCAATTGGCCTGACTGCATGTCTTTGGACTGTGGGAGGAAACCGGAGTACCCGGAGGAAACCCACGCAGACACAGGGAGAACATGCAAACTCCACACAGAAATGACCCTGGTCGCCCGGCCGGGAATCGAACCCAGGCCATTCTTGCTGTGAGGCGACAGCGCTACCCACTGTGCCACCGTGCCGCCCGCGCAATTAGCAAATAGAATTAATAGATGCAATAGAATTGTATGGTGTCTCAAGTATTGTGATAATATCATTATTTTGGGGGAACGGTAGAGATTCCGCTTCTCTACTGGGTAGGGTCGAGGGGGGGATGATAAATTATGTTGTGACAGATGGGCTGCAATCAGTAATTGTAAACCTACAAGGTGTACCTATATAGTAGTGTACCTAATAAACTGCCAACTCATTGTATATACCTGCATGTATTACTTAGTTTCAATTAGTGAAGGACTATATTAGAGAATCCTGTGTGAACTACTGAAAGACGTTTTTTGTTGATCAGAAGTCATTTCCAATCTTTCACTGAATTATCCAATGAATGAGATCTGTATCTGTATTTTGTGTCTTAGGGAGTGGTAAACATGCAGACTCGATGGTGTCAGGAGACAGACCTGATAACCAGTGGCTGCAGTACAACAGCAGCAGACTGCCTCGCTCCCAGCAGGACTGGGACAAGTGCTGCTTCATAGAGAAAACTCACTGGGGCTACTCCACCTGGCCACGGTAAAATAAATACTATACAATTACTGCAGATGCTCATTAACAGTAAATTATATATTGTCAGTCACATGCACATTGTTTAGTTTTAGACAGATTGGAAACTTACACAGACTATAATGAATATGTCATGATAAACATGGCTTTCTCTCTGCTGTCTTCTCTACCTGTCTCTTTATCATCCTCTGTCATACTCATCTCATGTTCTCTGCAGGAAACTAATGTTGTATGCACCTTCTGAAGAGCAACCCAAGCGAGGCAAAACCAGAGAGGAAATGACAGAGGTATGGCAAACACACGCAGCAAAAACACCCTTTTCAACATCCAAATGTAGTACTTCTTATCTTCTTATATTTGCTATTTAATCTGCATTCTGCAGATTTTTTAACATTTAGCTTAATTGCATTGTTAAGATGTAAACAATGTTATTCAGAGTGGTTTGATGCAAAATGTTACAGAGAAACTTGCAGTCAGAATTCTTTACAGAGGTGTTACAGAGGTGGAACCAGTCTGAAGAGTTTAATGCCTCAGCGAAAGTTAATACGTGAAAAGGTTACAAATACATTGCCTGTTACAGTAGTTTTGCAAAAGGTGTTGGCCTAAAATACATCTATACATATATACATATGTGTGTGTGTGTGTGTGTGTGTACGTGTGTGTGTGCCCAGAGGGAGCAGATCATCTATGATCATTTCTCCGACCCTGTCTTCATAGACCAGCTCATTCAGTATCTCTCACTGGAAGACCGGAAGGGTAAAGACAAGTTCAGCCCTCGCCGCTTCTGCCTCTTCAAGGTGAAAACATTTCAAGCACCTGAAAACAAACTCTACAAAAGTCAGATATGTTATGCTGAAAGTGACAGTTAACTCTTTTTTTCTAAATTTCACAACTGACTGTCGCATGCCATGTGCTATCCCAAGCTCAGGAAGGACGCTGGAGGCAGGAGAAACATCTGCAGCAGCCATTTCTTTATTTCATTCACAGAACACACAACTGAAACTGAAACTAGCCACCTTTTAGTGGCTACTACACTAGACTTTTCAGTCCTTTTCTCACTTGAGCTTTTCAGCTCTTCAGTCTGTTGCTGCTGCTGCTCGTCCCTTTTCTCTCTCTGTTTCCTGTTCTCTGCTCTTTTTAAAGGTGCTCACGTCACCAACGCCAGATCACCATCAACTGGCTTTCATTAAGGGCAGCGTGAGCTCCTGAGCCGAGAGGGACAGAGCTTGTTGCTCCGTCTCACCGTCACCGGCTCAGCCGCCTGGATCAAACGTGAGGTGTAGTCTAGTGGCCTCTCTGGGAAACAGGAGGCAGTGCCCAGGAGGTGGGGCTCGGGACTCGTGCGCCATACACCACTCTCTTGTGGTTCTCCTTGTCTCCTCGCAACCCTTGCAGGGTTTCATCCTTGCTCAGGGTTGGGACCCAGCCCTCTCACAGCTGTCATTGGGGCCCGGGAGACGGACGCCTGGCACATACCTCCATCACCCAACTCACAGCAGGGGGAAGGGAGGCGAACTTCGAGCCCTCTCGGAGCGGTAACGGGAGGGGAGAGAAGGTGGGCTTTCTTGGAGCAGGAATAGGAGGGAAAAGAAAGGGAACTTCAAGCCCTCTCTGAGCAGGGAGGGGAGGGGGAAGAGAGTCCCTGGTCCTCCTCGGAGCAGGGGCTAAAGGCATGAGGGGGGTGAGAGGGGGTCACCACGTGCTGCTCCTCAAGCTGCTTCCATCACTTCAGCGTCATGAAAAGCAGCCTGCAGCTCCCGTCAGCAGGCCAGATGCATGGACTTGAGGGTCTTGATGGACTCCTCTTCTGCCATGGAGACTCCCTCCCTCCCTTATTGCTCCGCCTCCCTGTCACTGCCCCCGACGTGAGGTGAAGTCTAGCGGCCTTACTGCGGAACAGGAGGCAGTGCCCAGGAGGTGGGGCCGTCGTGGTTCTGCTTTTGTCCCCGCTGTCCTTGTGTGCCATCATCAGGGCCCGGTGGACAGGCACATGGCACACTGACATATTTGTCTCTTTGTGGAAGTAAAAATATAGTTTAGTCTAATAGATCTCATTTCTGAAATTTAGAACACAAACCGGCAAACATAAACTTACCGCCACCTACTGACTAAGGAACACATTAAGATTAGAATTAAATGAATTTAAAAAAGTGACATTGTATTTTAAGGTCCTCAGATTTCCATGTGGAGTAATTTTAGAGTACTATTTACAAAAGACAAAAAACATAAATACTTTTAAAATCATTTATATCCTCAAAACAATACATGAAAGGTGTACTGTTTCAGCCAGAGTCCAGAAATTAAAGTGATGATTCCGCCCAAAGTCAAAATTACAGGTATAAATATATTAATTAAGACTTGTTTGTTTGGTATCTATGGCTTCCTCTTTCAAATAGGTATGCTTATGTGACACCATCTAATATATTGTTATCTATTAAAAAGGTACAGTAGTACTTTGCATAGTAACAAACAGTAGTAGCAGCCACCTTTAACCTTGTATCATGCCTGTACATTTGTTTATTATTATAGATAACACTACATCTTACTGTGTCAGAAGCCAAGATTAAGATTATGTAACAGTTTGCAGTAGTTTGAAGCAAGTGGGTATAAAGTTTGCCTAATGCTAGCAGGTGGCTTTAAGCTTCCATTATGTTAGCTTCATTAGTCTTGTAGATTTGATTTGATTGTTGGAACTATCACTTTAAGTCCTTGTGCCGTGACAGGGTCTTTTCCGAAATTTCGACGACAGCTTCCTGCCAGTGCTGAAGCCACATATGGAGCAGCTGGTAGCAGACACACATGAGAGCAAACAGCGCTGTGTAGCTGAGATTATCTCTGGCCTCATCAGAGGATCCAAACACTGGAGCTACAGCAAGGTACACACACACTCACATACCAAACATTTTCATTACACTAAATGAAATTGTACTGCCACATTTGAAAATGGCTAAATATATGAGTTATGTTTCAATGTTTAAAATAATAATATTATTACAAGTAAATTAATAAAATATCAAAATAATGAGCTGGCATCCAGTTATGTTGTTACTATGCAGTTTATGCAGTTACTATGAACTGATGAAAACTGTTACCTATGAAATACTCAGAAAGTATATTGTGACTTAATTAATCACAATAATGATAATGTAACGTCATATTGAACCCCCCCCACCCCGCTAATATGTAAATCAATATTTACACACGCACACTTTTTTTTACTTAGCAGAACAGTCGGGAATAACTACAGGTTCCGTGTGTGATACTATAACTATACTTGAATCACTATGCAATTATAAAGTGATATTGTCAGAAGGCCTAAAAGCCTCTAAGGGTCCTCCACTGGCAGTCCATCACATTGTAATACTAAGCATATCACAAACCTTTGAATATCATAATAGAATCATATCAGTGCTCAAATATTGTGAGAATATTGAGTTGCAGGGCTTGTAGCATTTCCCCACTCGGCTGACTAATGCTAGTGAAATAAAGCAATCCCAAACCTATTTCTGTTCAACCCATTTCATGGTGTTTGTGTGTGTACTCAGGTGGAGAAGCTGTGGGCTATGCTCTGTCCTCTCCTCCATACTGCACTTTCTAATATTACCATTGAAACCTACGGTGACTGGGGCACCTGCATTGCCACTGCTTGCGTAAATATCTCTCTGTTTTCCTCTTTGTCTTACCACTGTGGTTTATCTCCTTGTGGACGCATGTATTATGAACTTATTAATGTTCATAAGCATATGTGTGCTTAAATGTTTGTCTGGTCTATATTTTGTGTGATACAGGAGAGCAGAGACCCACGGAAGCTGCATTGGCTGTTTGAATTGCTAATGGAGTCTCCTGTCAATGGAGAGGGAGGCTCATTTGTTGATGCCTGGTATGATGATATAGATGTCACAGTATATTCTGTTTTATTTGACTGACTGCAACATTTATGCCATTAGAAAATAGGTTATTGGTGCATGCAGCCAGTTGATTCTAAGGGAATTAAAGAATTCTTTTCATTTTGGGAAACATAATAGACTTCATGTTACAACCCCATTAAGTTGGGTGCTGTGCAAAATGTAAATAAAAACAAAATGCAATGGTTTGCAAATAACTTAAACCCTATATTTATTTGAAAATAGCACAATGACAACAAATCAAATGTTAAAACTGAGAAACTTTATTGTCTTTTTTAAAAATATATGCCCATTTTGAATTTGATGCCAGCAACACGTTCCAAAAAAGTTGGGACAAGGCGACAAAAGACTGGTAAATTTGTGTAATGCTAGAAAAAATGGCTGAAGGCTTATTGGCAACAGGTCAGTAACATCACTGGGTAGAAAAAGAGCATCCCAGAGAGGCTGAGTCTTTGAGAAGAAAAGATGGGGAGAGGTTGGGCCCTCAGGTGTCACTGCATTAAAAACAGACATGATTCTGGAGTGGAAATCATTGAGTAGGCTTAGGAACACTTCTGAAATCCTCTTTGTCTGTGAATGCAGTTCATCACTGCATCCATAAATGCAAGTTAAAACTCTACTATACAAAGAAGAAACTGTATATAAACAGGACCCAAAAACGCCACCGCCTTATCTGGGCCTGAGCTCATTTGAGATGGACTGAGGCAAAGTAGAAAAGTGTTCTGTGGTCAGCCAAATCAAAATTTGAAAATCTTTTTGGAAATCATGGACAGTGCATCCTACGAGCTAAAGACTATCTGAATGGCAACATATGTTGCCAAAACCTATATATATATATATATATATATATAGGTTTTGGCAACTTATATTGCCATTCAGACAATGTCTTTTTCAGGAAGGCCCTGCTTATCTCAGCAAGACAATGTAAAACCACATTCTACACGCTACAACAGCATGGCTCTATAAACTGACCTGCCTGCAGATCAGATCTGTCACCCACTGAAAACATATGGCACTTTATGAAATGAGAAATACGACAAAAGAGACCCCGAACTGTTGAGCAGCTGAAGTCTTATATCAAGTAAGAATGGGAAAACATTTCACTTTAAAAACTACAGCAGTTGGTCTCTTCAGTTCCAAATGCTTACAGAGTGTTGTTAAAAGAAAAGGTGATGCAACACGGTGGTAAACATGCCCCAGTTCCAACTTGTTTGGAGTGTGTTGTTGTCATCAAATTCAAAATGGGCAAATTATTAAAAAAACAATAAAATTTCTCAGTTTTAGCATTTGAATTGTTGTCTATGTTCTATTTAATTAAATTTAGGGTTTAAATGATTTGCACATCATTGCATTTTGTTTTCATTTACATTTTGCACAGTGTCCCAACTTTTTTGGAAATGGGGTTGTACATTCTGAGTTTTCTCACCTGTCTGATTTTTCATTAATTATGTTAATATTACATTCGTCTGAATAAGACTGCTAGTGTAACTAAGATATGATCATGTAAACAGCACAACTCTATTGTCATGGTTCAACTAAGGTAGGGGTGTCTAGTCTTACCCACAAAGGGCTGGTGCGGTTGCAGGTTTTCATTCCTTGCAGAAGCACACCTGATTCCATTTCTTTAATCAACTGATTTCAGTCAAACACCTGATCTTGCAATCACCTGCTTTGTTGCAATGAAAACCTGCAGCCACATCAGCCCTTTGTGGTTAAGACTGGACACCCATGGACTGGGGCCTCAGTGGACCTAAGCTTAGTGTGATTAAGCATGTGGCCCAGGTCAATATATGCCAGACTATTGAAGTATGTGAACGCTTAGGTCACTCCACTAACTTTAAGCTTTTGCAATATTTTGAGGGTTTTTCTGTAGTACGTTCCATGTGGCAAGTAACAACAGGCAAAAAAAAGTGGAAAAGACGTGTCTCATGTTATACATTTTGTCAGACATAGTTGTCATTATTAGTTGTCCTATACAAAAGTTTCAACACCTCTTGTCAAATTATGATTTGTTGATTTATGAAAAATTGTAAAAATAAGTTAACACTCCCTCTATAGGGAATTTAAATATGGCATTTTCTGCAAATTTTAGTCCACAGTTTCTGTTTATTTGCTGAGTTTAACAAATAAAAAAAATAAAAAAAAAACATAAAATTTAAAAATGTGCCATAACTTTTGAACAGGGCATATTTTATAGTCCGCCCCAGTTGGTTAAATTTAGCAAATCTCCTATACAGCACTTGCAGTTGTCTTGGTTCAGTCCAGTTTCTTAAACTATTCGTGGAGTATTGTGTGCATGTAAATATAGTTATTGTCTTGCTCTGTTTTCTTGCAGTCATTTGTATGTACTGCAGGGAGGCCTTGCTCAGCAGGAGTGGAGAGTTCCAGAACTGCTTCACAGACTGCTGCAGTATCTAGAACCCAAACTCACACAGGTCTACAAAAATGTACGCGAACGCATTGGCAGGTGTGTATGCGCGCACACGTGTACGTCTCCACAAAGGAGAACTTTTCAGAAAAAAGGAAAGAACATTCTTAACTTCAATGCACATTAAGATTCTATTAAATCATTAATCATTAAAGGGGAAATCCACTTTTTTTCCCAAAGTTCTTCAAAGCTGAATCATTAAGATGTAAAAAAAAATCATTCAGAGTGATTGGATATGAAATGGTTCATTGTAGCTAAACTTACTGGCTCTGATTTCTTCACAGTGGTGGTGATGGGAACCAGGGGTCACAATGAGATTTTATATTTAGTGTTTTGGGTTTTGCCTTATAAGGACCTGGATGTACATCTCTGCCATAAACAAAGTTTTTAAAAAACAATTTAAGCCAAAATCTTATTTCAAAGCTTTTGTGAAACACTGTATCAGGCATCAGGCAGCATATATGTAACTTTTTAATAACTTTTTGTGAGCAAGATTTTGGTAGCATTTAAAAGCTTCAGACATCTAGTTCTTATTACCACTGCTGTGAACAATTCTGACTTGGATTTCTCTAGTGCATTTTAAACCACTCTGAATTACTACTGTTTATCTTAATGAATTCATTACGCATGAAATTTGAAAAATCGGTGGAAATCACCTTTAATTAAATTTCCTATTGGCCTTTCTGTTTTGTACCGTTCACATTAGAGTTTTACAAGATTTTGATATGATCGGACATACCAAGTGTATTTTGATCTAACGGCCATGCTTAAATGATAGAATACAACAATATTACATTTCAATCATACTCTTTGGAGCTGCCCTTCTGCAGATAGCCAACATTAGTTAGCTCCCTGTAACTAATTTGACTTGTTAGCAGTAAAAAAGGAATAAAAAGAGAGTAAGATAACATTGTATTAGATAAAAGAGTAAAATAAAAGAGCTGTTATGAGCAGTAATTTTGTTGATCGTTGACTGATAATGTGGTTGATTTAATTTTGATGTGTTTTTCAGAGAAATATGAAGACCACCAGACTCCCAAGCTGACTTTTGTGACTAGTCCACCTCTATTTGTCTCGCTAATTGTCTGTGTCCTCTCTCCATCCTCAGCGTGCTCACCTATATTTTCATGATTGATGTGAATCTGCCGCACACGCAGCCCACCACCTCTCCACGCATCGCTGATTTTACAGCCCGCATGCTGTCCCGCCTCAAACCGCTGCTAGAGTCCGAAGGAGAGATCCAAAACCATGTGCTGGATGATAACACTGAGGAACAGGATGAGAGGACCCAGGCCATCAAGCTGCTCAAAACTGGTGTGTGTGCTTGTTCGTGTGTGTACGTATAACTGACAGACAGGCAGACAGACTTGGGCTGACTTGGCACACTATTGCGCCTACAGCGCATTATAGCCAAAACATAAGCCATAAACATTAAGTTTCTTTCAGTGGATCAAAACGTTCAGGTTAGAGCACGGAGAGACGCCAGGGATGTGGGTAAAAACCTGCTCAATTACTATCATTTTTGTCCTTACTCCCCATGTAGTGCACTGCGCAAGTCATGAAATCAGGGATTCTACACCAACAGTGCACTAAATCTTAGATGGGTTGTTGTGCAGCTATGGCTGAATACAAATGACTTTTAATTGCACATATAATGCACACCTTAAAGCTCTGTGGAAGCACACCTTCATATGGCTGTTTTGTTACGGCTCAACTACAGTTTTAAACTGCCAAAAAGTTTAGAATTTTTACATCTTGGCAATATCGCAACAACATAAGAAATGCCTTATCCCTGCATGATGCAGAAACATTAGTACATGCCTTTATTACTTCAAGGCTAGACTATTGTAACGCACTACTGTCAGGATGCACCAGCAGGAATTTAAGTAAACTTCAGCTAGTTCAATATGCTGCATGTCCTCACTAAAACTAGAAAATTTGATCATGTCAGTCCAGTTCTATCATCACTTCATTGGCTGCCTGTTAAATTCTGTATTGATTGCAAAATTCTTTTATTGATGTATAAAGCCCTACACGGGCTTGCTCCTGAGTACCTGCAAGACCTTATTTCCCATTACGAGCCACCACGATTACTCAGATCACAGAGTGCTGGCTTTTTAATAGTTCCCAGAATTCAGAAGGTTTCATCTGGGGGAAGAGCCTTTTCTTATAAAGCCCCCAAACTCTGGAATGATCTTCCAGAAAATGTTCGGGACTCAGACTCAGTTGCAGTCTTCAAATCTAGGCTGAAAACTCACTTGTTTAGTTTAGCTTTTGGTAGTTAATGTTCCCCCTTAGATAAAGGCTGCAGATCCAGGGGTCCATGGACACAGGGAATTATAGTAAACGCTGGTCCTGTTGTCCCGCTGCTCGCACGCAATCACTCAGGCTTGTGGACAGTGGAGCGGAGGGATGCCAAATTGTTTCAGGGTGCTCCTGTGTCTGTGTGTCCTTTTGGTTATCTCCTTTTAGTTAAGCTGTTATAGTCAGATCTGCTGGAGTCATTAGCCACACTCTGGAAATGTTCACATTCTCTGTTTTACATACACCCAAACAGAACAAAACTAATTCCATCTCCCTACCTTTTTCCGAGTAAACAACTGCCCACCTGTCCGGCCGGACACTGATGGATGATTGTCTGTCGAGCTCTCCTGCTACCCGCTTCAGACCAGTTGCCCACGCCCCAGTCACCGCCACTTGCCCAGCTACCGCCACTTGCCTTGGACTAGCTGCCTACATTGAAGTTTTCATGGACTCCTAACTATTACTACTACTACTACTACTACTACTACTATTAATATTAGTAGTATAATAATTTTGTAGGTAGTTTGACCAGAGGAGGATGGGTCCCCCCTTGTCAGCGTTGGTTCCTCCCAAGGTTTCTTCCCCAGCTCTGAGGGAGTTTTTGCTTGCCACTGTCGCCCCTGGCTTGCTCACCTGGAGGATTACATTTCATGTTAAAACTTTGTCTTTAATGGATTTCTGTGAAGCTGCTTTGTGACAACATCAGTTGTAAAAAGCGCTATACAAATAAATTTGACTTGACTTGATTTATTAAATATAAACACTACAGCTCGGCTAGTGGTGGTCATAGCAATATTCTCTAAGCATATGTAACAGTGGTGCGCATGTACCATGCAAATTCGGCAGGAGACGCAGATTGGGTAGCGTCATGTGCCATCACACGAACGCAAGATAAGGCTGGGATGTTATAGGCAGAATTTTGCCGTAACTTGCACATCTCAGCAACACTGAAAATTGTTCCTCTACATCTGTGGACCTTTCAAAATAAGTGTCTTTGAACTGTGTTTGTAGATGCACTTTTCTGGATTTCTACAAGTGTCCTTAAAATGACATTAGTGACATAAAAGTTACATTTACAATAGGGAAACAACACTGTATTGCTCATGGTTTTAAATGCTGTTTAATGTGTATGGCATACGTGTGGCAAAAAGAAATGCATTGATTAACTAATGATTGTATAATGGATAATAAATTCATTGTACAAGATGTGAGTTCTAAAGCTTTACTTGAGTATTAATTGTACACAAAAATATTTATAAAGTTACTGGTTACAACTGAATGTACACAGACATTTAGTTCAACGTTTTCGTGTCAATTGCTTTTTCAGTTACACAGTGCGGTGATGTTTTACAGACATCATACAGCTAACATATACGATTAGGTGGGCAAAGGAGTGAAAGCATAGACATTATTTTGACCCGAAAGGGACGTCAGTGATAGTAGCAACACAAGTGTTTGTGTGTTATGTTATGTTTTATGTTATGTTATGTTATATTATGTTATGCATGTATGTGGCTATTTATGTATGACCAGTATTTATGCATGTAACAGTATTGTTTTCTTGTGTTGCAGTGCTGAAGTGGCTGATGACAAGTGCAGGACGCACTTTCTCCTCAGCTCTCCCAGAACAGCTGCAACTTCTGCCTCTTCTCTTCAAAGTGAGTCTCCCCCCTACTGCTGACCCATTTTACTTCTCTGTCCTCTCTCATTCTGCACAGTCCTGTGGCTCCAGTAGCTTTTTTGAAATGGAAGAGTTTGATGTACTAACAGTTCAAAATGTACTGTTCACTCTCCAATTTATATGGTGCATTTATGCAAAAACAGCCCCTTTCGAACCTCTTTTGTGAGGTCATGACCACAAAGACATTTCCATAACCTATATCACTTTAGCCGCCACCCACCCAGTTAGAGTGGCTAAAGTTTTTCCTAACATACCAGGATTTTAGTCCGAACTTTTTTAACATGGCATGATACAGAGCAGCCAATCAGAGCAGAGCTTATCATCTTCTTTCACCTTCTACGTTTTCCTCCTCTTTTTCCTCGTAGTCCCTCTGTCTCTTTTTCCTCTCTCTCTCTCTCTCTCTCTCTCTCTCTCTCTCTCTCTCTCTCTCTCTCTCTCTCTCTCTTTGTGTCTCTCTGTCTCTTTCTCTCTCTCTCTCTCTCTCTCTCTCTCTCTCTCTCTCTCTCTCTCAATTCAGTTTAATTCATGGGCGTTTTACTGGCATGACATATAATGCTATATTTATATTGCCAAAGCAACAGATCTCATGGTTGAAGAAAAATCAACAATTTAACAGCTGAGCATATTGGAGTCTAGGAAAACCCTTAACAGAAACAAATAACTGTTAGGCTTAAAAGTTAAACATTGAAGAATTGTAGTAAAGGGATAAAATAGATATAAAATCATAATGATAAAACAAGTGTGTGTGTGTGTGTGTGTGTGTGTGTGTGTGTGTGTTAAGCTCACTGGACAAAAGATTTGTCACCTGTGACTGAAACGTATCTAATAGCGTGTAATACATCCACAAGCACAAATAACAGCCATGATTTGCAGAGCATCCTCCAGCTTGAATCACACCTTGCACACAGTCCTCCTCAAAGGCTTCCTGAGGTCTACAATGAACACAACGCCTAGCATCATTCACATAAAATCAGAAACGATTTTCATCTGACCAGATAACACGTTTACAGTCATGAACAGTCCATTTTTGTGTATCTTCGCCCACTGTAGCAGGGCAACTTTTTGAGCAGAAGTGATCAAAGGCCTCTTGCGTGCCAACCTCTCTTTCTCTGTGCAGATTGCTCCTGTGGAGAATGATGACAGTTATGATGAGATGAAGACGGATGCTAAGACATGCCTCTCTCTGATGTCTCAGGGTCTGCTGTACACAGAACAGATCCCACAAGTCCTCAGCACTCTACAGGAGGTCAGACACATAGCAAAACAAGTTTATAATGTCTGGTGCATTGCGTCTGTTTGCCAGCATTATATATTACATCATCACTGTTGCAACAAAACTAAAACTGTTGTAACAAAAACAAAACCTCCAAAAAAAAAAATGTAAGTTCTTAAAAATTAATGTACATCACTGCAAAAAAAATATTCCCAGTCATTTTAGATTTTAGATTTCCACTGGTCCGTTTTTCATGAACATTAGCACAGTGTGAAGGATAGCCAGCATTTTCAAATTATATATAAAAAAATAATAAATGGATAAAATTACTTTTTATTCATTTATTATTTTCTTCAAAGAAAAATCTGTTAAGTCTTTAATATGTCAGTGTATTGCCCAATAACAAAGAAAACATGCTTATTTGTATAAAAAAATATTTTGAAAAAAGGTTGTTGTATAGCTTCTGAGCAGTAGATGTCACTGTGTGTTTTAGATTTCGAGGAGCAGCTCGTGGCACGCTCGCTACACTGTGCTCACCTACCTGCAGATCATGGTGTTCTACAATCTGTTCACTTTCCTCAGCGAGCCCAAGGCCGTCAGCCTGGTTCGAGCACTCGTTTTAGAGCTGCTAGAGGACGAGCAGTTGGAGGTACACACACACACAAAAACACACACGCACAAACAAAGAAAAGCAGAGAGAAACAGTTGAATGTGTGTAGGATGTGAAGTTCTGCATATGTAAAACAAATCTGATGAAATCAACAGATCCAACTACTATCTCTGTTCTATTTCTTTATGAATAGATGAACCTGAATTTTGTGTATGACTTTTAGCCTTTATACACAAATGTTGAAAGTTCATCTTCATCAAACAATAAAGTCTTGTTAGAGAGGGCACAATGATTTTTTTTTCTTTTCTGACACCAATATTGAAGCTTTGGGTATTGGCCAGTACTGATAGTAATACATTATTTCTTCGTCAAGAACTACTAAGCTTTTTATTTATTTTTTTTGTTGTTGTTGATGTTTGTTGTTTAATGAATTAACATATGTTAATGCTTAACCTAATCCTCTGCATCGTTTAATGTGATCCTGTGTATGTTGTATCTCATCTTAAATAGGGAACGGATGTAGTGGGGGGGGGTGCTGGACAAAACAACCAAACACATTTTTTTGCTGTAATTGCATTGTATTGTAATGCCATTCATGTATAAAATAAAAAGGTTAATTACCGAAAAGATGTATTTTTAATTGAAGCATGTGAAACACTTGAGCCTCTAATAGTAGACCATGATGCTCAAACTACTCAAATACTCCACTACCCCACAGGGAGAAATCCAAAGCTCACAACCGCACACAATGTGAGGGTGCTGGTTAGATTTGTCACAGGATTCGATTACATTCCTTCCTTTTTTTGCTCTGCTATCCAGTACAGCATTTTTTACTGATATCAGGTTGATATTGATAGGTATGCCATCACAGAAGATTATATATATCATCAAATTTTCATTCAATGTTGTATATCATTGCTGTCAGATCATTTTTTTTATATTTTATGGATACTGTGAATAGAGATTAACATACAAAGTTGAGAATGTGGTTTTATCATGATATTGATGATATATTGTATAAGAAATAAAGAAAGAAGGGAACAAAGGAAGTGGTGCAATTGTGTAATTCATGAATTACATTATATTATGCAATGTATTTAGGCATCTGGCATGTTAATGTATTTTGAGTGTGGTGGAACAAAGGCATTAGCTGAGAATGATTATATCACATTGGTGCATGTAAGTAATGAATATATGTATTTTGCCAGTTATGTCAATTACATAACAAATGTGGCTTCTGAAAGTGTGTTATGGCTGTGTGTGAATAATCTGCTGTCTTTTCAGTGATTCAGCATTCTCTCTTTCCTTTCTCTCCTTTTATGCTCTTTTTTCCTCTCTTACCCTTCACAGGTGTTGCCATAGCAACACCTGGCTGCAGGGGTATTTTTGTTTCCATGGAAACAGTGCTTCTGATTTCCGAAGAGTGGTAGGGTGGGGTAGGGTTTGGTAAAGGGTAAAAAAACACCCTTTTCTATGTACCAAATCACAGCAAGTTTGAATGCAGGCCAGTATCTCTGCTGAATTGCCGTCTGCTGACGCAACATCTTTGCGGACGATGTCAGCTGGCTAATCAGTACAAGTCAATAGGAACGTCATGGTGATGGGGTTTTACCAGGGTTAAGGGGCAAAGGAGGTGGGCTAAAACCAGATTAAGAGCTCTTTTGATGAGGTTAGAGCTTAACGCAGTCATGTAAAAGTGTCCCTATAAGAGAATCTCTCCCTCTCTTCCCTCTCTCTTTTAAGAAAGCATGCAGTATATCATCGCTGTTGTAACAAAACCTCATGTCTCTGAAACAAATGATGCAAAAATAAAAAAAATGGAGTTGAGATTTTCAAACTGCATAAAAAGTGATTTAATATGGAGTGTGTAAATTGTATTAGGTACATCTACCTTGTGTCTCCACTCATGTTTCTATTTTATTAGCTCTGCTTGCCACATACATGTACTTTGTAGTTGTACAAACTAGTTCATCAGGTGGTTTCTCGGCTTGCCTTTGTTTTTGCCCTTTTTCCCCATTCCTCATTGGTCAGAACCTCTGAGCAAATACCTGAGCAGGTATTATTTGGATGTTAGATAATTCTCAGCACTGCAGTGACGCTAATGTAGTGAGTGTTGTGCTGCACACACAACAGTGTAAACACTGCGCTCACTTACTGTCCACACCATTAGACACATCTACCTCACCTACCTACACCTTGTAGATGTAAAGTCAGAGACAGTAGCTCATCGTTTGCTGCAGTTTGTGTTTGTCATCCTCTAGTCGTTTACCATGGGTCAGGTTCTTGGAACAGGATGCTGTTGGCTGAATGTTTTTGTCTGGTGAACTATTTTCAGTCCAGAGTATTTTAAAAACTCCAGCAGCACTGCTGTGTGTGGTGATCTCTGTGCAGCACACACACAGTAACCATGTGCATGTCACTGCAGTTCTGAGAATGATCACCCAAATAATACCTGCTCAGTGGTGGTCCTATTGGCGTCCTGACAATTGATGAACAGGGTGAGGGCTAACAAAGTATGCAGAGAAACATGTGGACTACAGTCTGTAATTGTAGAACTACAAAGTGCACCTATGTGGTAAGTGGAGCTGATAAAATAGACAAAGAGTGTGCCTAGAAGGTAGAGAATTGAAGGGAGACTGTGATCTGAGCTGTAGTGTAGAACACAATCTTTGTTTTTTCTCTTCTCTCTCTCTCTCTCTCTCTCTCTCTCTCTTTCTCTCTCTCTCTCTCTCTCTCTCTCTCTCTCTGTGTTATAGGTGAGAGAGATGGCTGCTACCACTCTGAGTGGTTTCCTGCAGTGTAATTTCCTGTCAATGGATAAACACATGCAGGCTCATTTTGAGACCCTCAGTAAGACCCGGCTGCCTGAACGCAGGAGGAGGGAAGTGGGCTCAGTGGTGGACACCATTCCTTCTGCTGGTACACAAACATAATACAAACACACATACACACACACACACACACACACACACACACACAGACTGAAGCACATACAGACACACTGGTCCAGTCACTGTATCCAACTAACCCTGACCATATCCTTCTATGTGTGCTCTTTTTCTCCATAAATATTTTGGGGTAACAAAAAGATGTTATTAAATGATAAATACAGTGTAAATATCTTAGCTTTTATTTATGTATAATCCTTTATATTGTTAATTTTTGTGAAGGATAGAGTTTATATTTTTATCTTATTTTTACTTTTAGTATTATATATATTGTCTATATAGTAACAAGTAACAAACTGTAAAAACCGTGTAAAAACAAAGTTAATTACTTGCTGATTAATTCTCTTCTTGTTGCTTCTTTTCTTTTCTTGAGTGCCTTGCTATCCCTTTGCTGCTGTAACACTGAGAATTTCCCTAATAAAGGATTATCTTATCTTATAAATTATACTGTATTTCTTGCTATTATCTGTGTACATTCATTTCACATTTGTAGTAGTGGTGTAAATATATATATATATATATATATTTGTAATCCAATGTAATTGCTTTTCTCTTGTCACTTGTCACCAAATGTCACCAAATGTCCTTCACAGATTATCCTTCACACTTTTATCTGTTATTTATGTGTCAGCGTGTTTTATGTGTGTGTGTGTGTGTGTGTGTGTGTGTTCAGATCTGCTACAGCGGCATGCTGGAGTTTTGGGTCTGAGTGCCTGTATCCTCTCCAGCCCATATGACGTCCCCACCTGGATGCCCCAGATCCTCATGGACCTCAGCGCTCATCTAAATGACATGCAGCCCATTGGGGTATTGTACCACTGCACACTTAAAGCAATGGTTCAGTTAGAAGTCAGATTTATATACCCAAAATGTAGTTGATCAGCCAAGACATATTTAGCACCCAGTGTTATATAGATATATATATATACATATATAATATCTTACACACTTCCCTGCGCAACAATTATTGAATATTGGCACCCCTTCGTTTAATACTCTGCAGCTTCCAGTTTTCTCCTATAATGTTTAATGATACTGAAGAACACATGGCCAAGGATCTGAGACCTTTCCTCTGTACAGAACCTCTCCAGATCCTTAAGATTCCTGGGTCCACACTGTGGACTTTCCTTTTCAGCTCATCTCACAGGCTTTCTATGGGCTTTAGGTCAGGGGACTGGGGTGGCAAAACCATTTTTGTGATGATTTTGAGGTGTGCTTTGGATCATTGCTGGAAGATTCAAACTATGGGCCAGTTTAAGGTTCCTGGCTAAGCCAGTCAGGTTTGATTTTATTTTTGCTGGTACTTAATGGTGTCTGTGATACCATGTATCCGAATCAATTGTCCAGGGTCTTTGGAAGAAAAACAGCCCCACACTATCACAGATTCACCACAAAACTTCACACTGGGGATGAGGTACTCTTCTGTATGGCCTCTGTATGGATCTTTGTGTCCACGCCAAACTCACTTTATGAGACCACAAAAACCTCTATTTTGGTCTCATCTGACCATAGAACACGGCCCCACTGAAAGTTCCAATAACATCTGGCAAACTGTAGGCACTTGAGTTTGTTGGTCATTGACAGTAGAGGCCTCCTTCTGGCAACCCCCAGAAACAACCTGTGGTTGTGTACACTATATTGCCAAAGTATTCACTCACCCATCCAAATCATTGAATTCAGGTGTTCCAATCACTTCCATGGCCACAGGTGTATAAAACCAAGCACCTAGGCATGCAGACTGCTTCTACAAACATTTGTGAAAGAATGGGTCGCTCTCAGGAGCTCAGTGAATTCCAGCATGGTACCGTGATAGGATGCCAACTGTGCAACAAGTCCAGTCATGAAATGTCCTCACTACTAAATATTCCACAGTCAACTGTCAGTGGTATCATAACAATGTGGAAGCGATTGGGAACAACAGCAACTCAGCCACGAAGTGGTAGGCCATGTAAATTGACAGAGCGGGGTCAGCAGATGCTGAGACGCATAGTGCGCAGAGGTCGCAAACTTTCTACTGAGTCAATCGCTACAGACGTCCACATGAAGTTTGGAGTTCAGATTAGCTCAAGAACAGTGCGTAGAGAGCTTCATGGAATGGGTTTCCATGGCCGAGCAGCTGCATCCAAGCCGTACATCATCAAGCGCAATGTAAAGCATCGAATGCACTGGTGTAAAGCATGTCGCCACTGGACTCTAGAGCAGTGGAGACGTGTTCTCTGGAGTGACGAATCATGCTTCTCCGTCTGGCAATCCGATGGACGAGTCTGGGTTTGGCGGTTGCCAGGAGAACGGTACTTGTCTGACTGCATTGTGCCAAGTGTATGGTTTGGTGGAGAGGGGATTATGGTGTGGGGGTGTTTTTCAGGAGTTGGGCTCGGCCCCTTAGTTCCAGTGAAAGGAACTCTTAATGCTTCAGCAGACCAAGAGATTTTGGACAATTTCATGCTCCCAACTTTGTGGGAACAGTTTGTGGCCCCAAAGAAGACATGGATGAGCAAGGTCCATAAAGACATGGATAAGCGAGTTTGGTGTGGAAAAACTTGACTGGCCTGCACAGAGTCCTGACCTCAACCCAATAGAACACCTTTAGGATGAATTAGAGCGGAGACTGCGAGCCAGGCCTTCTCGTCAAATATCAGTGTCTGACCTCACAAATGCGCTTCTGGAAGAATGGTCAAAAATTCCCATAAACACACTCCTAAACCTTGTGGAAAGCCTTCCCAAAAGAGTTGAAGCTGTCATAGCTGCAAAGAGTGGGCCGACATCATATTAAACCCTATGGATTAAGAATGGGATGTCACTCAAGTTCATATGCGTGTGAAGGCATATGAGCGAATACTTTTGGCAATATAGTGTAGGTGGTGTTTGATTGTAGTTCGGAAGATGTTCTGACCCCAAGACCTAACTAATTTCTGCAAATTTCCCAGCTGTGATCCTTGGAGATTCTTTGCCCACCCGAACCATCCTCCTCAATGTGCATGGGGTCAGTATAAACATACATCCGTTTCCGAACAGATTCTTAACATCTCCAGTTGTTTTAAACTTCTTAATTATTGACCTGATAGTGGAAATGGGCTTTTTCTTGTAGCCATTTCCAGATTTGTGCAGCTTACCAACCTTTTGTCATATATCATTGCTGTCATTCTCTGGTCTTTCTCATAACGATGGATTTGTATATTCCCTAGCGAATCAGTCATGGCTGTCCAGTTCCTAATCACTCAGGTGAAATTTAGAGCATAAAATATGAATGGAGATATACTTCAGTTAGATTTCACTCCTAAGAATTTCTATGGGTGCAAACAATTGTGGCACACATAGATTTAAGAAAAATATTTATTTCATGACAAGATTTAGTTTTTTCTTTTAGACATTATACCTTAAATAAAAGTTTTAAATAAAAGATTTTTGCTAATATTTTGAATGAAGGATCACAAGGATAAATAATTAAGAAAATCTTTAACAACTCATTTTACTCTTGATTACCAAAGGTGCCAATATTTATGGAGGGCACTAAAAATCAGTGAGAAATTATGGCTGAGAATAGCTCAACCAGTTTGCATTGAAGTCACTGTAGTTACTAAAGATCCTTAAGATGTAACACCTTAAGGTGTTAATAAAGATGGGAAAACAGGGAAAAATTACATTTTGTTCACTTTTGTAGATAACAATAGTGTCAGAAACCACATAAGCGAGTATTGCATTTTGAAAAAATGCATTACGAAATGCATTTTCTGCATTGAGCATTATATTCACTGAAAATACATTCTTACAATACAACAACCTTGCAGATGACAGTGAGGAAAACCCTCTCTGACTTCCGTCGGACTCATCATGATAACTGGCAGGAGCACAAGCAGCAGTTCACTGATGACCAGCTTCTAGTGCTCACTGACCTGCTGGTCTCACCATGCTACTATGCCTAAACTCAGGTAGACCCACAGCTTCACAAACATAAAACCACAGAATAACAAACCAAATACACTGAGTTGGCAGGTTTTTAACTCATTGGCCATTTTTTCCAAAAAACCCTTATAGTTGCTTTTACAATAGATGCACTGTTTATCATCCTCTACCCTGTCCACCATAGGACCACCATGGACCAAATATTATGTGTGGTGGATCATCCTCAGCACTATAGTGCCACAAGCCTTTTTTCCATCCAGCTATTAAATTATTTTATGAACAGATTTGCTACAGTCAGTAACTGTAAACCTACAAAGTGCACCTGTACATGGTAGGTGTTTCTGATAAAATGGCCAGTGAACAGGGCTGGAGTAACACTTGTTTTCAGACCAGGAGTTACATGATGACCCCAAAGTCTAACTGTATTTTTCTTGCTACACACACACACACACACACACAGCCCTTGTGCATAACTTTTCCAAAATCTGCATTTTCATCTTCTTCTTTTCTTACTCTTATGTATTATTTATACGCTACACTGAGATAACCAAGATGGCTTGCTAGTGAAAAAATGAAAACAGGCGAAAGCTTTAATCTTAAATGTGACATAATAGGGAGCCAAAATGTTACAAACTAATGTCAGCTAGTTAAGGTCATTATTTCTCACTGGCCAGTTACTCAGATATGTCCTCATCTTCCTTAAATAGCTTTTCCATTTTTGTCTTTTTGGTACCTCCTTGTTTTTTTGTAGTTTTTGCCACTGCTGTTCTTCACATGATTTGTGTATGAAAATTACTACATTGGTAATGCAAAAAATACATAATAGTAATGAGGATTGCTGCCAGTTGTGTCAGCCAGTACCAGATTCACACCGTCGCTCTGAATTTGATATGCTAATCTCTCAAGGCTGATGTTGACATCTTGTTAAAATTTCCATTCCACCTTAAAAAGTGCAGCAGTTACATGCTAGTGCATGCAAATGCATCTGAATGCTACTGCAACAACATTTAAGTTGGAATGGTAAATGAGAATGAAAAGCTTAAGCTTTGTCTGATCACTATCCACTGTACGAGAGTCAATTAGCAAACCGGGGCTGTACCACTTGAGAGGTGGTTTAATTTACTACAGAAAAACACTTGAGTATAATATTTATAGTTTGTCTGAGCATTCTTGTGTCTCTATGTGCAATAACCAGCCCAAAACCGCTACCAGCCCACTGGGAATTCTCCTGACTCTCCCAATTACCCACTCCAGCATTGCTGGCAACATGATATATTTCAACTTGATAAATTTATATTTTACTGTAAAAGTAAACTGTAAAGATAAACTGTGGCATTAGGTTTATTTTCTCATAAACATAAAGTATCCTTTTCTATTAAGCACTAATTGCTTCCATTTTTCTCCTGCTTTAGAACATCGTGCAACTCTTCACTGGAGACGTCCAGCTCACACAAGGAAGGAGCTGCTTTACAAGCTTTTAAATGACAGCTAAAACTGGATGTAACAAGGTGTACACAGCGTTTTTTTCTGATACACTTAATATTTAAGATTTAACCATTAGCAGGGATGACTGGTCTGCAGTATGTAATATTCCTATACAGATTCATTTTCTGCTTATGGAGAGCATGCATGTGTTTTCTTTGGAGAAATTATTTTTACTTCTTAGTATGGACAGTTTGAGTCTATTTGATGCACTGTGCACTGTTTGATACTATTTGATGCTGTCTAGGGCTTTGTACACTGCAAAAAATTGCAGTTTTGATTAATGAAATGAACAGGTGGGAGTTAGAGATAAACACCTGGATTCTTCCATCCATGTCCAAAAAACAATCTATATGCACTACTGTGCAAAAGTCAAAACCCTTCATTTATTAGAGATTAGAACCACTTGCATAAGGAGTTTCCAAGACAAATTATTAAAAGGCACAGAAAAACTGGGACCTTATAGACTACCAAAACTGTCACCACAAGATAAACAGTACTTAAAGCTTTCATCTTTGAGAGATGTTTGCAGATCAAACATAGACACGCTGGTGTTTTCAGAACAAAGGAGTGTTCACCCCAGAGCCCATAGCTCAACATCATTTAATGTGTTTGGGATTACTTGGATTATAAGAAATAGAAAATACAACCAACTGAACTTTGGAAGTGTGAAAAATATCCCTGCAGATTTTGAAAAACTGAAAGCAAGTCTCCCAAAAAAAGAATGGAAGCTGTAATAAAGGCAAAACCTGGGTACACAGCCTTGTTGAGTCTTCTGTTTTTTTTTGTTTGTTTTTTATTTTGATACTGTACTTGATGGCCATTTTAATAGAAAGTTCAATAAATGAAGACTGCTGTCTGACTTTTGCACAGTGCTGTGTGTATTCAACATATTTTTTGCAATGGTACATACTTACCTATATGACAATATTTATTTATTTGTTTTATTTAAGATAATAATTGCAGAATGGTTTTGGGTTTTTGGGCTTTATGATCGGGTTCCTTAGCCTGTAGTTGTGAGAATATTTTTATTAGTACATTTTTTTACATTTTTATTATTTTGTTACAGCAAAGCAGAGTAAAAGACAGAGAGAGTGTGTTTGTGTGTGTGTGCATACAAATGAGCATGAGGGGGACAAAGGGTGTCTCTTGATGCAGTGTCATTAGCTTGAACTGTGTATGTGTGTGTGTTAGCGCACCATGTATTTGAGAGCAGTGTCATTAAAATGGATGCAGTGACTAAACACCCTTTTAAGCTCCATGCACTGCTAACTGTTCCGCGGCCCTACTTCATCTCTGCTATCTCTCTTGCTTTTTACATAGAGCACGTCTTTTATTACCACAGTAGGTACAAAGAAGGTACACTTAGCATTGAAATTGGAAATCCTTCTCATTGTATACATATTATGACAAACTTTGAACACGGTAGAAGTCTAACATCGACCCATACTATAAAAATCAGAATGTGCTTAAAGGTAAACTTTTGTTTTTCAACCTAATTTCTATCTGCAGCACCTGTGGTACACACTCAATTAACACGAACAATCCTTTTGATGCAGTTTCTTTTGCTTGGAAGAGAACAGAAAACAGAACACTTATAGTAGAAGACAATGGGCACTTGCTTTAGCATCTGCTCATTGGCTTCTATTAGAAGTGTGCTTAAAGAAAGGGGTTTATAATTCCACCAAATTTTCAAAATGTCTCTATAATTCAGAGTGGTTTATTGTGGACAAGCTTACCGAATCAGATTTCTTCACATTGGTGATAGGAATGAGGGGTTGCTATGTCTACAACACAAATACAGCCATTTTATTTACTGTCCCAAATGACCAATGAATCTAAACTTGTTCTGAGGTCTTACATGTAAGGTTAATAACTAAAATAGTGAAGCTGAAAAAAGTTTTCCCTCACAACACTGAATTCTGAACTCTGAAAACTTTTGGCTCAAAATCTTATCTCTGACCTATCATAAAACTCAGGCATCAGGCATTCCTTTTTTGTAATAACTTGCAATAACAGGAGCATTTCACATCAAACCACATGGAAGGTTGTTTACATCATAAATATTTAATTATGTGAAGATTATAAAATAAGTGGAATTCCCCTTTAACAGGTTTTTGGTAACAGGAAATGCATCAGAATTGTCCATGGCAAATGAGGCTTCTGATGTGGCACATAGAGATTAGGTTGAAAAACACTGGAGTATTCCTTTAAGGCCTCAAACAGGCCTTGTTTGTGTAGTTAAACCAGTCAGCTGACACTGTAAATGATAAAAGCAGGTCTACCATGGACATAAAAAAGAAAAAAAATTATCTTTCATGCGTACAGACTATGCTTGAATCTATTTGGAATGTGAAGTCCAAGACGGTGCTGCTTCAATTACAAGACATGAAAAATCATCTTTATATGTAAACCACTCAGAGAAGAACTCTTTACATAGATCATGCTGATTGAGTCTTTACTCATGCTACTCAAAACTTTACACATTAACATTATCAGCCACCCAGGGAAAATCATACTCTCTAGTGAATAGTACACTGCTATTACATCTGCCCGTGTGCAGTTCTGACCCTCAGCATTGTAAACAGTAGTGCCACATCTGCAGTGTTTTATTTCTTTATCTATTTATTGTTTTTCGAAAAATGGCATTTACCTGATATTCAAAGGTGAACAAAAAGGTGTGCTGTTTGTTTGTAACAAAGCATAACATGTTGGCTTATGTGTGTCTTCGCAGACTTTCTCTGTAAAAAAAAAGGACCTCACATTACGTGCTTCAAAATTAATTTCACATATTTTTCCAGAGTTCTGCATATTTCAATGCTTGAGATGTAAACTGTAAACCAGAGTGGTTTGATGTGAAATGGTTCATTGTAGAGACAACTTTGATTTCTCTTCTCTAGTGATAGGAACCAGGGGTTACAGTGTCTACAACACACATATATAGCCATTTAGCCATGCAACACCCTGCATGTTCTTCACCATGAATGTCTGGGGCATCAGGAAGTGTATTCCTATCCATTTCATGTATTATTTTTCTGTGTGGTAGCTTTTAGATGCATTAAATGCTCTGGACGTCTGTTTCCTGTCACCACTTCTGTGAACAATTCTGACTTGGTCGAATTCCCCTGGGAGTTGATTGTCCTATTTCAGGTATTTGGGCATTGAGAATTGTCCCTAAAGCTTTGGACTTAATTCCAAACAGTCTGTATGAAAAATGCATCCTTCCTCAATGCATACATCAGTAGATTATTAAATTGTGTTTTACTTAGGGACAAAGTGGAAAACAAAATAAAATGTCAGTATGTAATAAAAAATGCCTTACAATCAAGCAGCGTGCCCAGTGTTCCCCCAAAAGAGATGACAGGAGAATCAGGACAAGTAACAGAAATCAGAAACCTGGTCAAATAAATGAATTTAGCCAGAGATAGGTCTGCTTAAATCTAATAGGTCATATAGTTGGGGGAGGTGGTAGCACATACAATGTTCACTGTAATGGAGTGAATGTTGGATTTTTTCCGGGAATCAAAAAAACAACACGGTGTGGAATCGACTCCATCGATTCGCTTCACCTGGGATTACAACTGGAGTCGACTCCAGAACTGCTGGAATCGAACAGCCCGGTGCAACGATGAAAGCTTTTCTTCGCGTCTGCCTACGCGACTTACGTAAACTGCGTTAGACTAGCGCTTAATTTTCGCTGATAGCAGAATAGCTAGACTGCCACTTACTCTGTGTCATCTGTAAAACATTTTCTTCTAGCTCCTCCCTTACTATACCAAGGATGCTCTTCTAGGGCTGAACTGAATCTCAACGGAGAGAGGGAGGCTTTCAGGAGTCAGAAAACCGCCTCCTTTGTTTTTAGCACGACATTAGCAGGAAACCTTTTCCCTTCATTTCACTAATCCTGCCAGATATCATTTTCTAAAAAACGCCTAATAACGTAGGACATACATGCAAATATGGAAAATAGAGTCAAAAATGGGACACTCACAGGAGAACATGGTAAGCACGTTTTCTCTTGTTTTAATTGATAAGGAAAACGGGTCTGTTTTGCATTATAGCTACATACATAGTAGGTTTTATTTGGCTAGAATTGAGCATTAATGGCATGTCTTGTTGTTCAGATATTATGCATGGACGTTTATTTCTAAGCCTATTTGCCTATTAGTTTTGTCAGAGGGGGCGGGGGCGCAGATTCGATTGCCTCAGACGCATCTACCTACTTACATGGGCGCTACGAAATACCAGCCATGAATGTTGTTGGATGTTGAGGTACCTTCACAATACATACGTGCAGCGCAGTGTGACCATTACACTAGCATCTGTTCATTAATATGAATTATAATATATATGAATATAGGAAACGCATGTATATACAGTCCTGCTGAAAAGTCCAGCCAATACAAAGCTTTTGTTGGTAGGTATGGTCTAATCTTGGATCTTTGATGTTCGTTAGTCTAAAACGGTCAAGCTGGACTAGGCGAGAACACGTCCTATGCTGGTAAACCGGTTAGGCTGTTTAAGCTGTTAGACCAGCTTTGTCAAGCTGGTCATGCTGGTAGACCAGCTAAACCATCAAACCAAGGCGAAAACATTAATTATCCTGGTCAGCCAGCTAAATTGGCCAACGAGGATAACCAGCTTGAGCTGCCCAAGCTGTGTTTTTTTCACCATGGCACAGTAGTCATCACGAACAAGACAAACACTTGGTTTGTCATAGGCTTCATAGTTCAGGTGCACGTTCTGTAATTTTTCAGTAATTAATCAAGGACATGAATCTTTCCATAGGGAATAATATTTTTAACAATCATGAAGCATACACCCTACTCTACTGGTAAAGTGGACTCATTCATTTCCCCCTCTTTGTCCTGTAGCACTCCAGGAGAACAAACTGAGCAACACACTGCTCAGCCTTACTGGGCACTGTACAGTGGGCAAAGTAGTAAGGCTGTGATCTTAACCCACCCTAATGTGTACCATGAACAGCACTGGCTGGGCATTGGATCAGGCAGACATCGGAAGGCACCAGGCCTTCAATGTCTCCTCAGGGCAGAGTCCCGCCCCCAGCGGCTGGGCCTTGATCCACACAGCTACGCTGGCGTCCTGCTCAATGCTCCTCATCCTCATCTTCTGCCTGGGCTCTTATGGCAACCTGGTGGTGTTCCTATCCTTCTTCGATCCTGCGTTCCGCAAGTTACGCACCAACTTTGACTTCATGATCCTCAACCTGTCCTTCTGCGATCTGTTCATCTGCTGTATCACTGCACCCATGTTTGCGCTCGTACTCTTCTTGGATGCGGGGGAGGGCGGAGGCGGTGTTTCCAAGGGCTTCTGCTTCGCCTTCCACCTCACCAGCTCAGGTTTCATCATCATGTCTCTGGAGACGGTAGCCGTCATCGCCCTGCATCGGTTGCGCATGGTCCTGGGCCAGCAGCCGAACCACACTGCCTCCTTCCCCTGCACCTTAGCTCTTACTGCCCTGTTGTGGACATCTAGCTTCACCCTGGCAGCTCTGGTCACTGTGCGAGCCTATCCCAGGAGCCCTGGGCCCTGCATGCCGCACTTTGGCCTCACAGGGAACCGGGCCAAGGTGGTATTGTACGTGTACCTCGCGGATTTTGCCTTCTGTGTGGGTGTGGTGTCCATCTCGTACCTGATGATCGCGCAGGCATTGCGAAAGAACGCCCAGGTACGCAAGTGTCCAATCATCACAGTGGATGCCACGCGCCCCCCGGGCCCACCACCACCCTTCCTTGCCGCTGGTTTTGAGGGCATGCAGTGTGCTGTCCCAGTGCCATCTCTTTACCGCAACCAGACATACAACAAGCTCCAGCACGTGCAGACGCACCCATTCACAAAAAGGAACAGTGGTGCCCTGGTGCCAGGGGCTGCCACAGGAGCCACCTGCTGCCAGATAGTGTCCACAGTTAATCTGGCCACAGCTAAGGATTCCAAAGCTGTGGTGACGTGCGTGGTCATAGTCATTTCTGTGCTGTTTTGCTGCTTGCCCATGGGCGTCTCTCTGGCACAGGATGTCTTGTCCCCAGAAAGTGGCTTTGTCCATTACCAGTTTGAACTTTGTGGGTTCACCCTCATCTTCCTCAAGTCAGGCATAAACCCATTTGTGTACTCTCGGAACAGTGCAGGCCTGCGGCGCCGGGTGCTTTGCTGCCTCCAATGGCTGGCGCTTGGCTTCCTCTGCTGCAAGCACAAGACCCGGCTCCATGCCATGGGTAAGGGAAGCCTTGAGGTCAACCGCAACAAGTCCTCGCACCATGAGACCAACTCAGCCTACGTGCTGTCTCCTAAGCCGCAGAAGCGGCTTGTGGACCAGGCCTGCGGGCCTAGCCACTCTCGCAACAGCATGCCCAGCCCACGTGCCATGGCTGGACGCAAGCCCCGGCCCCCGAGCACCTCCACGCCCATCAACACTCGCATAGAGCCCTATTACAGCATTTACAACAGCAGCCCCTCAGCTGGACCCAGTTCCCCCAACAGCCTGCAGCCAGTCAACTCTCAGACCACCGCCTTTGCTAAGAGCTACGTAGCCATGCACTACCACACCCACCAGGAGGTGCTGCAGGACTTTGACAGTACCTCAGCCCATCAGATCCCCGTCCCCTCAGTGTGAGAGGCCTGTGCTACCTTTCAGAGCACAGAAGTGTTAGAATGTCAGTCTGCTTGCTTACAGTATGTATAAAGGAACATTACAGTATTTGGTTGTGATATACCAGTGTTTTTTTTCAAGAGAAAAAAAATAAATAAATAAAAGTGGATATTAATTCAGATTACTAAAGTAATTGTTTCAATCCCCAGTGTTAATGTTCCTTGAAGGATATTCTATTTTTACATTGACATGGCAATTTTCATATTGTATGAAAGTGTGTCTTTTCTTCATTAAAAGAAACTTATGATATTTTTCTAAACAACACTGTTTTCAAGTTCCAAGCAGTGTTTTAATACTATGTCTATTTTTTTTCATCCTGTTTTTCTTAATTTATGAAAGTAAAGAAACTGAATTTCCATAAGCTTAAACAAGGCATAGCACTGCATACAGTATAGGTTTTAATAGTTCAAAAAAATATAGTCTATTGACCACATCTTTAAGCTATTGTGTGTATTATGAATGATTATTGTGAAAGTGCACTAAAGTAGCAGTAGTTTTCTATAGTATGTTCGGTTACCTGTGTTCTTAGAGAGGGCGGAGATCAAAGTTAACATGTTCAAATGAAACATTCAGTCGAGTGTGGAGCAGTAAAAGAGTCCCATATTGTATTGTTGGGGTGCATGGATCATGAATTTTTAAGGCTGGTTATGATTGTTTTAGCCAAACCGGCTGTTTTATCTTAGCCTTTTTAAAACCAAAAGCTAACAGTGTGTGAGATTATTCTTCACATGAAACACTAGCACATCATCTACTTTATGTCACATTATAAATAACATTATTTGGTTAATGATGGGCCAAACTGGTATTTAAAATTCTTAAACAATCAGTTCACAAATTTTTAAAAACGGTAATATCCATTATTGTGCTATGATATTTTGGTATAGGTGTAGCAGCAGTATTCAGATACGGTGTGTGCACTTACCTGACTCGTTATTTATGTCATGAACTTGCAACAGATCAGCCAAAATATAATCATGGCGGATTGTGTGGAGCAAATATCTGCCGATTCCAGTGCATCCATATTGTACTGTTGCATTAGGGTCATGCCTTGTGGAAGTCTATGGAAGACAATAATGTATTTCACAAAAAGCATAATTTTAAAACATTGAGAACTGGAGAAAAGTGCGAGAAAAAAACATTGCATTTTTCCTTTAAGATAATGTATTTGTGAAAGTGTTCTACATTTTATATCATTAAATGTTTTACAAGTGGGGTTTTCGTTTGTTGACTTCCTTATTTGAAAAGAATTCTCAGAGATGCCTAGTTCTGCTTTTGTTAAACAAGAGAGGGTTCATATAAGGATCATTCATTCTATCAAAAGCTTGTTCTGAGATAACATATTTCCCTAATGTGTATATCTGACTGGGCCACTGGGCAGTATTGGACTGTAGTGCAAGGATGTGTTAAGCCCTACCTAGTATACTAGTGCTGCCTTAATGAAGGTTGTTAAGACAGTCTGTCAGTGTACCCGTGTTTTATATTTTTTCTACCCTCAAACCATAAAGACAGTTGGTTATTGCTTAGTATGCCAAACCTTCCATCTGCTAGTCTATTGTACATGAACATTTAGCCACATCTAACAGCAACAGTAAACTCTGCTGCTCTGATCTCCAGGAGCATTACTGAACCTCTGACCAAATGTACAGAATAACAATGCCGATCAACTTCCATCAACTGTCAGCAAGCATCTGAGTCATAATGAAGAACTGCTGGTAAACAGCTCCATCTAGTGTTGAAGGTAATTGTTCATGGTTGCCACAGTAAAAGCTTGGTTTGGAAAATCAAGGCTGTGTTTAGAAACATTGTAGTGGGCAGAAAATGCTGGAAAAAGAAGTCCGATCCATTCCTGCAATCCTGTGTGATGTGTTGTTAGTTGTGTATTCTTTTTTGTGGGGTACTAGAGTATGAGTAGTTTGAGCCTGATTGCCTATTTGTAGATGCTTATTTTCAGTGAAATGCTACCCTTAAAAATAACTCATTTTGAATTGTAGCAAAAAATAGAAAAATATCAGAAAAAATAGATTTTTCTCTGTACTGACCGATACCCAATGTTTTAATATAGGTATCAGAAGAGAAAAAGTGGTATTATGCTATCTCTAAAAATTTCGTGTAGGTTCACTAAATAAAATTGGCTATATATGTGTTGCAGACATCGCAGTCCCTGGTTCCTATCACTACTACTGTAGAGAAATCAATAAGTTGATCTAAAATAATAATTTCATGTCAAACCACTCTCGATGACTGTTTACATATCAACTGAATTTGCAGAAATTAAGAAAAATCAGTGGAGTTCCCTTTACATTTCATTCAGATAAACAAAATATATGCATCCTTCATCAGCTAAAGCTTTTTGCACTGAACTTTGAATTTCAATTTATTCCCAGAAGATGACAATCAAACTTAAATCTCTAAATCAAGAATACCAAGCAGTTAAAAACAAACCTAATGCCAATATCCCTGGTCTTATTTACTCCTGTGTGTTCTTTTTATAACTCCATCTCAAAGTTTCAATTAAAGATGGAGCAAGTGTGAGGCAAAAAAGGAAAAGAGGGTTACCATTTATGTGTGGGTATTTCATAGACTCACTGCAGCTACTGAATGCAATATATGTAGCGTCAAATACTGCATTTTGTACTACTTCAAATATCTTACTAAGTCTCAAGACTTTTAGGCCACTTAAAATGACAATTTCAAATTAACACCTATGCATTGTACTCTTTCACTCATTCGATTAGCCATCTTTAACCTTTAAATATGCTTGAGTATGCAAGATTTCACTGTTACATACTTTTGCATTCAGATCACATTATGAATTTTTGAATCCCAGCTTTACTATATACATAAAATCTTTCAAGTGCAAAATGTCAACAGCAAGCATGTAATTAACAGAAATTAAGGCAAATAAATAGAAACAGTTAAAACAACCCAATATATTACTCTTCTATTCAAGAAATGAATGACTGCATTAAATTCAAAAGGACTACTACAGTGTGTGACATTCATGGACAGTCATTAAATTGAGCCAAAATAATGAAAAAAAAAGTTGGGGGGGGGTGGAGATCCTCCAGCAGATCAGGGTAATTTAACATTTTCCCCATTTCTTTCAGTCTCACGAAGACTTTTAACCACATTTCCATAATTAATGTACTTTCCATTAAAGCACAGAACACAGAGTTCATCCACAGCTCAGTCTACAGCAAGTCTTCAGTGTTCTTAAAAATGAGAGTGAGGAGTTCCTAGATTCAGGTGCTTCTATCTTGTTTCAGTTTCAGACCACAGGACAAAGCTCCCCCTTCAGAAATACATCTCACTCCCATGTAGAATATGCTTCTTCTGCCTATACATGTCCATTTTTTGTTTTTTGTTATTTCTAGCTAGGGATAGACAAAAGGCCATTCTCATCAGCAGTGTCCAGAATCTTACAGATCACTGGAGATTCAACCTGTAGAAACAGAAAAAAAAAACATTAGCCAAGTACTCTTTATATTTGCCATTCACCCTCACAATTTACACAATTTTCCTCTTACAGTAAAGAGCTCTATATACCAAGAAAGGTTTCTTGACTTGCAACAATAATGGACCCCTTTTTGGTGTTATATAGAACCACTTTTTAAAAATGTCCTTTAAAAGTATGGCACTCATCATAAAGAAAAACTGTTTGAACATTCAAAAACATGGTTCCTTGAATTGTTATGGTTCTATACATAACTGTCACCTTTACTAAAGGTCCTTTTTTCAAGGGTATACCCCAAATACAAGTGAGATCAGGAGTTAAAATTTAAGAATGTTTTGCATATTGCTCAGATGTCTGTAACCCCGGACACAACTGTCCGGTCAGCTTGGCTGTTGCTAGGCTAACCACAGAGACAACAAAGCCTGGTGGAATGAGTTCATGTCACATGCAAAAGGGGGAAATAAAATAATGTCGTTCTGCACTAGAACTATGAGGCAAATCCTTACGGGTGACATAGACTTCTGTTATTCTAGCCTTTTTGTGCCAGTGCAAACGTAAGAGGCAAACTCCGGACACCAAATATGTCATGGCTGATCAACTCAATCTGGGCTAATACATTTTGGCTAAACGATTACTTCTTAAGTTCTTTGGTTCTCACCCCTAAAATATATTGACAGGTTTGGGGCTCCAACAGGTACACAGTAACAGCATGAGGAGACTCTGATTCCTTACACCTAAGAATGAAAAAATAACAGTGTTTGTACACATTCACTGGTTAAGGCATGCTGGTATATTCTTTTACAGGTTAATGAAGTCCCTCACTTGAGCTTCACAATGACCTGTCTCGACTTCCCTGTCAGGTCACACACATCTCCATGGCCGTAGAAGTGGGACACCACCCTGGCAATGCATCAAAGATAAGAAAATTTAAAGGGGCAAAATGAAAGATTTAAACATCATCTATTGTAAACTGGCCTGCTTGCATTTATAGCGATGTTGCAGTAGTTGCTACAGACTTTATAATTTAAAGATTTTGATGATGTATCTTGGAGGTAAGAGCAATGTTTGAAAAACTAGACTTTGGGCTGGATACATTAGCAGACTGTTTTTTTTCCCCTATAAGGAATAGATAATGTTGCTGGTAGGAAGCCAAATATCATGTTTATATATTTTATTAGTCTTTATATCAGTGACTACACTAGCAGTGAGGATTTCTTTATTGCTTTGAGAGGGTGAGAAATTCACTGGTTGAGGCTACAGGATGCAATGCTGCACTACAGAGTATTACATAACATAACATATTAAACACTAGGTTTTGACTGATATTTCACTTCAATAACAAATCTACGAGTGTGTTATAACACGTTACGCATAAAGGACAACATACTTCACTTTCTGTGTTCCATCATCTTTGAGCTGATAAGTACGAGCCACATTCTTCTTGGCCCATTCTAAATGCTCCTCACGATTCCAGCTGCCCACCACCACAATACTCTTTCCTTGCTCTTTGTCCTGTGACAACACAGAAGCAAGAAACCCATTGCTCATTAATTTTGTCTGGGATATATACAGCAATCTCATTTGCAAACCGGGCAAGTTCTGCTGACTGTTTCATGTCTGCAAGATAAATCATTTCAATGTCATGAAGGCCATAAGACAACTACGCACTCAGCCCAAAAAATGCGGGATGCACTCATACCATTCCTTCTTTCATCACATTAGTTTGCCGAAATACGTTTGTGTAAAAGATCAGCCCTCCTCAGCACTGACAAACTCTAGCTTTGATCACTAACACCTCCTCCCTATTTGATCATGAAAACATGCCACTTTAAAGTTGCATGACTAAGCAATTTCCCTGGTTTGCTGAATGCCAACATGGTTTCCAAGATCCATTTTTTATTTGCTTTACATTTGCCAACATGCATATGTTGTTGGTTTTCAAACATATGTCTGTACAGCCAGTTTATTTCTAAATGTTTAACTTGCCTTTGTGCTGCTTAACATTTTAGTCTGTTAGCACAAGTGGTTGCTATCAGATGGCCTGAGCTAAAGGTTTAATTGACACAGCAACAATAACTAAGGAAGGCAGAACTTTCTCAGAATTTTGCAATCAATTTTGAAATATTGTAATTGATTATATTATTATTCAACATAGTCTACACTGTTTTCGGCCAATATAAAGGTGAACCCAGACTACTTTGAAATGTAAAATCTGAAAATAAGCTTGTATAGTTTGTACTGACCAAAATAAAATTAGTTCCTGAAGTCACATTTGTTTGAGTGTGGTTTTTAAAGATAACTCTGGAGCAAAGGCAATCAAATTGAACACCAGCAAAATTTTGTGATGCACTGACCTACCATACTGATTGTGAGCAATAGGTAATTGGACAAAACAATGGAATGTGTTCACTATTCAATTACCTATGGATTGCACTGTATGTTACATTTAGTTTACAGTTGTGAAGAAATATTAGCCATGCTTCTAAGCAACTGATAAAACCAACACAGGAAAAAACAGAACATACTCAAGAACTTTTCTCACCTCATGATACTGATGGACATGCTTTCCATAACAGAATTCATATTTCCACCATCCAACACCCTAAACAGAAGATTTCAAGTAGTTAGCAAATCACCAAGTCAAAGAAGCAGAAGCAGAAACTTTTAATTATCCTGCAAACAGAGCAGCAATCATAATTACATAATTAGGGTTGGGCAACATTAATTTAATTTTTTTTTTATATATGCCGATTGACAACAGCATATAACAGTGGTGTAGTTGTTTCCTGCAGTTAAACCCATGTGTAAATTATGGCTTACCAGCATCTTAATGCAAAAATGTCAAATCTGGAGGAGCTGACATCACAAAAATAATACTGTAAAATCGTTTATGTCTGATCATACTCAAGATGAAAACTCCAATGAAGAATCAGTTTTTGCCTTTCACATTCAGATCAATACTATTTGCTGTTTAGGGGAAGCTGATCCTAGAGTCAGCACTTGTAAAATGGAGTATTCTGATGAATTATGGCATCACCCCATGCAGACAGTATGAGCCGCTGAGGAATTCCTTGATGAGCTGTTCGTCAGTCAGGCGGGAGATGTGGGTAGTGCCTACTGTGACTTGAGCTTGACCACCAACGGCTAGGGGCTTGTGGGTAGAAGTATAAGCTTCTTCCCGCACAGGGGATGTGTCCTCCTGAAAAAGCGAAACAGAAAGAAGAGGCTTCAACGCTTCTTGAAGTGACTCTTCACTCCATTACTTTTTCCTGTTAACTGAACTGCTTCTGCAGCGATGTACCAGAGCAAATGTTATAACTAGTCCATCTATCTATTACAGATTAACCCACCTGTGGGGTAAGTTTCTCAGGCTGCTTTCAGAAATTGTTCAAAAATGGTAAGTGCTGGAAATAGAATTGGATTATTTTCTTTCTTATTTGTAATAGAGATGTGTAGTTTATTTGTACAATTAAAATATTAATCCCAAATAATGAAAAAATATTTAGCAAATAACTAAAGGTGTTAGGTCCTGTCCCACTTTCCTCAACTAGTCTGTTACTTATCTTCTAAAACTGAGTGGGAACAGGTCCCCAATCCCATGGTCTGTAATTGGTCTTCTCAGATTGGCCGTGACCTACATATCACCAGATGTCCTGTGTAAGTATATAATGGTCCAGACACACATGTGCATGTGTGTCTTCCTAGTTCCTCTCACCTCCCTCTCAGTGGCAGGGCTGAAATGTGGTCTGAGCAGCTCCTCCTGCTGCTGGTCCAGCTGTGAGAGACTGAGAGGTCTGAGGGGGGAGCCTGCCAGAGCCTGGCACAAGATGGTGTTCACTGGGGATGACTTAAACCTGAGAGGAAATGGATTTGTCATGAGTTTGGAAGAAGATATCTAGAATTAGTTTAAAGTGCAGGGAGTTTATATACATATGCCATCTTATATCAGACCTATGCTCTTTCTATAGAATGGAGTTCCCCAGACTCGCTCTAGTGACTGGAACACCTGTCAGGTTCCTAGAGTTTTACCAAGCTGGGAAAATCTGTTTTTAACTTCAGTGCACCAGCGAACTGGAATGTTAAAGGAAACTCTAAAGCTCTGCTCGCTGGTGTCACTTGACCATTTTAAACTTTTAATCTCTAAACACTTCCATTCATTCCACAATTGTTTTAGTTGATCTTAGTTCTTTTACTGTTATATTTAATTTAATTAGTTTATTGAATTACTTTATTTGTTGGTGTGTTTTTTTGTCGTTATGTATTTTGTTGACATTTTATCACTATTTCTTTTTTGAGCCTTTGTTTACTTTTTGATTTCTTTATTAACTTTATTTTGTTCATTTAGTCTTGTTAACTTGCTTGGCTACATTGAGAGTCACACTTAAATGTACTTCTGAGTTGAAATAAAGGACAACTGATTGATATAAAAAATGAAAAAAAAACAAAAATATGAAAAAGATAACAGTAGCTAGCCAAGCATGTAGAATTTACCTGTACTAGCACTCTGTTGTTGGTTGGGTCCAGCATATATATGTGTCATTCCCCATTATTAGTGCAGTGTAGCTCTAATAAATGAGCTGATATATTTGCTATTGGCTATGTGTACCACATGTCCATATCTGCTCTCTGTTACTGGATAAGACTAACAAATGTCTTGGTCTGCTGCCTATTACTGGCTGAGTTTAGCCGGTAGCTGTATTTATACTCTGTTATTCAGGGTGCAAAAACAGTCTAAGATATATCTGATATGTAATTTAATTATTTGTCTGATGTTAAAACAATATCCGATTATTACAATAATTTAGATGATTTAGTAAATATTTGAAACAGGACTAGTTCTGGACATTCATTTTATTATAACTTTTAAATTTTATTATAATTCCCAAAAATATACAGATTTCTCAGTCATTTTAGAACCTTGTACCTGGACACATAACATTTTTAAATTGTTACCTACAGCTACCAAGCTTCCTACTAACTATTTAAAACCTGAGACTTTGCACCAGACTAACACATTAGAATACTTGGTAACACTTTCTATAAATGTCACCTTTGTAAGCATCTATAAACACATTTATAACATGTTATAATGTATTCATAAAGCATTATAAACATGGTTATAAATATTTATAAGAAAGAATTACACTGAATTACACTTTACAGCCATATATACATTATGAATTGTTAATATAATGCATTATAAATAGTCTTAATAACATGTTATAATGTCAGTGCCAAAGAAGTCAGTCCCAGCTTGGAGAGCGTAAAGTAAAGACAAATACCAAGCTAACAGTGGTGTACATTGACTTTCCCACATTGGGTAAAACACTGATGGCAGCACTAGTTTAAACTCTGACATTTGAAGCCTGTAATGAGCTTTATTGTGAATGTTTTAGTGTTTCAGTAAATTCTTCATTAAATACTTCAACTTGAAGCCTCACTCTTAACACTGGAGGAGGCTTTAGTACAGTATGCTTCACTTTACTTAGAGCGGACAAATACGACTTATGAGCTCTTATAATTTGTTATGATCAGTACTTATATTGTATTATGTTAATTCATAATGCATAATAAACATGGCTATAATGTATAATGCATTTTTATAAATATTTATAGCTGTTTATGTTTATAATGTCTTATGAATGCATTATAACGTGTTATGAATGTGTTTATAGATGCTTACAAAGGTGACATTCATAGAAAGTGTTACTGAATACTTTTATACACTGTAACTACATGGGTTATATATTTTCGACCTTAACTCCAACTCCAACAAGGAGATGTTAAAGGGGAATTCCATTTTTTTTAACATTTCTTTTCAACAGTAACTTATTGACTCTGATTTCTCTACAATGTAGTGACATGACCCAGAGGTTGCAATGTCTCCAAAACAAGTATAGCCATTATATTTACTTAAAATTATATACAATTTTAGATAAATTATATTTATCTAAAAAGACCAGTGAACCAATACATGTGTTATGAGTGTTTGTATGTAAATCGTGAAGAAGGTAAAATAGTGGTAAAGTTTTCTTTGGGGACTATTTTTCTTCACAGCACCTGGATGCATCTCTTCAGCATGAATTAATTAAAAATATATATAAACACGTTTCAGGCCAAAGGTTTTACATAAAACTATTGTAAAAACATTGTTCCAGATATCAGCCAATGTTTTCACAACGATTTTATGTAATAACATTCTGTTAGAGTGTTTTGATGCATTAAACACTTTGGACATTCAGTTTGATTGGCACATTTCATATCAACCACAAACAAATGACTTTGTTTATATTGCAATGTATTAATAATGTGAGAATTCTGAAAATGTAGTGTTGCTCTTTAATTCTTTTATTGTAATCAGCCCAGGAATGACATATGTGCGTTGCTACTGCTATTTGGTGTGCCTGTGGTCTATCTGTACTTGCAGCCAGAACACATCACAAATTAGTTTTCCTGAAGTCTCAAAATTGTCTTCTCTGCAAATTGGAGAAAATAAACTGTTTTGGTTCTATTTGGCTGTGTACCTGTACTTTGGATGGGCACAGAGCAGAGGGGTGAGGACCACCACCTCATACTCGCAGGTTGTAACCTCAGCGATTGAGAGAATTTCGTGCTTTGCCTCTGGGTGGCAGACATACAGCACAGAGGTGGAGCGAGGCTTGTTCTGTTTAAGCAGACATGGCGTCCCATTCCCCATCTCCACAGGGTAGTAAGGGGTCAACTGGCCTTCTACATTCTTAGTCGGCACCTGTATTAAACAGTTAACAGGGATACATCTGTTATTGTTCTATTACTTATTTATAAAAAAAAAAAATGTACTGCTACCAAATAACATTTCATTTATACTATTCATACTATTATGCTTCCGATAGAAATATGTGGAAATCACCACATATTATACAGTACTGTGCAAAAGTCAGACACCACACTTTCCTTCATATAATTTATAGAATTCTCAACAAATCTGTGGGCCAGAGAGAAAAAAAAGTTCATATTTCATGTTGTGCTATAACCCAAACTGGCCATCATTTATTCAAAATACACAAAAACTTCAGCAGTAAAATAGAGGCATTGTAATAGACCTCAAAATATTACATGGACATTTGAAATATTTAAAATTTAAATGTCTCCAGCTGCTCGGTTGTTTTGTTGTTGGGGTAGGAGAGTAGCGCAAATTACGTTGCAGTGCATGCTTGGGACTGTAGTGCAGTGCACTGTGAAATGGGCTAATATTAAGAGAAAATTAAAATACTTTTGCGAGTTGGATAGGATTGTGTCTGATCTGACCCATGGGCCTTGTGTTTGACATGGGATTTATAGTCAAAACGGCCATTGAGTACAAATTTTTCAGTGTCAGGAAAAAAGCAGGAAACATACATTTTATAGAAGACTACCCAAAAGTCTCCAACACTAGGCATAACATCAAATCTATTTAGTATTTAATTTGTCCAGTCTTCTCTTTTGTGAAACCATCGAGTTACAGCTATGTCTTTCCAACAAAAGATCTTTCCAAAGGTGTTACAAACATTCAGACATGAAAACTCATCAACAGTGAAAAAGGTGACAATTTCAGAAACCAGCCCCACGCAGCGGCATTGCTCCTAGGAGAAGGCCCTCTGAGACTAAAAACAGGGGTAACTGCAGTGGAATTACTTCCTTCATTCAGTTGTAGTTACAAAGTCATGTCCAAATCTGTTGCTTACTATAACAAGGTCAAAACATCAGTGTGTACAAATTTGGGTAGATATCTTCTTTGAGGACCCCACATCTATTATAAACAGAAGCCATGCTAAAAACTTTGCCCATCAGTTGTGTTCTACTGGCTCTAAAAGTTGTATTGTGCTTGGACCCTGATGATCATAACTGTAAACGATGCTATTAGTCAACAGTCGTTTAGCTCTCATAGCTAGTCCGGAAATCACTGTGCTATACAACAATTTCAAACACAAACTAAATGCTTTTGCCCTGGTTGCTGACAATGATCATTTACGCATGTTAACCTTTTATCGTCCACCGTTCAGAGCGACTGAAGAAAGAAATCCCACTCATGCCTATGACTCCAGCACACCTGGGACAATATCTCATATTACACCACTCTGTCTCGTGTATTACTGTGTAAATGAAACCAACTCATGGAACATGACTCTCTCTTCACGTTTCAGTAACATTATTTTAGTTCTGATTGGCCTAAAAAAAAATACTTGCTGAGAAAAAATAGACAAAAAAAGAGAAAATGAACATCTGAAATGCATAGTCAAGTTTTACAGACTGTAAAGTCCAAATATGTAATTGGGACTACCTGGATTGTGAGAAGCAGAAAACGTAACCAACTTCTACGACCAAACTATGGAGGTGTTTATGTCCCTGACTCTGAAAAATGGATAACTTGTACTTGGTCTTGGTTTTTTTGAAAGGGTAGTCTCTGACTTTTGCACAGTATTGTACTGTCGATAGGCAAATTCTTCAAGCACTTTACGCACCTCATTGACAGTATCCTCCACTTTACCAGCTTCAGATTCTAAAGAGCAGAGAGGGCTTATGAAACTAAATAGAACAGAATATTACACTGTGGGACAAAACTGAAAAATGCATGTGTGAGAGAAAATCATAACATCCTCAACCTGCCAAAGCATCAGTGGGTTTACTCATGGTCCCCAGGTAGTACTCCTGAATGTTCAACTTCTGCAAGCACAACACACAAATCAGTATTGTAATTGTTTGATTGTGAAAATCTTATTACATTTTATTATTAAGCCTTTTACTTTATACAAAACTTGTTAACCCAGTTTTGCACATTGTTACAGAAAAATAAAATAATAACCAAACTGTTAAACAAACCTGCCCCGCCTCCTTTTCCTCATGATATTGCCTCACATGTTTACCATGGCATACTTCATACGTCCAGTAAGACTCAATCTGCAATTAAATAGCCAAGGACCTTATTATATTGCTAACTAAGGTACAAACTGTGTGTGTCAGAAATAAAAAGTGGTTATTAGCCAAAAAAGACCACAGGACTAATTGTTCCTAATAGTGAATAGCAAATCAAGACATTAAGACTTGTCTAAGACACTATCTATAACTGGCATTAAAACAAACAGTGCATAATACATAATACTGTGAGTGCCCAGAATGTCTGCCTACAGTTGAAAACCACTGATACTATCACTGCTACATCAAAACCTTGTAACTCCCAGTTTTCCAGCACTATTTACAAACACCAGCTGCCCTTTACATTGTGTAAACGTTTCATAATGCATGGACCAAAATGGTCCAAAATTACCTAGAACACAATCTCCTGAATATATAAACACATATTAATATACCCATTAACATATATTAATGCTAAAGAGGCTGGCAACTGAATTGCAAATGTTACTACTTTTTAATATTTCATTTTTTAAATATTAACACTTCTCAATAATCCTATAGATGTGTGATGAAAGATTTAAGACCAAACTAGTCCTCAAAAATATTTCAAACAGATCTGGACTATGTGGGCACTTCAGGCTGCAAAATGATTGACACTGTAGTGTGGCCACAGTAATGTAAACAACCCCAGAGCAGCAGGGTGTTATTATTTTTTAAGCTTTAATGTCTGACAGAAATTAGACTTGTGTGAGATACTGGATTACAGAGGTAAAATTATTAAAAATTATTATTACAAAAAGTGTCTACATTAACTGCAGTGTTGAGTGTTAGTGGCTAACACAAGTAGAATTTAGCCAATCACCCAAACACTGTCGGAAAGAATCCTGAAAAACAGCTGCTCTCCAAAGGCTAGTTTCACACTGTGCAGACATATGTTTTTGAAATGCTAGCAAGCTCACTCACTGAAAGTCAGTTAGACTTTGGTTTGTGTGGGGCAAGGTATGGAAAGGAGACAAAAAATCTGCCCTAATCCTGACTAGTTTGAGCGATCACTTGACGTCAGCATCTTTCGATTTAGTCCTGCTGACCTCACATTTAACCAAGGAAACATAAAAGGGCTAAAAATTATCAATCGAAATTACCAACAGTAAATAAACTGTCAGCCCCTTTAAGAATGATTTGTTGCTTTTCTTATAAAGTTATACATTTTTGGTTTGTTTTTGAAAACAACTATGGAGCATTTATTTTGTACATAACATCTGAACTCTAGAGATTAGAGGGCACATCCATGGCCGAAGTATGATTTAATTTCGTTTTCCACTACCAATGTAATACAAGAACCATGAACCATGTAAGTGTAAGCATAACCCGGAAAAGCAAATGGCATTTAATCTGATCCAAGAAGTACATATTGAGGAGGATTCAGCAGCACACACTGTAGATGTGTAAACACACTGTTTTGATAGAACTGGAAGTTGTTCACTGTGATCAAAACACATGAATGAATATTAACATAAACTAGCAAGGGCCAGGTCACACACAGTAAAGCTGCATTCCTGCTTGTAAAATGGTGTAAAAAAAAAAAAGTGTTGAGAAAAAGGAAACTGAGATGTGAAACTCACCCTGTACGAACAGCTGCTCTGTTTAAATAACGGTGCAAGCAGCACAGCAGGGCCATGCCCCATATACTCCTTCTCCTCATCCTGACAATGACAAAGACGAAGAAAGGGAAAAAAGTAGGCAAAGGTAAGAATGACTGCAGGAGAGCGATAGTGAGTCAGTGTTAGAGACAGAGTCTGAGACAAAAAGCAAAATAAAAACAACAGCCATACAGCTAAATTTACTTCTTAATTACCAATATCTTACTAATTACCAATATCAAATACAAATGTAACAGTTTTACCTCATCTCCATTGGCTAGAGAAGGTAATAAGCACTTGTATTTCTCTTTCTCTGCAGTTGTCATAATAAGGAAGTCATCTTCTTTATAAAGAGCCCCTGAGGTTGGCTGTGGATGACAGGGGTGATTATGAATGAAACTCTCAGTATGTGATTTCAGTGCGTTTACATTATGTTAGGATATGATAGCATTTATCATTTCATCATGCAACATGTCCAAATGTTTGTACAAATTTTCAGATTCTTTGGATATCAAGAGGATTAACAAGGAGCCCCCTTTGTTGCAGTAACAGCCTATAGTCTTCTAATAAGGCTTAATACTAGACGTTGGGACACAGCTGTGACGATCTGATAGCATTCAGACCCAAGAGTACTAGTAAGGTCAGGTATTGATGCTTCACAAACACCACTCCAGCTCATTCCAAAGGTACTGGATGGAGCTCCATCAATCCTGTTCCAGTGTTCAACAGCCAAACGCTGCATAATATTTCCGAAGCTTGGCACTGGACATTATGCGCAGCTGCTTCAGAGCGTCCCATTCTACTGGTAACGCTTTTCTATGGAAATTATCCAAGCTGTATGCAGGCAAATGAACACCTGTGTCAACAATTTGTGTCTGGATATTTGTGGACATGTAGCAAATGTATCTGAAAAGGACACAGTGTTAATGCAAAGATGTCCAAAGGTACCAAACACGGAACTAGAGCTGAAGTATGACACCTAGCTAACATTTAACGTGAACAACTGCTACAGTGTCGAAAAGTCGGTTAGCTAGCAAGCCTGGAAGCTTATAGAACTTATAGCAGTTGACTGTTGACAGCCTAACGCTTGATCGCTGCACTTCTAATCGTGCGAATCCATAAGCATGTCCTTACCAGGGTGACATATTCGCCGGGCCAGTTGATTTTGAAAGGCATTTCATCAGTAAAGACTGGAGAAGCGCCGCGGTTAGCAGACAGCCCGACACACAGCAGCAGCAACAGCAGCGCAGCCACATAGGTGGTAAACGAGCGGACTCTGTGCATAGTCCCAACTAGCCACTACCTGTTCTACTATAGTTTCATGAGACAGTTAACTAAGTAGACAAAGTACCACAAAATATGAAAAAATTATTTGCATATGACTGACTCCTGCTCACACAGCTAGCATTAGTTCGGCTAACTCACAGACCCCTAGCTAACTAACCACAATAACAGGAACTGTTTTCACAGCTTGCCACGTCCATGTCCGGTACAGCTTCCAAAATCTCGCGAGATCTCACCGGTGCAACACACAATAATATATCACTACCACATCAGTGTAACTGCAGTGCTAAGAATAATTCCCTACCCAATAATATCTGCTCTTTGGCGGTCCTGCGTGGTCCTGACCATTGAAAAACAGGTTAAAAGGGAGGGGGGGAGGGGGTCTACAGTCTGTAACTGTAGAACTACAAAGTGGACCTGATACAATGGGCAATAAGTGTAAAATCAAGGAGGTGTTCCTAATAAAGTGCTCGGTGAGTGTACATAGACGTGAGACAGGTCGGACAACGAGATAATTTGCACTATGACTACTGTAAAATTGTAACGGAGTAAATGAGAATTCTGATCATTGGCTGAACATGATAAAATTTTTGATGAAATTAATATGACTAATAAAAAAGTGTTTCATGTTTATATAATTGAGTACAAGTAAAACAAAGGTAATTTCAGTTGTAAAAATTAAAAAGGACAGATGTTAATTTTTACATCCCTCACATTAGTCTTTGCAGTTTTCAAACACTGTGTTACTAATCAACCCAGAAGGATAAGCAGCTTTGTGTGTGTGTGTGTGTGTGTGTGTTACTAATCAAAGTACGGCATTAAAAATACGTTTTAAAATTGAAATTTAAAACTGAGCCCTCTATCAATGTGTGTCTTAATGACTCTACTACAACAAAAAACGACAAACCACACGTGCCTTTTTCAGATAACTAAAGTAAGCTATATTAATACTGAGGTGAGTTTGGATAGCCATGTCTTCAAATAGCTATGCTCATTTCTATGAAAAAAATGGATCTGATAGCCTAGATTAAGTCAAAGTCAAAGTTTATTTATATAGCGCTTTTTACAACAGGTGTTGTCTCAAAGCAGCTTAACAGAAAAATCCGGGTCCAAGCCCCCATGAGCAAGCCAATGGCAACAGTGGCAAGGAAAAACTCCCTAACAGCAAGAGGAAGAAACCTTGAGAGGAATCAAGGCTCAAAAGGGGAACCCATGCTCCTCTGGTCGACACCGGATAGCAAACAGCACTAGTATAACATATTAGAATACAAAACGAGGAAAACAGGCAAAGCAATGGTTAATTTGATAGTTTTAGTTTATGCAGCGGCATCATCAGGAGGGTCAGTTCATGAGGGTGAGGTTTGCACAGCGTTGAACAACATGAAGCTTAATGGTGGTCAAAACGGTGCAGAAGGCTAGCAAGCAGTGGGCACCCGATCAAGGTAGAAGCAACAGCATCAGACTGCACAGAATGGGGAGTTGTTCAACTCGGCAAAGAAAAGGAAAACACACAGATAGTTAGTTCTGTAAAGAGTGACTGATCACAGATTGTAGTATTAACAGAGTGCAACACAGACTCCAGCAGATCTAGTTATTACAGCCTAACTAAAAGGGAGAAACCAGAAAGATAACAGAGACATGAGGGCTCCCTGAAATGTCAGCGCCCCTCCGCTCCACCGTTAGCAAACTTGAGTGAACGTGTGAGAGCAGCGGGACGACAGCACCAACACTCCCAGTTTACCATAATACTCTATGTCCATGAACCCCCAGATATGCACCTTTTATCTAACAGGGAAAACTATTACCAAAGGCTTGACTAAACAAGTAAGTTTTTAGCCTAGACTAAAAGACTGAGGCCGTGTCCTGAGTCCTGAACACTGACTGGAAGATTATTCCAAAGTTGGGTGGCTTTGTATGAGAAGGCTCTACCCCCTGATGTAACTTTATTAATTCTAGGTACTAATAGTAAGCCAAATTTTTGTGTAGCTATAGCGAACATTTTCGCTACAATTTCGCTACAAGCTGAAAAATCTGAACCATAGAACGCTGTCGTTAACTGGGCTGGTGGCGACTGTGCAATCCTGACTGAGCCGCGGACAGTTCGAGCAAACGGTCATGCGCTGATCACCCCTTACTAGTATGCTTAGCTCAGGGGTCGGCAACCGAAATGTTAAGAATAGCCATTTTGTCCTTTCAACAAAAATGAAACCACCTTGGGAGCCACAACATTCTATGTCCATTTTACCATCTTGGTTGTAATTATGTCTCAGTATGTGCTGACGTGCTAGTACAGGCTAAAAATATAATTTAAACGAAAACGCAGTTACTTTGCTCTGCTTTAAGCTTTAGCCGCTTTTCTCGCATCTCAGGAAACTTTTTTTTACGAGGCTGAAGTCGCTTCTCATTCGCCAGCTTCTCGTTCAGCGTTAAAGGTTAGTGAGTTAGCCGTTATGCGTTAACTCCAGCATTTAAGACCATTTATTGTGAAAACTGTGTTAGAACTGTGTGTTTTAACGATTTTACAGCAAAGGAAGATTATGTTATTTTTCCTAAAATTCTTGCTCTGTTGTGGAGCCACAACAGCTCTGCAGCAGTGGAGAGATTATTCAGGCCTGATTCTCACCCCAAACAGAGCCAGGGTCACTGATAAGAATTTTGAGGCTGAAGTGTTGCTGAAGTTTAACAAAGGACCCTCAATGTCATGTCTGTACTTATCTTACTGAAATGTTCAAACTGGAGCAGTTTTATTTCAACAGTTGAAAACGCTTTGCACAAAATTGTTTGATTTGTATCCGGTTATTTTTGTTAACCTGGAATGATTGACTTTGCCTTTATTATACTACTTTACTGCTTTAGTTTAACTTTTTGTTGGATATCACGCCTTTGGTTGTGTAAGTTTGAATGTTGGTTACACTTGAACTTACTTTTTGGTGATCTTTTTGTATATTTACAGCTTTTCAACTGTATGTTTCTTGCTGGCACATGACTAAATGCAGTGTCTTGTTCACACTATCAGTTGGGCTTGTTTGGTGTGTCAGGTGGAGATTCACAAACATTCTCACAATCGCGCTTTGAAAGTAGCTAAAAAGTAGTGCACTACTTTTCAAAAAGTAGGAAAAGTAGCTAAATTGTAGCTAGCTACAACTTTTGGGAAAGTAGCTAACTACAAATTTTTCAGTAGCTATCGCAACCGTGTTGTTTTATAACCAATATAGTGGCCAAGTGGCTTTACTGCATCATAGGAGAACTGAAACAGTGATTTTGAACTAAATTTAGATGGCCATACGGTCATTTCAGGCACCACTTTAAAAAATCTAGGCATCATCTTCGATTCCAGCCTCTCTTTTGATACACGTTTGCAACTTTGTTAGAAAATCATTCTTTCACTTGCAGAACATCGCTAAATTACGTAATATTCTAGCCATAAACGATGTGGAAAAGCTGGTGCATGCCTTTATAACCTCCAGGCTGGACTACTGTAACACCATTTTAGCTGGATGCTCCAATACGTTACTAAATAAGCTTCAACTGGTCCGGAATGCAGCTACTAGAGTCCTTACAAGGACCAAAATATTTGACCATATATCCCCAATCCTGTCATCATTACACTGGCTACCTGTTAAATTTCATGTAGAGTATAAGATCCTTCTCTTAAGGTATAAATAGTTAAATGGCCTGGCCCCTCAGTATCTTAATGAATTAATTCAGTCATACAAACCCACACGTACTCTCCACTCAAAAAATAGCAGCTTGCTGACAGTTCCTAGAACTCAGACGTTCAGACACACTCAGACACATTCTCTACATTTAAAACTAGACTTAAAACCTATTTGTTTGCACAAGCATTTTGCTAATATCAGTTGTTGCACTATTACTCACTAATATCTCTCCATAAATGGAGTCTCTCTCTCTCTCTCTATTTGAGCTCCTGAGCGACGTTTGCCTGAGTCACCACATAGGGGCCACCAGAGCTGCTAGAGTCAGAACTCCATCTCTGTTGGCTGATCTACACCGTTGTGACCACCATGGAGTTTCATGCTGTACAACGCTGTGCAAACCTCACCTGCATGACCCTCCTGGTGATGCCGCTGCTGCATAAACTTTGGTTAATCTAATTAACCATTGCTCCACCTGTTTTTCCCTGTTTTTGTATTCTAATATTTTATACTAATGCTGTTTGCTATCCGGTGTCGACCCGGGGAGGATGGGTATCCCCTTTTGAGTCTTGGTTCCTCTCAAGGTTTCTTCCTCTTGTCACTGTCACCATTGGCTTGCTCATGGAGGCTTGGAACCGGATTTTTCTGTAAAGCTGCTTTGTGACAACACCTGTTGTAAAAAGCGCTTGTAGCGAACAATGGCCGGAATTTCAACTCTAGCTGAGTGTTTACCCAAAGTTAAGGGCCTTCTGGCTCCAGCAAGACTGGCTGGAGGTGTAAATCTGTCAAGCTTGATACCCCAACCCAGACTTAGCAGAATTTACAACCGGATCAAGAGCCAGCACCCCTCTCCCTTCACCCAGCAGAAAAACAGGACACTTGCTCTGGAATGTGGCAGATGCCTCTCCAAAGCACTGTGGACAACTTTTTATCTTAAGTAACAGAAAGTACATTTCTAAGGTGTATGTCCACTGCATACTGCAACCATTCGTTAGAACTCTTTTTAACTAAACTAGACATACCAAAACGGAATTTGTACGACTTTGGGCGGCAAAATTCCAACTTTCTAAATTCCCTAGGGATCTCAAGCATGGTCCCACAGCACCCCCAAGGGGTGAAACCGCAAATTACCGCATCACCACCATAAGGACTTGTGCTTATAAGAAGCCAGAAACTTCGTGCTTTGTTTGCTTGGTTATCGACGTTTCTATGATCTGTAAGTAATACTACTTGTGGTATTAATCTTGTTGTTGGGTAGTACCTAAATATTACCGGTATCTTTTTCTATTGTTACGCGCTAGAAATACGTAGAGTACAACTTTGATAACAGTCAGACCCAACCATTTAATTGCTATGAGTTTAGACCATTGACCAAGATGTATCCTGAATGTGGTTTTCTATTCTTTTCTTCCTTTGTTCCTTTCCTTTTATTGTTGATTTTATATATATTTTTTTCATGCATTGGGTCATGTTCAGAGATGATAAATAGTACCTGTGTTCTTTGACATGTATTGTGTATCAGGTAACAAGGGTTAAACTCTCTCTTAGAAACA